ACAGAGAGCCCACCCCTACCAACGTGTGGCTCACTGTGGTTTAACTCCGCGTGTTTGTCAATCAGGAATGTGCGAGCGCTCTCGGACATCGCGACCGAGCTCGTGATGGCAGCCGTCGACAAAGGCAGCCATGGCGGCTGCGTCCTTGATGGCACCCCTCGTACTCAAGAAGAGGCAATCAAGGTACACCGCACCACCACCCTCTGATTTTGGGGCGACTTCATCTGATACTTGCTTGGTTTCCACCACGCACACCCACGTGTTGTGGGCAGTTGTTCAGTTGGTTGAGCAAGGAGCGCATTCGAGTGGGTGCGATTTTCGAGTTCTACGTCGAGGACGACACGATTCTGATGGGCCGCCTCCTGGGGAGGAGAATGCACAGCGAGACAGGGGCCATCCACCATGTCACCGGCCTGGCTGCAGGAGGCGCTGATCCCCTCTGTAGTCATGATCACGATCATGATCACGAACAGCGCAGCAGCAGCAGCAGCAGCAGCTACGTAAGACGCGAAGACGACCAGGACGAAGCCGAGATCGAGAAGCGCATGCGCTCCTTCAAGCGTTTCATGCCACAGATCCGTCAAACACTGCGCCAATTCTCCAAAGGTACCTGTACCGCATGGAGACACTGCTATTGGGTTGGGTTGTGTTTACTTTCGATGGATTGCGATCGTCGCGTCAACTGCATCGATGAGCAGGTACCGGTGTGCCGGTGCACGACATTGACGCCAGCAGAAGCCAGGAGGAGATCTACGATGAACTGATGCTGATTATCAGTAGGGAGAGAACCCAAGTCCGACGTTCGCTGCCCTCGCCACTGCCCCTTCCGCCCAATCGAACGGCAGAGCGGGCTACCAGAGGTTCCCTTCCGCTGCATTTCTTTTTATGATTGTGTGTCGTGTGTGTTTGTATACCTAAAATTTGGATCGACGCGCAACAGAGGTGCAACCACCGACTGGTTTTGCCAAGGCGGGAGCAGTGGACCACTGCATCGTCAAACAGCAGATAAAAGAGAGGTCGCGAGCTCAGCAGATCGCCACCTTCCCCGGCACCCATCCCGTCACACTCGCGCGCCATCACCTGCCCCTCATCGGTGCCGTGTCCGCTGTGGAGGCGGGAGCAGCGCCGCAAACAGAGAGATCAGAAGCAGACGTCGCCATCGGGCGGTCTCAGTACGTTGTGACCGACAAGCTGGACGGCGAGCGCTATTTCTTCTATCTCGACCAGCAGCAGTGCTGGTTGATCGACAGGCGCCTGAACGTGTTCACATGCCCCCTCTCCTCGTCGAGCGAACAAGGCGGATGGTGGAACGAGGACTACGCCGACACGCTCCTCGACGGTGAGCTCTTCTCGCTCCCCGCCAGCGTCGCCGACGCCGACGCTGACTCGGCTGGGAAGCGGAAACGGGCAGAAACCGACGAGGGGATCTCAGCACGTCTCCACTTCGTGGCTTTCGACGCCATCGCCATCGGAGGAACGAACCTCGCCTCGCTGCCATTCAGAGAGCGGATGGAGGAAGCGCAGAAGCGGCTGGGCGGGCTACTGGGCTCGACGCGAGGACCGCTCACGCTCCACATTCAGCGCTACGTCTCCCTCGGCGAGCTGCCCACGCTACTCGCCCAGAAGGAGGAGGGTGGCGGCGAGGAGCGCGTGGGGCAACTGCCGCTGTTCCCTGCGACGCTGTTTCCGACCGACGGCCTCATCTTGCAGAACGCGGCGTCTCCCTATCGCGTCGGCCACAGCGACGATCTGCTCAAGTGGAAGGATCCTCACCACAACACCATCGATTTCCGCCTGCTGTCCCCACTGACGGCTGATTCAGGTCCGGTTCCTCTCAGTCCCTCTTTGGGCCTTGAATTGTTGTGCGTCAGCCTCACTGTGAAAGCCTCCCGTGTGCTGCGTGCGTGACAGGTCAAGAAGCCTGGTGGCAAGGATGTGTCGTCAACAAGCAAGGGCAAGACATCCCCTTCGATTGGATCAAAGTGGATCTCGGCGAACACCCCTTGGTGGCGCCCGTGAGCGTCAGGCCAGGCGAGCCAACGAAGAAGGCCAGGCGCGCATCTACGGATAAAGCGAAGGAAGGAGGAGAAGAAGAATGCCGCGAGAACCTGGCCGCGATTGAGGAGGGGGCCATCGTCGAGTGCTGGTGGGATACCACCAGACAGCTCGACCCCTGGTACTACCAGCACTGGTATGGTGCCGACTACGAGCAGAAGGGCTACGGTACACCGCAAGCTGACCTCTTCATGACGCGCACTAGCTGAAGAGGGGGGGGGTACTGATGGTGATTTGGTTTTTCTGCAGGCCAAGGCGGGTGGCGAGTGCATCGGGTGAGGACGGACAAGGAGACGCCCAATGTGGATTGGGTGGCCAAGAAGGTGTGGGAAAGCATCAACGAGGCCATCTCTTTGGCCGACATTGTTGCTGCCGTCAGTTGACGAGGAGGAGCCTTACACCCTGGCCAGCCAACAGTGCTGGTTCCAGTTGCGATGTGTGCACTGAAGGCGTATTCCTCGAATTTCTTGGTTTGGTGTGCGTTTTGGCGCGAAAGAAAAACACACCACAAAACAAACCCTGCCCGTGAGAAATTCATTCAATTCAGCACATTTACAATGAGCGCGGCCAGGCAAGCAGCAAGGCAAGCAGCGAGGGAAGCCGATCCTGCAATGGAGCTGAAGAAGCAGCTCAAGATCAAAACTGGCACCTTCACTCGGTACCGAGTTGCGACTGTTGCAGATGTTGGTTCCCCCCCAATTGATCGATTTTCTTTGGCCAGCTTGAGAAAGGAGGTGCAGATGTACGAGCGCGAGGTCACCGAGCAGCAGGAGAAAATCTCCAAGATGCAGCAGGAGGGCAGGGACGAGGCCGACATCCACAAGCAGGTACTATCAAGAACAACACCTTGCACGAAAAGGCGGATAAATAACTCGTGATCTCTTGCCAGATGGAGATCTTGGAGGAGTCCCGCAACATGATTCCCGACGCACACGCGCGACTGGAGCAGGCCAAGCAGTCCCTCATGGAGCAAATCGTACTTACGCCATACACGCTGGACTCGAACATTTCTCGTGCCCTTGCGATGCCTAGGCTGACGTCTAGATCACCGCCTCTGCAGGACGGTACTGAGTCAGCCGAGCAAGCGGAGGCTGTCAAGGAGTCTGATGAGTGGCGGGTCGCCCGCGAGGCTCTGGGTCTCTGAAGAACCGCCCCAGCAGGCGCTCTGTACAGTTCAGCGTTGTGGTAGTGGATAGATCGAACAAGGCCCCATCTCCATCTCTCCCCTTCCAGGAGAGCATGGAGCGAAGGGCGGCCTCGAGCTGCTGTGTAAAGGAGGTGAGGGAATAGCGCTCCTCGGCGTGCAGGTGGCCGGCCTCTCCCATCTTGCGCACTCGGTTCGGGTCATCGGCCAAAAGGGCCATGGCCTCTGCGAACTCCTCCGCCTGCGGTTCGCACAGGAAGCCCGTCACCTTTGCGCACGATTCCGCCCACCACGCGAGACATGCAGCAGACACGGCCGATTAGACCAAGAAAAGGAGAAGAGCACCAACCGCGCACACACGCATACCTCATGTATGATGCTCTCTCTGGGTCCGCCGCTGTTGCAAGCGATGACTGGAGCTCCGGCGTACATGGCCTCCACGGGCACGATGCCTGCCATTGAGACCATGGTGTCAGAGATGGCGTTGTGCAGAGAGGGGGGGGGGCAAAGGCGTGAGCCAAAGTGTTGCAGGTCATACCGAAGTGCTCGTTTTCGGGCGTGTAAATGATCGCCGAGCACTGAGCCAGCAGGCCATTTCTGGTCTGGTTGGAGATTGACCTGCCGGCGCCACCAACCGAAAACCAATGAATGCTCAGAAACCGGAACTGTGGGTGTGGTGGAGAGGCAAGCCTACCGCAAGAAGGTGACCTGTTGCGCGCCCTTTTGGTCGTCTTCGGTGGAGTTGAGTTGCTCGTCGTCGATCAGATCCAGCTGGTGCGCCAGAGCCTTCAGTTCCTTGAAGTGCTCCACGTTTTCGGCCAGCAGCGGATCGTACCCGCCTTGAGAGCCATCATCACAATATGTTAGAGTACGAGAGAGGAAGAAGAAGAAGAATAGGAAAGAGTAACAGAATAGGGCTGGAGAGGCCAAGTACCGGCGATGACGAGGCGAAGGGTGGGGAAAACGCTGGGCGTGCGCTCACGCAGGAGGGCGAAGGCCTGAAGCGCAAGGCCTATGTTCTTCTTCCTCTCGTAGCGGTTCAACGAAACGAATAACGGTTCGCGCTCCTGCTGCTGCGCCCTAGCCCTAGGGACCCACCGAGAGATTGTACAGAGTAAGCGAATGGCGTGGGTGGTGGCTGCGTGGAGGGAAAGGGGCACCCTTGACTGGCGCTGTAGGACTGAAAGTTGATGGCGGGGTAGAGTACGTCGGGCCGAACCCGAGCGGCGATTCGCGTGAACGTTTGATCGTAGACGCTGGCCGTGAATTTGCTGTTCACCAAGACCTTGTCAGCTTGGCCTGAGTGCACCGCCACGTGTAGCCACGATTAGTGACGCCAATTGAAAAGAAGCGAAAGGTGGCACTCGTAGAACTGTACCAGTGGTCACTTCCTCCAGAACATCGAGCGGAAGCCGATAGAGGCGCTTGAGAAGCGAACGGCGGTCCGTGCACAGGTTGCGATCGGGGAAATGGCAATAGAACAGGATCTGAAGGTTGCACACACGACACGTGACACACGACACACAGAGAGAAGAACGAGAAAGGTGAACGGGTGCGTGGCAGAAAGTGCCCACCTCTATGAGTTGAGGATGCGGGTAGGGTACCTTGGCGCCGGTGAGTTTGAGGATGGGGATGGATGCCGAGATGGCGTCCACGAAGATGACATCATAGGCACCTCCGTGCTTGTGGCTTCGCACCAACGCAAGCGCCAGATAGAGCTGCATTGCGCAATGCAAAGGGCGAAGGGCGCTCGCACTTAGCGGTCACTGCACATGAGACGCACGGGCGCGTGATTATGAGGCCGTACGTTGCGAAGGTAGGCGAAGAAGGCCTTGAAGCGGCCGCCCAAAGATCGAGGAAGGGCATCGCCGTGCACGATCACCTTCAATGTGCCTGCGCCACAGAGAGGAGAGAGTGAGCAATGGAATGCCAGGATGGAGAGAGGCGGTCCGAGAGAGAGCACCATTGCGTGTTTCGTCGAGGCAGTGGTTGGTGTCGTGGTGAGAAGTGAACATGACCACCTGGTGGCCCGCTTGCTGCAGTCCCAGCGCTGCGTCCACCACAAGCCGCTCGGCACCACCTGACAAACAATGAGTACAAATAATAAATAAATAAATAAATAAAAACGATTGCTCTTGGAAAGGATTCGCACCAATCCCCAGGTCTGGGTGGATGAATGCCACCCGCAGCGAGTTCCTTTGGTGCCCTGTGGAGAGAAAGAACGAAGCCACAACACTGTCTGAGAAGACACCAGAAAATGTGGAGGCTAAACATCATCGTGTACCTCTCGATGGTGCTGCGCCACTACCGCGAAGAATAAACGCCCACATACCACCGAAGAGGAGCCACAGAAGGCCACCCCCCAACACCGCCACAAGCACCAGGGCTTCCATGCGCGAGACGTGGCACAAGGACAAAAGATAAAAGATAAAAGATAAAAGATAAAAGATAAAAGATAAAAGAGACGAGAAAATGAATATCAACTGTTATTTATTCGTGTTGGTGGTTCCCCGCCCACTCTCAAGGTTGCTGGTTTGCTGGCGTGGATGCGCCTCGTAACCCCCGCTTGACCTGGTGAAGGGTGGCGTCGGGAGGGATGGCCTGGTCGGCCACGGTGCTGGTGGGCGGCAGGATCTTTCCACCATAGGCCAGCCCCTCCAAGTCGTACGGTGTCCCGTCCTTCCAGTAGCTGCACCCTCTGGACCACGTCCCTTATCGTCTCCGTCTCTTCCACCTCCAGCGTCAGCAGCTTGTACAGCACCGTCTTCACCTGTATCTTCATCTTTCTCTTCTGTTGAGTTGATTTGCTGCGTTTTGGGCTGAAAACGAACGGTGTGCGGGCAACAAGGGTGATGCGAACGTGGTGAGGGCACAAAACTCTTCTCTTCTCTTTTTGTTCTCGGTTCTCTTCTCACCACCCTTACACAAGCAGCACGGCGTTGATGCAGCCGTCGTTTTCGGGGTTGTTTGTCACCTGGGCGTACTTACCCCAGATCACCTTACCGGCGGGCGTGACAAGGCCAAGGTCGCTCACGTTGACCTGTGTGGAGAGAGGGGATGAGACCGGAAGGATGAACTGAGAGCAGGAGAGGGACAGTTAGTTGGTTGGTTGGTGGGTCATCGTACCTCAAGAATCGTTCCCTTGGTGATGACGCCCAGCTGCGTGTAGAGAGGCGTCTGGGGGTTCTTCTTGACACCCAGGATGTCCAAGTAGAATGTGGCCTTCAGCTCGGGGTGAGTCACGTGCGCTTTCTGCAAGAGGATGCCCCCGACGATGAAGAGCGTCAGGTCTCGTGATGTCTCTCATGCACTGCTGTACATCTCAAAGCGAGTGGCGCCTTACCTTGAAACGGAGAGCCGCGGGTCGGATGAAACGCTCGTACTTGGGCGGCTTACGGGTGAAGTTGTCGCCGACAAACGTCACCTTACGCACCATACGCTTCCACGATTTCCCTGTGTGGGCGCGCAACGAATGAACGACCCATAACGGTGGTAAGCGCACCGTGCGGCTGGGGGAGAAAGAGAGGAGAGCCGGGTGTGGCAAACAACGTCTGCCACACGAGAGGGGAAGGGGCGCCATCACGTACTTCCTCGCTTTCCAGACGCCACCACTCCAAACATTTCGAACTCGCTGATTGGCCTCACCTTCGGCAGAGGAACGTCCCACTTGCCGGCCCTCTGCTTCTTCTTTTGCTTCACTGTGTTACTCAAAACCTTGGCCCTATTGCAGGCAGTGCGACAAGCGATCAGGCATCAGTCAGTAACCCACCCAGCAAGCAACCCACAAACATGTGTGCACAAACTTGTGTAACAGAGCGAGAGAGAGAAGGAAGGTGTGTGCTCGTTGGTTTGTTGTCGTACCTTCGGGTCTGCTCGCGGTCAAGCAAATAGGCGGGCACGGCTCCCTTCTCCATCTTTTCTTCCACGTGCTTGTTGGTCTTTTGCTGATGCATAGCGATCCTGAAGGGTAGCAAATGAGAGAAGTTTGTAAGTTGCTGGCCGAGGTAGATGAATCTTAAATTTTTGCCGGCAGTTGAAAGATGGTCTCGATGATGGTGACTCCGGCGGAGGCGCGAGCAAGCACGTACTTCTTCTTCATTTCGACCTTCTCGGCATGACGCTTCTTGGCGTAGAGCTTGGCCCTCAAACCATGGACCTTCTGTGCGAACTCGGAGCGCTTGTGCACCATACGAGCTTCCTTCTTGCGGCTGAGTGCCACAAATGATCGCGATTAAATCTTGTATCGCGATTACCTCTAAATCAAAAGAGATTGAGAATCGAGCTACGTACATCTTTTCGAAGTAGTCCATCCGGTAGCCATACCTGGCCCGGTGGAGCTTGATGTAATCTCCCTGAGGCTAGATTTTGCCAAATAATCACAAATCATCACAAAATAACAGATTTCAGTATCCCACCGAGTTCACAGAGAATTGTCGGGATCATCATGTTGCGCCGCTTACCATTGTTGAGAGAGGGCGGCAGATGCGACCTTCTTGCTTGCTGTGTTTTCTTCTGACTTTTTTCACTCCGTTGCTCTTTTTTCCGTTTTTTTGGCCCGCATTCCGGAGATGCCAAACCAAAGACTGGAAAAAGCAGGGAACCAACAGAAAAAAAACGTCACTGCGAGAAAACAAAGCGCATTTATTTTCTTTGTGTCACTCGCATCATCCGCTACGCAACACAGCGCAATCACGAATGGCAAGACATCTAGCCGAGATTTTTGGCACTGAAAAGGACAGGTACGCACCATCTCTCTCACTTTTGCCCGCTCCCCTTCTTGGTCAACCCGAGAGTAATTTAATTTTCGCCTTTGTCCATCTAGCTAGATTTGCTCGCGTTGGCCAATAAGCAAGACTCAAAATGTCTTCTTGCCTATATACATGGCACTAACACTCTTTTTTCTCACTCCTCTATGCCTCTCTACTCTCTTCTTCTTCTTCTTCGATTATCTCTTGGTGCCAATCCCAAGGGTCAACTGCCCTTTCTTCTTCAAAATTGGTGCTTGCCGCCATGGCGACAAGTGCTCCCGTCAGCATAACCGTCCCCCCATTAGCCAGACCCTTCTCATCCCGCATATGTACATGCCTCCCGTGCCCGCCGAGTGGCCCACCTCGCCCGACGACGTACAAGCCATGCAGAAAATCCAACGCGATGCGGAGGAGCACTTTAACGATTTCTTCGAAGACATTCACGATGAGCTGCGCAATTTCGGCCGCCTTGAAGATCTCCACGTTTGCGACAACACTGGAGGTACTCACCACCACCACCACCACCGCTGCCGTGTGTCGTGTATGTAGTGTGTGTCGTCAAGGAGAAAGATCTCTAACCCGCTTGCTTGTGCGCCGCCAGCCCACTTGGTTGGAAACGTGTACGTCAAGTTCGAGTACGAAGACGACGCAGAGAAGGCGATGAAGGCACTCACCGGCCGCTTCTACGGCGGTCGCCTGCTCGTGCCCGAGTTCTCGCCGGTGACTGACTTTAGGGAGGCCCGTTGCCGCCAGTACGATTCCAACGAGTGCAACCGCGGCGGTCAGTGCAACTTCATGCACCTCAAGCAGGTCGACCCCGAGCTGGAGCGGAGGCTCTTCGGGCGCAGGAGCCGCAGCAGGAGGGACGGGGACCGGAGGGACAGGCGCGACCGAGACGACGACCGTCGCCGCGAGCGCAGGAGGTCCCGCTCGCGTTCGCGCTCCCGAGATCGACGATCGCGCTCTCGGTCCCGCTCCTCGGAGAGGCACCGCAAGAGGCGGGAGAGGAGCCGGGAGCCCGAGGGCGACGACCACCGCCGCAGCGATCGCCGCGATAGGGACCGTGATAGGGACAGGGACAGGGAGAGCAGCAGCAAGAGGTCCAGGCACGACGACGACCGCAGCGGCAGCAGCAGCAGGAGCTCCAGGCACGAGGGAGGCGAGGAGCGCCGCCACAGTGAGCCCGCCCCTGCCGCGGCGCCCGCGCCCACCACCGAGGAGGGTACGAGCGCTGGCTACGGTGCTGCTCAGGTCGACGCTCCTCCTGCCGACCACCACCACCACCACCAGGAGTAAAGGTGCATCTTGTGGACGTCCCTTGCCCCTCCCCACCCCTTCCCACCGTCACCAGAACGATCACTGCCTTCTTCTCAATAAAAGAAATGCTCTCTTTTATCAACGACTCAACGCTGGTGGAATCGACACCCCGCCTCACTCTTCAGAAGTCCTGAACCAGCGATCCGCGCTGGTCGATGTCGAGGGTCGCGGTGCGGCACTGAACGCCGGCCTGCTGCAGGAGCGCCTGCATTCGCTCCCCCACGCGGCTAAAGTTGTCCCGACACAGGGCCAAGATGGTGGACCCTGCAGCCAAAGAGCAAGGGTCAGCTCGAGCTGCGGGAGGTGCTAGGCGCCTGTGGGCGTGGCCACGTACCGGATCCGGACAAGCACACACCAAGCACGCCGGGCGTGTTCTGAGACGACAGGGCGAGGCATTTCTGCAGGCCAGGCACCAGATGCATCCGGAACGGCTGGTGGACCTTGTCCCTGTGTGGGAGATGGGGCGCACGGTCAGTGGGCGGATGTGAAAAATCGTGTGGGGGAGTGGAGAGGGGGAAAGCAGTACTTCATGGCCTCTCGAACCACGGACGGCTCATCGATTCCGTCGTCGGTGAGGGCGGCAGCCATGAGGCCCACCCGCTGAAGGTTGAACACCTGCCATCTGACGGGTCAAACATCATCGCTCCCCGCTTCCCAACTCCTCCCCAATCTGTGAGCGACGTACCACGTCGGCGCGCGAGTAGGTCGGCGGGAGAGCCTGCCTCGCCTTTTCGGTGGACACCTCGAAGTTGGGGATCGCCACGACGGCCTTGATCTTGTCGCTGTAGGGCAGCTTTCTGGCGTAGACATTGGGCACACCTGGTCGCATGCGACACATCAGGAGGCCAGCTCGACCGTGATCGTTGGCACAGATGAGAGCGCGGGAGCCGCACCTTTCGACTGAGCGACGTCATCCTCAAACCCGCAGCACACGACAAAACCACCGCACAGAGAAGCCGAGGCGTTGTCGGGATGACCTTCGATCTCTACGCAGTAGCGGAGCTTTTGCGCCGCAGTGAGGCCGAGGTCGAACAGCTTGTCAGCGATCATGACTCCGCTCACAACAGCTGCTCCGCTGCTTCCCAGTCCCCTTCCTGGCAACATCCGACGTCGCACGTCAGCAGGAACATGGGCGTTTCAAGGAAAGCTGCGCGTGGGCTCGTACCGAGAGGAATCTCGTTCGTGATCGAGAGGGCGAAGCGCGCGTTGGGCGGGATGCACTTTCCCTCCTTTTGCGCGACGTGCACCACGGAGGTCCACAAAAAGTTGGTTTCGTCAAGGGGCACGCCTCCCTTGCCCTCACCCTCGAACGCGATCGTCACGCTGGGCTCACCTTCCTGCAGGCCCGGGGCACCGGGAAGGCATCAGCCATCATCACCGGGAAGGCATCAGCCAGGTGGTTGTGACATGAACTCGCACGACCGATAAGAGAGGCGAGTACCCTGCGCTCGGTAACGACGATTTCGGTGGTGAGATAGAGGCCCACTGCGATGCCAAACACGTCGAATCCGCTGCCCAGGTTGGCGCAGGAGCCCGGCACGCGGCTCCTGATGCGCTTCCCCACCAAACGGCTCTCGCCGCTCTGGCTCTGGCACGCGCTCTTGCTGGCCTCCTCCATAATCGCCTTCAGAGCCACCATGCCGTCCTCGATCTTCTGGCAGCGCGAGGGGAGGTTCATGATCCTCTCCAGTTCCTGAGATATTTGGCGCGTTGTCAACTCTCACCACCACCACCACCACCACCCGTGCGAATGTCGCGACGACGCACTCACCTGAGGCAGGGGCAAAACGTAGCCGAGGGCCTTCTGCTGGGCATCCGCAAACTTGGCAGGGCTCGCCGTGGCCAGCGAGGCGAAGACGACCGGATAGGATACGTTGGCGGAGAGCTCCTTCCACTTCTGCTCGAGCGCATACACTAACAACAGGCGAGACCAGATTAGCTGAAATCCAAGAGAAGGAAACCAAGTAGTGGATACGTACCCCCAATGGCCGAGTGCGGGCACAGGATGTAGTTGGAGTCCTCCTTGTACCTCTTGACCGTGGCCAGGGTTTGGTCCTCTATGTTACGCATTTATGAAGTGAGCTGCGAAATGTGAGGTCGCGAGCAGGCAGCGCCAAGCCAAGGCGCGCACCCGAAACAGCGTAGGAGGCCATGAAGGAGCAGGCCTTGGCGTGGATGTCCTGGGGAATGTCCAACACGCCGGTCTCGTTGAATTTGTTCATCCACTCGGTCACCTTGGCCGAGTCTCGGTTGGCGATCTCGTAGAAGAATCTCTCAAAGTTGCTGGATACTGCGAGTGTGATAAAAAAAATACAAGCCCTCAGAACTTTAGCAGCCATCAACAACACCCGAATGTTCGACGAGGCAAACCTACCTTGGATGTCCATGGAAGGACTGAAGCTGGGCATGACGATCTTCTTTTCGTACTTACCCGAGGCGAAGAAGCGATGCAGAATGCTGCACCAGCCCCCAATTGAGGGGAGGGGGGGTTGCGTTAGCGGCAAGAAAGAGCGTCTCTCGCGGCAGGGAAGGGGGTCGAAGTACTCGTTCTGGTTGGTGGCCACGATGAAGTGGTGCACCGGCAAGCCCATCTGCTTGGCGTAGAATCCGGCGAGCACATTTCCAAAGTTGCCCGTGGGCACAGAGAACACCACCTTGGCGCCCGCCTTCTGCTGTGCCGGCGAAGTAACCTGGCCATATACAAAGGTAGGCCGCAGGTGATTAGACAGACCCACATTGGTCCAGCGTGGCACTTCCAAGTACCTGGAAGTAGCTGTAGAAGTAGTAGACGGTCTGGGCGAGGATGCGCGCCCAGTTGATGCTGTTGATGGCGGCCAAGTTGTGCTTCCGCTTGAAGGCCAGATCGGCAAAGGTGTCCTTGACCAGCTTCTGGCAGTCGTCAAAAGTGCCCTCGACTGGTGATAGAGTGGAGTGCGGCGTTATGGAAACGTGCAACACCGGAGGCAGACGGGGAAGTAGCCAGCAGGCGTACCAGAAATGTTGTGCACGTTGGGATCCGTGATGGTGGTCATCTGCTTCTCCTGGATGTGGCTCACGCGGCCATGGGGGTGCAGCACGAACACTTCGACGTTCTTCTTACCACGCAGGCCGGCCAAGGCTGATCGACGCAGAGAGACGAAGATGATGAGCACACAAACACGGAATGGGCATCCAAGCACACCAGATGGCTGGTATCAGGAAGAAGCGGAGGGATGTGTGCTCACCTGCACTACCGGTATCGCCTGACAAGTGCAGAACAAGGCCCAGCGAGAAGTGGTCGAGACGATGTGAGAAGTGTTCAAACGACGACATACTACAGACAGCAGGCGTATGCGTACCAGAGGTGGCGCCCAGCACGGTGATGCGGGTGACGCTGGCAGGATCTTCCTCGTCCTCCTTCTCGCCTGTGGCAGGGTGCTGCTGCTGCTGCTTCCTGAGGGCGTTGGTGTTGAGGAGGTACTCGAAGACGTGGCCAAGGAACTGGAGAGCAAAGTCCTTGAAGGAGAAGGTGGGGCCATGGAAGAGCTCGCACACGTTGATCTGCTGCTCCCTCGCCTCGCCCATGTAGCATGGCTCGACGCGGAGCACGTCGTCGATGAAGAACGAGGAGTAGCTCCTTTGGATAATCTCCCGCAGCTTGGTCGGGGGTATGTCCTCTTCATCGATGAAGAGGGACAGGATTTCGAAGGCCAGTCCAGTGTAGGGAAGCGTGCGCCACCTGTCGAGCTGCTGCTGGTCGACCCGCGGCAGGTGCGAGGGAACGAACAGGCCACCATCGTCCGCCAGGCCCTTGAGCACGACGTGGCGGAAGGAGAGTCCCTTCTCCCCTCCTCTGGTGCTCTCATACACCGGTTTGCTCACCATAGCCGAGTGTAGCATCTTCAATCTCCCGCTCCTTGCTCGAGTCACGTAGCGCTTCTCCTCAGGTGCGCTCTTCGTGTCGAGCCACGGCCAAAGTGCCAGGAAAAGCAATTTCTTTTGCAGATTTCTTTTTCTCCACCGCGGCTCAATTTTGCGAGCGAACCACAGGAAGAGAAGACGAAGCTTCCACCGCGCACGAACCCATCTGATCGTACTCGGCCGTGAGCGAGCACACCTCCTTCCCCTGGCCGGGATTATTTGCTGGTCCTTCCTCTTGCGGCTGCCCGGCATTGCAATCAGCATAATAATCGGTAGATCAAATCCCACATCCTGGTGACATCCAAGTCAGTACTCACTGTTCGGCCTGCAGGCACAAAGAATGGACTCGAGTCCTTCTCCGTCGCCGTCGGCTGCACCCTCTGCGACACCTGGCCTGCCGCCTATCATTCCCAGCCCTGCTACACAGTCGGTGCTCTACGATGGCGGTACGCCCTCCTCTAGAACCATCGGCCATGTTGTGTCGCGTGAAGCTTTTGTTTCTCACGCCCGTACTCTGTGCCACACGGATGATGGCGCGCAGGTATTGTGTCCGTGTTGGAGATCAACCTGGTAGTGGGCCTGGTGGCCTTCCTGCTCCTCGCCTATCTGCGATGGCGCAGCCAGCGCAAGCTTTACTTCAAATATTATGGAGGTATGTTCCCCGTGATCATCCCTGCGCTGCTCGTTTGGCCGGCTGGCCTGCTGGTCGGCGTTGGCTCATAATCGCGGACCTCGTTTCATCATCCACTGCTCTGTGTGGCGATCAGGCGAGTACCAACGATTTTGGGAGAACGAGCGGTTCGCAGGCAGCGAGTCCTTTTCCTCCTTTCCTGCTATCGACGAGGAAGGCGAAGCCGAGGTGGAAGCCCTCGTGGAGAGCGAAGGTGACTCGACCCCGACCAACGCCACCTGACGTCACGTGCGCTACATTGCTGACAATCCATCGTCTGCTTGGCATTCCTTTGTGTTGTAGGCGAGGAGCCAGAGGAGGCCATGGCACGGGCAGCAGACCAGGTGAAGAAGAGAGAACTCACTGAGCTGAGCAAGAATGGACCCGAGCGGTTCATGGGCTGGGTGTGGCCCCTTGTGCGCATGTCGAAGCTCGAAGTGGCGGAGAAGTGCGGCAACGACGCCATGATCTACATCCACTTCCAGCGGTGCATGCTCGCCTTTCTGGCGATCTGCGTGGTGCTCGGAATAGCCATATTGCTGCCGGTGAACGTCACCGCCAGCCAGCGCGAAGACAAGGTCCGCTCTGGCTTCTTGTCCACCACCATCGGTACATGTCGCTCTCCTCCTTCTCCTCCTACACAACACACACACAGAGTGATGCTGACGGTTGCCGTGGACCAGGTAACATCAACGACAGCACCGACAAGAGCCGGTACTGGGCGCACTCCTTTGTGTGCGTCATCATCTCCTGCCTTGTGTATGGTCTCGTGTGGCACCTTCGCAAATACCTCATCGCGTGCAAGGTACGTTGGAGATGCGCACATTGAAGCAGTCGTTGGCACTGGTCTCATCGCCGTGAACCCTCTATTTGTCTCTTTCCGAAAACACAGGACAAATTCTTCACCCGGAGTGTGAAGTCAGCCGTGAGCGCGCACACGATCATGATTCGCAACTTCCCGGCGGGCATCGTCAGCGAGGCGGGCATCGCCAAGCACTTCGAGGAGCTGATCGAGACGAACGCGGACCTTCAGCGGAGCGTGGAGCGAGTCCGAGCGAAGCGCCGACGCCGACGCACCCTCAGCCTCGACAGTAGCCGCCGTCATGCCGCCGCTGCCGCCGCCGCCTCCGCCTGGGCCAGGGGCAACGAATTCAACGACGGCGAGCAGGACCCACAAAGCGCCGATGCCACAGCCACCGCAGACGGGGAGAGCAGCGATGCATCTTCCCACAATAGCGGACAGAAGGGGCGAGCTTCCTTTTACCGCTTTGCCGCCGGCCAGGGCGACGAGGACCGGAGCCTTCTGGACGCAGACGGCGGGAGCGAGGCGGGCGAGGGGCGAGCAGAAGTATCGGGCGGCCAGGCGGAAGAGCAGGGGGCGACGAAGCTGGGCTGGTGGGCGCGGCACATGGAAAGGCGAAAGCGGCGGGCGGAGGAGGCGTTGGCGCGCGCCCGCGAGGTGAGCGAGAGCGAGAGCGAGCCGGAGCACGACAAGAAGAAGCCCAGCGTGGTGTCGGTCCACGTGGCGTGGGAGGTGCGGGACGTGCTCGGCGCGCTGGAGACCTACAAGGACATCGACGACCAGCTCGACCACTACCGCCAGGAGCGAATGCTGCGGGGCCAACGCCCGCTCGTGTGGTTCCCGCCGTCGTCCACGCTGACCGAGAAGCTCATCTACCTGGTCCTGCACTTCGGCACGATCGTGGAGGGCATCGTCTACGGCGGCGTGCGCGGCCGGCTCGATGCCATCCGCGAGCTCAAGCGCAAGAAGGCCGAGCAGAAGAAGGAGGTGGCGCGGACGAAGCAGCGAGCCAGAGCGGCGCGCGCCACCGGCATCGTCTTCGTCACGTTCTCCTCCAGCGTCGTGGCCAAGGTACGCCTCCGTTTTTGTTTGTTTGCGGACTGAGGGGTGAGGTCGTCTGCAAGGAGGAGAGGGCACTGACTCTGATATCTCTCTCTCTCTGTGTGTGTGTGTGCTCTCGCTCTCTCTCTGAAGGTGGTCACCAACATCTACCGGAAGCACACGCGCCTCTGGAATCTCAATCGCTGGCTTGCAGACGACCTCACCCCTCAGTCCAAGTGCGGCACCACTCCCGACACTCTAATGACTCTCACCAACTGCTCTCGCGAGCTGCCGTGGACAGATACACTGACCCATGTCACACGTTGGGCGGGCAAAATCCACCCGTCACAGGGCTCTCTCGGACAGGCATTGGATCGTAAGCATGGCGCCCGAGCCGGAGGACATCATATGGCCCGTACGCTCGCCTTCCCCTCTCCCCATTTGCCACGGCAGCGCCGTTCTCAATTGCGTGTGTGTACACGTGCCTGTCGTCATTGTCATGGTGCAGAACCTGGGCATCGGCAAGTGGGAGAAGCGGCTGCGCGTCGTCTACGTCAACCTCACGCTCCTCTTCTTCTTTTCATTTTTCACCACACCCCTCTCCATCATCTCTGCCCTCCAGCCTCTCAAACAGGTTCGCCCCCCCCCTCGCACGCCGCCACCATCCACGGCTCTCACGTGGTGCCCTCTCTATGGCTGGCGCACATTAGGCCCCACTTTTTGCCGACATCATCAACAGTCTGCACGCGTGGAACAACGGAGCCATCCTCTTCGCCTACCTTCCCACGCTCTTCCTCTTGGCCGTCACCACCATCCTGCCCCTCGTCATCTGGTGTACGTAGCCCGCCCACGCAGCCTTTCGCGCCTCCCCCCCTCTCCCCGGTGGTCGGTGTTGCTGTGAAGCTCTGAACGCGGCGCTTGCGCGGTGTGAAACAGTTTCGTCCATGTTCGAGGGTCATCACACGGTGTCGTCGACGCACAAGTACCTGGTGGTGAAGACCTATGTCTTCCTCCTCTTCAGCGTGCTTCTCCTCCCGTCTCTCTTCCTCACCTCCCTCGACGCCCTCATCCGCAAAGGTTCGCCGCGCCACTCCCCTACCCACGCCACTCGCACCCTATCCGTATACGCTGCAAAAGGCTTACATGCGCACGCTGCACTTAACACTCGCACAGGATGGGACAACAGGCAACACCTCAACGTTCTCTTTTCGGGCCTTTTCCTGCCTAACTCGGCTGCGTTCTTCATCAACTACATCATCCAGATGGCCATCGTAGGTCAAATCGTCGAGGTACCCTTCGGCCACTCGCGCACACACGCACGCACACAGCATGCCCGTGCGCAATTTACTCACACTCCGTCTATCGTTTGTCGTATGGTGCGCTTTCTCACCAACCAGGTGATGCGATTGCCAGAGCGCCTGCAGTCGCTCCTCCTCAAGTGGAAGGCCGTCACGATCTCCCAGAAGAAGCGTGCCGACGAATACGCCTACCCGCACGAATACGGCATGCAGTATGCCTACATGATGGTCTTCTTCGCCACCATCCTCACCTTCAGCACCATCGCGCCGCTCATCCTCCCCTTCGGAACGCTCTACTTCATGTGCAAGCACTTCCTCGACACCTACCTGCTCGTCCACGTGCGTCCGCGAGAGTTTGACAGCGACGGCAGCATGCTTTGGTACGCCCAACTCAACCACATGCGTGTTTACCTCCGAGCTCTATTTCTCGTTCGTATCACATTACGTATGTAGCATATATCTATCTATGCTGACTCGTCGGCTTTCTCTAGGATCGTGCTACGGGTGATGCTCTTCACGGCGGTGTTGTTCCAGTCGCTCATGTTCATCTTCCTGTCTCTGCACGGCACAGCTGGTACGACTCGTTCCCCGTAAATGAGCTGTCTGTCGGCGCGTGGCACCTGCTGGGCTTGCTTACAGGTAGTGCTACTGCTCTGTTCTGTTCTGTTCTGCTCTCTTCTCTCTCTCTCTCTCTCTCTCTGCCCACAGGCCAGATGACGTTCGTGGGGGTGGTGTTGGCGCTGGCGCTGGCGGCGTTCTTCGCGGCCTACATGTCGGGCGTGGACATCTTCCACTTCGACAAGGGACCCAAGCCCAACACGCTCCCCAAGGAGGCCAACTGGATGCGCGTCTTCCGCACGGCCTACCAGCACCCGTGCTGGCGTCAGGGCCACCACCACCACCTGCAGCACACGCACATGCACCGCCACCCGACCCTCCGCGCCAGTGGCGCCGTCGCTGGCTCCGGCGTTCAGGCCCACCCGTGAGAGTAGTCTCTCTTCGCTCCAGTTCAGACGTCAGCCCCCAACAACAAGGCAGAGAAGGCTTTGTCACGACTTCTTTTTCTTATTCTTGGTGCCCAAGGCTTGATCGAACACGTCGCTGATGGCCTCCTCCAGCCCCTCCGTATTGTCGTCCTGCAACGGTGGTGTCTGTTGTGCAGCGCAACGGCAGAGATCAGCAGTGAGCAGTGGACAGGGAGAGCCAGAAGGAGTAGAGGCAAGGGGGGGGGGTGGCACCATGAGGGAGGCAGCGTCGAGGACCGCCTTTTCGATGGCCTTGGTGTTGCCCTCGAGCGTGGGGTTGATGGTCACATGCGTCAGCAGCCCCCGGCCGTTTTGCTCCAGCAGCACCGCCCCGTCACTGGAGGTGAACACCAGCTTTCTGGCATTCTGAGAGGCATCAAGATAGAAACATGCATGGCGCACAAATCCTCACGTTAGATTGTGCAGAATGGCCAGTTGGCAGACCACTCTTGCAAGGGTCATACAGCGCTCTCTTCGGCACTTCGTAGCTGCTGGACCAGGCTCCCAAGGAACTGGGACTCCGAGCGGCCACCACCTCTTCCCCGCTTCATGTTGGATATTGGTTGCTTTTCTTTTTCTTGCAGTTAGAAAAACACAAAAGAAAAGCACAAGAGGCAAAGATGGAGCACGAAGAAGAGGGCCGAGGGCACAACGATGTGCTCTTCGTTTCGACCACCACGCATCTCGACGCACCATTCCTTGCAGGTACGCAATTTCGGAAAAACCAGAGATTGAATCCCATCCTGGCCTCACGCGGCGCCTCTGGCCCAGGAATGGCGCGAGTGCGTGCATCCCGTGCTGGTGCTCAGCCAGGAACAGGAGGAGCGCCGGTTCAGGCCGATGACACCGAAGTGCAAGAAGACGGTGGCGATGAGGACGCACTGCGGTGGGTTCTCGACACGCGATACTACACGGCCGAGTTGCAGCTCGTGCGGGTGCGTCACGCCGAAGACGCGGCCGCCAACGTCGAAGCTTCGGTCCAGGCCAAGCTGCCTCGAGGCGCGTGCGATGCGTTCCTTCTGCTCTGCGACGCGGCCGAGGTGCCTTCACCCATCCACGTCGTTCCTCTCTTTGGGCGTTCAGCTGCTCACCTCTGCCGGCGGCCACGGCGTCTCCACCACGTGGTGGGCCTCTAGGCAGGGACTAGCGCCAAGCTGCAGAGGTGGCAGGCCATGCTCGAGGAACTGGCGCCCGCGGTGCAGCTCTGCGTCGCCCATGCGGGACCGAACCAGGAGCAGCACCAAGCCAACGTGCGCGCGATCGAGGAGTGGTGCAACGAAAACGCAGTAGAGCTGGTCCTCTGGAATCCCCTCGATGAGGGCAGCGGCGTCGGCGAGGCCTCGCCGGGCGGTATGCCCTACACGAGACCCGCGCGCATCGTGCATGTGAACTCACTCACAGCCATGTTGTGACCACAGGCTTGCTGAGCGAGAGGCACGGCCTGGACCGAGTGTTGGAAGCTCTAGAGGCGAACATGTGGCCCGCCATGACCATGAAGCCGCGCACCGGCTTCCTTCGACGTACACTTCACCCTCTCTCTCCCTTGCTTTTCGATTGCCATCTTATAACGTGACGACACATCCAACCCAACCGAGAGCAGCCATCAGTTTGCCCGACGAAGAGAGCGTACACGAGAGCGAAGGCGATGATGACGAGGAAGCGGGGGAGAAGGAGACGGTCGTGCCATCAGAGACGCAGCAGCAACAGCAGCTTGAGACCAAGCAGAAGGGAGAAGAAGAGATGATGAAGAAGGTGAATGAGCGAAAAGAGGCACCAGCAGGCCCTGAGCCAACGAATAAGGAAGACGCGGAGGAGGAGTGGACAGACGACGTCGAGGAGCACTTCGACAAGGCCTTCAAGCAGCTGGCGGGCCTGCGGGAGGCGCGACAGCAATCGGCGCAGATGAGCGACCAGCAGCGGCGCGACTTTGCCGCCGACGCCGCGTTGGCGCTCGCCCGCGCCTTCGGCCTCGACCTCGAGAACGACTCCTCCGACAGCGATTGACCGCCGCCGCAGCCGGCGAGACCACGCAGACGAGAGAACAACAACAGATTTTATGCAGAAGAACGAGAAAAGAAGAGGATGATGAAGATCAAGAAGAAGAAGGAGCGGAGGAGCCGATGGTGGGAGGGACGGCGGTGGAGGGTCGGGAGAGGGTGCAGACGTGGATGAGGTCGAACTCGTCCTTTTGCACGGCCACGCGCGGGTCCTTGGCCTTCTCCTGCTCGGCGAAGGCGAGCAGCTTGCGCATGTCCATGAACTGCTGCCGCAGGCCCAGCTTCTGGGTGATGCCCTCGAACTGCTCCTTCCGCCTCTCGTACCGGTAGTTGTTGGTCGACAGCACCAGCCGCCCACCCTCGTTCTTGCTCAGGTCGTCTTCGTTGTAGTCCGTGTCGTTGACCGGCAGCAGATAGTGCGCCGTCGCCAGCAGCAGCGGAATGCACTCGCTCTCATACCTGGCAGGCACCCATGCGGTCAGGTGGGCGCACGACACACGCCACACCGCACACACACACACACACACACACACACACATAGGAGAGAGAGAGAGAGAGAGGACGGGCAATGGATGCGTACACGCAGCCGGAGCCGATGATGATGTCGAACGGGCCGTACTGCTGGTTGAACTCGACCACGCCCTCGCCCCACGTCAGCTTGGCCGCCTGCATGTCGGTGCCCACTGCGCGCCCCGCTCGGAGTGGTGAGCGGACGCATGCGGGTGGCGTAGATGGATGGTAAGCAGGGGAAGAAAGGCGTGGTGGTACGGTGGGAGTTGAGCTGGATGTTGCGCTGGAGAAGGTCCACCACCTTGTCGTGGTAGTCGGTCATCACCACCCGCTTGCAGTACACAGACGCAAGGATGCCGTTCAGGCCTAAGCGGCAGCACCCATCGTTACAGGGTTGTCACCAGCACGAACGTCGGACATCAAAAGAAGAACGCGTACCCGGCCCAGCGCCGAGCTCGAGGACGGTCTTGTCCTTGAAGAGGTCCTTGTTCAGCACCATCCAGTGGCCCAAGATTTGGGCGTTGGGCCACACCATTTGGCCCAGCAGATGAGTGTTCTGCACAAAATCACTAAAAATCGCATTGAATTTAATCACATGAGATTGTGGACAGTTTTCTCCCAAGACAGCAAGGGCGTACCCAAGGCTCTCGATTTTGATCTCCTTGCCATCAAAGATGAACGTGGTGTGATCGTATTGGTGCTCCGCATCGAAAATCTCGAAAAAGTTAGCAGGCTCCTCCTCTTCTTCCTCCTCCTCCTTCTGCACCTCCTTCGCCACCTTTTCCTCTTGTGGGTTCTCCATCTTCAATCGTCGGCTCGTCTTCAATTCCGGTGATTTGAATCAATGTAATTTAAAAAAACTAAAACTGAGATCCAAAAAGTGGAGGTGTTGGAGTCGATACGCAGCTTCCCGAGAGGACCCACTCAGGGCTGTGATCCCTCCACCAAGGGGACCGGCGTCTTTTCCCTGCTCTGTCAACCAGCCTGAGGCGGTGCGACGCTCATCATCGACCTTGAAGCCCTCACCTCCGCGAGGGCCACAATGTCGAGTCTCCTTCTGGAATGGGGCAGCGGCCTTGGGCGTGGGCCTAAACCCCCGTTCGTCTACGCACGCCACCAATCCCTCCACCCACATGCCCCGCAAGCACGGTGACAGCCCGCTGCTTAGGCGGGCCGGCGAACGAACGAAACACACGCCGCCCGTTTTGACCGACGCTCTCGACCAGGCGCCGAGCCATTATGGGAGCCGTGACTCCGATCACAACTGTTGGGTGGGGGGCCCCACTGCTCGTTGTAAGATTTAGACTAGATGATGCGTGTACGGCGTTGTGTGAGGGAAAGTGAAGGCGACAACGGGCCACTTGTGGCGTTGCCGGATGCATTGCACTACTCACTCTTCTCCGCTGTTGTTGTTGTGGTTGTGGCGGCTTCGTCGCTGCTGCTGCTGCTGGGCGGCTTGACGGCCCAGAAGGTTCGGCCCTTCCGCGCCCACTCCACGGCCTCCTGCAGCGTGCGATCCCTTTCCGGCGTCCACGCGGGACCCTCGTCCTTCTTCTCCCTTTGCAGCCTGCGCAGAGGCCGCGACCACAACCCAGACGAGGCCGTGAGTGGGAGTGAGCTTTGGGGTGTGAGACGTGGTGCGTACCTGAACACGTCCACGATGGGGCCGCGGCCGGTGACCACCATTAGAAGACCGTTGGGTGGAAGCGCGTCGTAGATGCGGCCCACGCGTTGGTCGATGTCGGCCAGGTGCTTCTCGAACGAGCCCGGCGGGGGCGGCGGGGGTCCACCCGAACCAGCTGCAGAGCCTCCTGACTGTCGCGCGCAGCTGGCAAAGTGGTCCTCAAAGGTGTGGAGCTGGGTGAAGATGAAGTCCGCCCGACTGTCGCTGCCCAGGTGCGCCGTCAGTCGGTCCACGATCTCTTCGTCGGTGTTGCAGGCGCAGGTGGTGAGCAGGTTGGGCGGCGGCACGAATGACGACGAAGAAGAAGACGACGACGACGACGATGACGGCAGGGGAAGGAGTGCGGTGGGGGTGGGGAGAAGCCCGTCGCCGGCCTTGGCGAGCTTGCTGGGGCTGGGCATGAAGGCATCGGCCGGGCCTCGGGTGCGCTGGGGCGGGACGTATCTCTGCAGGGCGACGAGGCGATCGATGACGGTCACCTTCCTGTTCGCGTTCCGCACCTTGATGAAGAGGTTCTCGCCGTCGTCCTTGTCCGACACTTCCACGTCTCCGCTCTTGCTGACGTGCACCCCGGCTTGTGCCACCTTCAGCAGAATCAGCTCCATGACCGCCTTGGCGTCCTCCACACTGCAATGGCCGTCGTGACCTGCAGGGAAAGCCCAGAGAGAGAGAGAGAGAGAGGTGAGTCCAACGCGGGCACCAGCGCTGGCTCAGAAAAGAGTCGGACACCCACCTTGTTGAATGAGCCGCTTGAGGAACTTCTCGGTCAGGTAGCGCAGGGAATTCTTGAACGGCGGCCCGTTGGCGTGAGGGAAATGCATCGTGGTGTCTGCCCCCCCCCCAACGGACAGCCATGCGTTTAGACCAGAGCCATGCATCGAATAAAAGGTCGTTGTGGACGCGGCGCGGTGTACCAATGACCCTCTTGTGAAACAGCCGAAGCGCCAGCAAATCGTTCTCCACCGAATGGCCGGCGATGATCGTCTTCCTACGACCGGGTCGCACCACTGGAGTCAGAAAGACCCGGAAAAGCCGCACAAGGTCGGGGGGAGGAGTGGGGATAAAAGCGTTACCTGGTAATGCCCAGGTCGTGGAAGGCCTTGTGAACGTCCTCCAGGTGAGTGGTGACGCCGGTCATCATCTCCTCGGTTATTCCGCTCCACCTGATTGCACCACCCGAGTAGAGAGGGGGGTCAGCTTCATCAACACCACACACACACACACACACACACACACAACACACACACACACACACTGACGGTGTGGCGTTGCAGTACCGCGTCAGGTAGTCGGTGATGGGCTTGTGCGGTTTGACCAGTTGGTCATAGAGCACGTTGTAGTTGTCGTCGATGACACTGACGCGAGTGAGCTCGTGGCCATCTTCCGTCAGGCACTGCACACACGCCCTCGTGCAGTGTCAGGAACACATGGCTAGCGGCGATAGCAGCCAATGACCAGAAATCCCTCACGCTCGCGGGGGGCACGTACCATCTCACAGTCGATGGCGACGATGGGCAGGTGCTTGCGCTTCACGCCCTCCTTCTTCTCCATCTTCTTGGGCAGTCGCACAAACAGCGACAAGTTGGGCGGAGGCCGGTTCGACGAGCCCGTCAGCCAGTCCTCTCGCTTCGACACCTTGTAGATGGGGAACCGGCTGGCCTTCATCTCCTCCTGCGTGGCGATGAACTCCTCGAACAGGCTGACCACCGCCGCCGTGCGTAAGCAAGGATTGGGGAGAGAGTTCGGTCAGGTACGCACAACGTGGGTGGCTGGTGATGAGGGTGCGCATCCAAATACCTGGCCCTGTCCGTCGGGTCGGGCAGCTTGCTCACCAGCTCTTGGTACTGCTCCTGAAGCAGAACGGCGACCTCCTTCTCCACTTCCTTGGCCTGCGAGGTGGACATCTTCTTCTGCAGGTTCGCATCCGTGAGGATCAGGGTGGCCACCGTCTCGAAGACGCGGTACCTGGCGATGTACCCAACATGCGGGTCCCGTCAGACTGATGACCACACAACCACTTGTGGGGTGAAGCGCCATGCACACGTACTTACTGCCCGGAGCATTGAAGGCCGTCGCCTTCTGGAAGACGCCGCCTTCTTCTGTGGTCAGCATGTTCTTGAGCAGGCCCTTGTGCTTGATGAGCTCGGCTGCGAGAGAGAAGGCATGATGAGCAAAACAACGAACGGCAACGAACGCGACGCTGATGCAGGTCACGTACCCTGGCCAAGCGATCGAATAACGACCATCACGGTGGTGGGCAAGGTAGCGGGGTTGCTGAAGAACACCGCCGGCGAGGGCTTGGCCTGCACGGCGTAGAGCCACAGCAGGAAGTCGCGCAGGTCCTGCCAAGCCAACATGGAAGGTGAGAATCTCCATTTGTATTGAGCAGGAAGGACCCAGCACGCCACCTTGGTCTTGAGCTGGGCGGCCAAGAGGTCCACCGAGGGGTTGGAGCTGCCAGTGTTGGAGTGGTGCAGCAGCTTCTGCTTCTTGCTCTTCTTGGGCTTCTTGGGCTTCTTCTTCTTCGTGCCGGCGGAGGGAGTAGGACTGGGCTCGTCCAATGCCTTGGCGGGCGTCGTGGCGGGTGCCGCCAGGAAGGCCGTCAGGGCCTCGAGCTTCCTCTTCTTGTCCGTCACGGACTGGCGCGCTTCGGCGACCACCTCCTGCCGGGTGCGGCTGCGCGAAGAAGATGCAGAAGACGAGGAGGAAGACGTGGTGGATGAGGCAGAGGTCACCTCTTCTTGCTCCTCCGATGTGCGCGTGCGGAAGGCACGCTTTTTTCGTGACGTAGGCGGAGTATTGGCCTGCTCCTGCTCTGATGGCTGAATCTTACCGCCATCGCCATCAGCACCGAATTTGCGTTTCTTCATTTTCTGCAGGCTCCCCGTCCAAGCCTGACGAATGGACGCCACAAAGCCGGACTCCTTTCGCTTGCCCGAAGGATTATCGCCTCCTCCGCCATTAGATGCATCTGATCCGTCCATCTTCTTTATGTCCACTCCGCAACGGAAGAACCAAAAATGATTTTAAAAAAATAATGAAAATGAAAAACACGAAAGAATCCGAGAAATCGTTCATCATTTATTGCCGCCAAGGGATGAGTTGAATATGTGAAGTCCTGGGCTGAGGTGACAATTGGTTCATTGTTTCATCTTCCGCTTCACTCCACGAGAAACAACCCGTCGTCTGACGATGCGTACCTGTACGGCCTGGATGGATCTTTCTGTCTTTATTTTTTATTTTTTAGATTTGAAAGCTGCAGCTTTTGCGCAGCTTTCGTAGGTCGGCGTTTGGTCTCGATTGGTCCAATGGCTGGCGCCTCTCCGAGCAACAACGCGGCCAAAAAGAGGGAGACCCTTGACATCGGATCACCATCCGTGGCGGCTGTGTGTGGACTAAAGCGCGAACCTATCCACCCACTTCCTCCTCCTCCTCCTCGCCATGAGTACGCCCAGCGCAGCAGCCTCTGAGGCCAAGTCGCCCCGTAAGGCTCCTGAACCCGAGAAGAAGCCCGCTCCAGCCACCCCCGCCCCCGCCGCAGCTGCCCTCACCACCGCCCCCGCCGCGACTGAAGCGGCTGGAGCCGAGAAAAAGGCATCTGGAGGACTCGCAGCCAGGAAGAAGAAGAAGGAGATGGAAGACGCCTCAGCTTCGGCCTCATCGGATGACGACTCTGTATCGTCGGAGAAGGCGCGTCGCCCGAAGAAGGAACGGCCAGACGCCGCGAAGAAGCACGGAACGGCGCGGAAGGAGAAGATCAAGGTGCCCAGCAGCACCGGATCGGCCGGTCTCTTCCTCAAGAAGGCCGAAGAGAAGCCGGCCAAGGGCGATTCGAAGGTCAGCGAGGGCGGCGAGGGGGGCGTGCCCGCCCTCAAGCTGTCGCAGGAGAAGCTCGAGGATGAAGAGCTCGAGGCCATGCGCCTCAATCCGGCCTACGCCAAGAAGACGGACCTCAAGGTCCCCTTCCCCGTCTACGAAGCCTACCAGAAGATCTCTGAGTTTGCCTCCACGTACACTTGCCCCCCCCACTTCACCCGACCCCCCATATATTCATCTTCATTCCCGTCTTAATCTTTTTACTTGTTTGCCCCTACTTAGGATGTACACATCGTGGGAGGAGGCCGAGGTGGTCTTTGTTGGACCCCGAGGAAGCGGCAAGACCACTCTCATTGAGAGCATTCTCGGCCACCCTGGTGCGTTTCCCTCTGTGTGTGCGCCCTCTCGCTGGGTGAAGAGAATCATCGCCTAATTCTCGCCACGACGTGTAGTGTCGGTGGTGCGAGAGGAGGCGAGTAGCGAGGGCACCAGCAGGAGGCCTCTGTTCATTCACATGCTTAACAACCTGAGCTGCGAGGAACCGCGCGTCACCATCAAGCGAGAACAGGCCAAGGCCAAGGGGGAGCTTTCTCCGGACAAGTGCGCTCTCTTTCTCATAGACACCGCACCCCGCTGGGCACTCTTCTCACCGTGGCACACAACGCAATTGATAGAGTGGTCAACATCGAGGAGCTGCCGGCGGAACTTGAGAAGAGGAACGCGCTCAGCGGCTCCGCTCCGATTCGTGTCATCTACGAGTGGCGCTACACCTGGAACCTCACACTCATCGATACGCCCGGTACGTCGCCGCCATACCACGTGACTGTGCAGTTGTCCAGCCACAAGGTGGGTGACTGACGTGCATGGCTCTTAGGCTTGATGATGGACAACGTCGTATCGACCCCCGACACCAGCGTCGGTACTGCTCGCCGCCACACACACGCCCCACATCCGCTAGACCTAATCGATCTGCACCCCGCTCACACCAGGCTCAGCCACCTACTCTCGGTCGAGCGACATCGAAACGCTCGCCGACCGCCAAAAGGCCAAGCTTGACAAAACGGCAGAGGAGTTGGTTACCCCGCCGCACCGTCTGATCGTTGCCGTGGAGCAATCTCAGAAATGGTACCTATCTGGACATGGCGGATTGATGTGCGCGTGTGTGTGTCGGTTGGTCTCAAACAGACGTTCGTCCCCATCACCAGGGATGGTGTGCAAATGGTGGACTGGGTGACGAGGGTTGACCCGAGAAGAAGCAGGACGATATTCGTCTACACCAAGTTCTTCCACAACACCCTCCGAAACATGGCCACCACCAAGGACCTCAATGACTACTTTGCTGGTACGGACATGGACATCATGCCCGGTCTCTCTATTCTTGGCATGCGAGCTTAATGCAGTCTCCCACCTGTGTCAATCTCACAGGCGCCCCGATCAACGGAGCCTTCTTCGTTTCCGTGTTCTCCGCTTCGCTGCGAGCCAAGCTCATACCGGACAGGGTAACTATCCACTCGGCACATGGAGTGCTGACGCGTGTGGTATCTAAACTGATCGCATCGTTCGAACCATAACCAGGCGGAGTACGCGACAAAGGTGAAGCTTGCGTCCCAGCGAGACATGAACTTGTTGGAGCAGCTCAAGTACGACAAAAACTACTCGCAGTGGCTCGAGGTCCACTCCCTCAAGAAGTACATCCTCGAAAAGACCTGGAAGCTGTACTACGACAACATCCCCAAGCTGCTCACCTCCATGAACTCGGAGAAGAGGTAACCTTGTTCTGTTGCAATCAAGTGGGCTTCAGCTGATCTGGTGGTGCTGTTTGGCAGTGAGATGAACAAGAAGATGGAGCGAGCGGCCAGGGAGCTGGAGGACCTGAAGCTGCACAACCTGCGCAGCATTGCCGCCACCTATCTCATGGAGTTCCTGCACGCGGTGTCCCGCTTGATCGAGGGCACCAGCGAGGGCATGCCATCGCTCTACGGCTCGACATCGGAGGAGGAGAGGCAGCTGCTGGGCGAGTGGATCGACGCCAAGAAGGACCTGATCAAGGTCAAGAGGAAGTGGAAGCTGCCTTACCTCGACATCAAGCTCTACGGCGGCCAGCAGTTCGAACGCCTCTTGTCCGAATTCAAGATGGTACGCTCGCGCACCACTGTCTCGAGTCCCGCCACCCTCCAAGCCAACACTAGTGCGCAAACAACCTTTTCACGTTTACAATAGGTTGTCGAGCACACGGCAAGTGTGAAGGCCACGTCTGATGAGCTGGCCAACGCCGAAAGGCGAAACGGTACTTCGATGGACCAGTTGGCGTGGGCGGCGTCGGACGCGGCCCAGAGACACTCCCAGCAGGTGCGTACGGCTCGCGCAAATAGGAGAGTATTTGCTTTAGCCGGATGCTGACCCCCGCCACACGTCCGTACAGGAGTTCTATCCGCTCATCCAACAATTGAGCAAGCGAGCGGTGCACATTTTCCAGCATCTGGGCCGCGTGGCCGAGAACATGGTCGAGAGCAAGAGGAAGGCCTCCCGGGCCGGCCACACCTCATCCATCGACGAGATCGAATACATCGACGTTGCGGTTCGTGTAGAGTTGGGGGGGGGGCTTAACGCAGTTGTTGACACCTTCCGCATTGCAGGCTGGAGGTCTGCTCGACAAGGTGGAGAGCTTCCCCTACTTCAAGAAGAAGGTCCTGGAGCTGTACGAGCAGTTCGTGGAAAGACGAGCGCAGTACAGTCAGGAGAGGAGCATGGACGAGTTCTACTGCACCCGCCTGATCTATTGGGAGATCACCAAGTACGAACGCGCTACCTGCAGTCCCCCCCCCATCACAACTTGACGACCACACCGCTGACTTGTGATTGCCCATCATAGCTTCGAGAGCCTGCCCGATGACTACACCTCGAGAGGACAGGAGAGCGTGGCCAGGCTCGCCGACTCTCTCTGGGAAGACATGCGCACCCGCATCGCCCACAACGTGGCCCTCAAGTGCCACCACTTCTTCCTCGTCCCCATGTACCTTACCTCCTAGGGAGCTCCCTCCCTTGTCTCCATTGTCACCGATAGTCGAGACTCACACATTCCTCCCCACGCACATCAGGGAGACGGAGCTGCCGTCCGAGTTGCAGTCGCACTTCTCGTGCCTCTCCGATGCGCAGATTGAGGAGATCTTTGAGGTGCACCCGATCCGAGAGCGACTCACCCAGGAGCTCGCCGGGCTCAAGACTCGGCTGGCCAAGTGCGAGGAGAACCTCAAGAGCTTCACCACCGCTGCCTCCAGCTTCTCCAACTCCTTCAACTTGTAACACCATCATGGTCCCTCTAGAAGACAATCATCGAGCTCTTGTGTTGTTCGCCGTTTGCAGCGTGGCTGAGATAGGCTGGGATCAGAGCAAACAAATAAAATGCGTTCAGAAAAAGAAAACAGGTGTTGTAGTTTTCAAGCAGACGACTTACAAGATGAACAACGAGCAGCGCACCACCCTCCTGGTTAGGCACGGCATCGAGATTCTCGGCCCGATCGAGAAGGGGTACGAGCAGGTCCTTACCGTCGATGCCCTCGTCTTCGTTGCCGAGCTGCACAAGCGATTCGACGCTCGCCGTCGGACTCTTCTTGCTGCCCGCGATGAGCGTCAGTCGAGGATCGATGCCGGCGAGATGCCCGATTTCCTCCACGAGACCCGACACATAAGAGAGGTACAACCCCCCGTACCATTACCAATCTTTTGGTTGCTCTGCATTTACATTTATTTAAAGATGAAATCGAAACAAAAATCATGAATGGCGCGTGTAAAGTCGGAATGGAGGTGTGGCAGCATCCCGGAAGATCTGAAGGATAGGCGCGTGGAGATCACCGGCCCGGTCGACCGCAAGATGATCATCAACGCTCTCAACTCGGGTGCCAAGGTCTTCATGGCTGACTTTGAGGACTGTACGCACTCGCCCCCAAGTCTTTGTGGAGACACCATAACCCTAACCCGCCACGCACCCACACGACAGCCTCTACGCCCACCTGGGAGAACGGCATCACCGGCCAGATCAACCTCTAGTACCCGCTCCCGCGCAGCCCCCGCACCGGACCATCAGAGCCTAACCGTTGTGTCTTGTGTGTGTGTGTGTGTGTGTGTGTGTGTGTGTGTGTGTAGCGACGCCATCCGGAGGACGATCAGCATGAAGGTCGGCGAGCGCGAGTACAAGCTCAAGAACCAGACCGCCACCCTCATGGTCCGCCCTCGCGGCTGGCACCTCGATGAGGCCCACGTTCTCGTCCACGGCAAGCCTGGTATGCCCCCTTTCGTGAACTTCTCAAACCGACTGGCGAAGAAACTGACCACCTTCTCCGGTGTGCCGTGTGCGGTCACAGTGTCGGGTTCGCTGTTCGACTTTGGTCTCTATATTTACCACAACGGCCACGCGCTGCTGAGCCGCGGCTCGGGTCCGTACTTCTACCTGCCCAAGATGGAGAGCCACCTGGAGGCGCGCCTGTGGGCCGACGCCTTCCGCTACGCCGAGCAGCGCCTGGACATTCCCCACGGCTCCATCAAGGCCACCGTGCTCATCGGTACGTCGGGGCCTCCTTCTCCCTCAAGACGCAAGCTTGCGTCTCACAATCGCTGGTGAACAAAATAATAATATAATAATCACTTTATATCAATTCTTATTACAGAGACTATCCTGGCCGCGTTTGAGATGGACGAGATCCTCTACGAGCTCCGCGACCACAGCGCCGGCCTCAACTGCGGCCGCTGGGACTACATTTTCTCCACCATCAAGAAGTTCATCAACCACAAGTACGTCGCCACCCCCCAGCCTGGGCCGGAATGAGCGTTGCTAATTAGATCACGAATGGGCGCGTTAGGGATGCTGTGTTCCCCGACCGCGCTCTGTGCACGATGCGTTCGCACATGATGGCGTCCTACGTCGACCTGCTGATCAAGACCTGCCACAGGCGAGGCATCTTCGCCATGGGTGGCATGGCTGCCCAGATCCCCATCAGAAACGACAACGCCGCCAACCAGGCTGCCCTCGCCAAGGTGCGGCTTTATCTCTCTTTTCTCTTTGGTTTTTTCTGTTTTCTCTTGTTCTACTACTTCCACTACTACTTTCACTACTACTTGGCGCTCACGTTGCTGGGTGCAGGTTCGTGATGACAAGCTGAGGGAGGTGAAGGCCGGACACGACGGCACCTGGGTGGCTCACCCCGACCTCATCCCGATCGCCATGGAGATCTTCAACGAGGTACGCACACCGAGCTGCACCGACCTGCAACACGACAGCTCTGGAGTTGGTTGGAGTGCTCACCACACTCGCTTCGATCACATGGCACTCTGCAGCACATGAAGACCCCCAACCAGATCCACGTGAGGAGGGACGACGTGCGCGTGACCTCCGACGATCTTCTCAAGTTCCCCAAGGGCGACATCACCCTGGTACCCCCTCCCCACACAGCACACAACCCAATGTCCGTGCCACCACTGACCCTGGGCTCCTTTTGTGTTCTTCTGCTTCTGAAGAACGGCCTGCGGGACAACGTGCGCGTGTGCCTGGTGTACCTGCGCGCCTGGCTCTCCGGCCGCGGCTGCGTGCCCATCAACAACCTCATGGAGGACTTGGCCACCGCCGAAATCGGCCGATCGCAGGTCGCGCAGTGGATCCGCCACGGCGTGAAGACGACCGACGGGACGCAGGTGACGATCTCGCTGGCGCTGAAGATCTTGAAGGAGGAGACGGACGCCCTCCGCGGCTCCACCCCGGCCTCCAAGACGCCCTCGGGCGCGGCCGACAGCCTCGCGCTGGCCCACGACATCTTCGCCAAGGTCATCGTGGCCGCGCCCGCCACCTTCTACGACTTCTTCCCGACCCTCGCCTACCAGCACATCCTCACCCTCCAGCCTCCCTTCCACCCGCGCTTCTAGAATCGTCTCGTTTCGTGCACGATTACAAAGCGAGCAGTCGTACATTCTCAACACATGTTTCCCTCTAATGGTGTAATGTTGCGGGCCTTAGGCGTAGTTGAGGAGGGAGACGACGGGGTAGCCGGCGGCGGCGAGCTTGGCCTTGCCCGGGAGGTCGTCGAGCGAGATGACGAACGAGGTGGCTGCCACCACGCCTCCGGCCTTCTCCACCAGCTGGCAAGCCGCGAGCGCCGTGCCGCCCGTGGCGATGAGGTCTGCAAGTGTAGAAGAAGGAGGAGAGGGTCAAAAGTGGCGAAAGCGCAACAAGGAGGACCAAGCTTTGTCAGTACCGTCGGTAACGACTACGCGCTGACCCTCCTTGACGGCGCCGACGGGGATCTCGAGCACGTCCTTGCCGTACTCCTTGCCGTAGGACACGATGTGGCGGTCGCCGGGCAGCTTGTTGGGCTTGCGGAGCATGACAAAGCCCACGTTGAGCTCAAGGGCCAGGCCCACCCCGACCAGAAATCCGCGCGCCTCCATTCCAGCGATGAGATCGATCTTATCTGCGAGGCCGGCGCTACGCAGCTGGTCGGCCATGAGCTTGAAGGTCGCGCGCAGGCCAGCCGCATCTCCAAGTAGGGGCGTGATGTCCCTGAACAAGATGCCGGGGCTGGGGAAATCAGGCACCGATCGAATGAGGCTCTTGAGCTGGGTCACCTCCGCGCTGTCACCCACCACTTCAGCCTCTTGTGGCTTGCCTTCCATCTTCTTGATCTGGTGTGATTTCTTTTCTTTTTGTTATTTGAATTGGTTCAAAATTGTTGTCGACTGTGGCTTTGTCGCACGCCAGTCTCTTCTTCTTCTGCATGTGATGTGAAGAGGCTAGAAGAGCGTGCAGCCCTTCTTCTTTTTCTTCTTCTCTCCGTCGTCGTTGAGGTCGACCACGCCCTTCCTTGATGACGAACTCGACTTGGCGGTCTTCCCTTTGCCCACCGCGCCCGCGGTGCCCCGGCCGGCCTCGGGGACCTTCTCGACGATCTGTGTGAGGAGGAGGTCGAACGCCTCCTGCACGCCCTTCCCCTCCTTGGCCGACGTCTCCACGTAGCTCGCACCCAGCTTCTCGGCATACGCTTTGGCCTCTTCCGTGCTCACAGCCCTGCACGCACACACCTCATGAGTGCCAAGCGCAAGCCAGGCTAGCGGCAGAGGAAGGAGAGGAAGCGGCCACATACCGCTGGTCCACCAAGTCACTCTTGGTGCCCACAACCACTTTGACGACACCCCCCACCGTGTAGCGCTCCACCTATCGCGCCAGGACGCGTAAGCAAAATATCGCACATCGACGGCGAGCAAGCAGCGCGTGTCGTACGCCGCACACGCCCAAATAGAGACGTCCTCATGGGCGCGACTCGTTCCCAGCGACAAGGAGAGGGAAGATGGTGCAAGCGGCACACTTGTGGGAGCGGTACCTCGGCCAACCATTCCTGCAGGTCGTCGAAGGACTCCTTTGATGTGATGTCGAACGTGAGCAGAACGCCGTTGGCGCCTCGGTAGTAGCTGCTTGTCACCGTCCTGTTATTCAGTCGGTGGCGAGCCACACACTGCCGTCAGCAAGGCCACCCAACAACTACTTCGACCCAAGCAGAGAGCCGAACCTGAATCGTTCTTGGCCGGCTGTGTCGATGAGCTGTACTTTGAACGTCTCCCCCAGTGCAGTGCACGTTTTGAATTTCACCTCCTGATCGATTGTCACTTGTGTAGGCTGGAAGCTGTCGTCTTTGGTATCAAAATCGGTGGGAGAAATTAACGGTCAGGCGATTTAGCCACAAAATCTGTGAATTGGAGGGACCCGTACCGAGGAATCGCGTCATGAGGGAAGTTTTGCCTATGCCATGGTCCCCCGCAAGTCTTACCTTGACAAAGTCAAGCTTCAAATCGAGGTCCAACGACATTTTGTAGCGGTTTTCAAGTTGCGCCGACGGGAATTCTTGCTTTCGAGAACGATGGTGGCGCGTATGTGAATGTACGATTTGCGTAGAACGTTGGCTCCTTGGCCTCTTCACTCGTCTGGCTGCGTGGTAGATTGAATTAGCGTTCGTCTACGAAATCAAGGCTGGTCTCAGTTCGCCGTGTGCTTCTTTGTCACCCGCTGGCGCACGTGAGCCGAATACCGAAGTGCAATAAGGCACTTGGTGATCCACCATTGGGCTGTAGTTGCTTCGCCTCGTTCCCTTCCTGAACGTCCTGCACCGAAAATGTCCCCCATGGTCTGTTATTCTCCCTCTCCTACAGGCCAGTTCGTTGCAGGCAACCACCATCTTTTCCTGCGGCCACCGTGGTGCTTGGTGTCCTTCAAGACACGCCGCTCGCGCCACGCGTGGCTTTCTTTGGTGATTGTTCTTTACTTTGTTGGTTGTGTAGGCTGATGAGAGGGGATGTTCCAGGTTTAAGGTCAACGCACCTCAGGTGGTGAATTAGTGCGAAGGTTTTACGTCCTGTGAAGCTCTCTACAACAGCAAACTGACTACCACGGCCATGGGTGGGGCTGCAGCAGTAAGCATTGCCGTCGATGGTTTAGATAAACTTTTTTAAATCCACCGCTCAGCCATTTGTGTCGTCTCCGCCCGTCGGCAATTATGGGAGAGGTCCGGAGTACCCCAACCACCTCAACAAGAAGCACACTCACCTCCCGAGGATGATCTGTTGCAGAGTGTTTTGTAACCACGCCCGTATGTACCACTTCCATTTCGCGCCGTGAATGTATCTCACCACAAAACGCAACCTTTCTTCTTCTTCTCGGGCTCCTCTCCAATGCTGATCGTATCCCGTGTGGAAACCGTGCCGGGTCCCTTCTTCGCTTCCATCTTCTCGACGACGGATCCGATCAAGAGGTCAAAGGCCTCTTCCACGTTGACCGCCTCGCTGCACGATGTCTCCAGGAAGTGGTCGATGCCCAGATCAGCCGCTAGCCGCTTTCCTTCATCTGTGCTCACCACGCGCTCTGCAACTTTATCCTCCTTGTTGCCCACGAGCATCATCACCTTGATGTCCCCCGACATGTATCGCTCGGCCTGCACACGACACAGTGGGTTGCGCTGAGCTTCCAGTTTCGTTACATGCCTGTGGCGGCATGCTGCAGGGGCTTTACCTCTTTAAACCACGAGGTGCGAATGGCGTCAAAGGACGCTCGGCTGCAGACGTCGTACACCAGCATCAAGCCATGCGTCTTTCTGTAGAAGCTGCTTGTGATCTGTCTGTGGCAATGAAAGGCAAAGAGTTTGAGACCATGCCCTCACGAAACGGAAACCCCACTCGCCAGCAACTTTTGATTGTAGGGGGGGGGGGTAATCTACCTGAACTTCTCCTGTCCTCCGGTGTCGATCATCTCCACCTTGACCTTCATGTTGCGGATGTCCACAACCTTGGAGTGCACATCGCCGCCGATTGTCACCAACTCGACCGATGAGAAGGTGTCCTGAAACCACCGAAGCAAAAGCGACGTCTTCCCCACAGCAATATCCCCCGACGTCCGCAGGTGGACGTTGTAGCGCGGCCTCTCCATCTGCCGGCCGGTGGAGAGATTATGAACTATAGGCGGGGGGGGGCACTCCCTCTAGCTCGCTCGCGCACAGCCCTTGCCTTTGGGCGCAAGGGTGTCGTGTGGTTACCAGCTCGAAACGACCGAGCAAGACTGATTAGGAAAAAAGAAAAAAAAGTTGCCCACAAAATTGCGTCGATTCCTGACATTCCCCAAGAAATTCAGGGCCAGTTGCCCACTGCCGGAGCAGCAGCTGGGGCCGACTGACGGGCCTTTGCGCATTGTTCTTCTCCGTTTCACACGCCCGTACAAGCTTCTCCACGATGCAGCATCCCGTTGTTATTGTCGGTGCCGGCGCTGCAGGTGACGGAACTCTGCCGGAGGCCTTTTATTTCTGCATTTTGTGGATTTGTTTGGCCGGCGAGCTCACCGTGGCTGTTTGCTGCAGGCCTGTATGCTGCCCACGTCCTTCAGAAGGAGCACAACATTCCCGTGGAGCTCGTGGAGGCTGCCGACTACGTCGGAGGCCGTGTAAAGCAGGTCCGCCTCCCTCCGAATTATTATTGTTAAACTAAAGAATTAATTTTTTTTGTTCATAATGCTAAGTAGTAATAGTATAAATGACAGTAGTATAATTATAGGAACATTAATAGTATTATAACTTCTTTTTGTGCCACACTACAGGACTGGAAGTTCAGCGGCAACGGCAGGCCCATCGAAATCGGTACGTGCACACGCTGCTCTGGCAGTGCAAGCGCACAGCGGGGTCTGATGACGTTGGACGCGCCACAGGCGGCGAGCTGGTGCACGGAGAGAACAACATGCTGGGCAAGATGGTGCGTGAGCTCGGCCTTGACACCGCCGACGTCTTCAGCGTCTTCCAGGTGAACACCTCGCGCCCCGAGTACGAGTACTTCTACCTGGGTACGCTGTCCCGTCCTGGTCGCGCTTCTGTGTGGACCCTCGTGCCGGCCTATGCCTCTAACACCACTCGCCGCTGTGCCCGTTCGCGATCACAAAGGTCGGGAACGCAAGCTGTTCGGCCTGCACAGTGATGACGCTGACCTCCAGCACCTCTACAAGCTCATCGGAGAGCTCGAGGAGAATCCCCCCAAGGGCGACGTCTCGTTCATGCAGGTAAGCACCCGCACAGCTAGGCTCCACCGTGCCTATGTTAATGCGCATCAGGAAGGGGCCATCGTTTACTTCACTCACCTGTACCCCGACTGCAGTGGTTGGTCGATCACGGACTGCCCTACCGCATGCTCGGCGTTGCCGACGCCCTCTATGCCAAGGTAATGACCCCCGTTTGTCTATTGGATCCTCATCACACCACTGAGCACTGCACTGGTCTGGCTCGCTGAAGTTAATCTCTCTTTCTCTCTCTGGGTTCGCAGACGTGGGGCACCACTGTGGACAAGCTCAGCGCCGTGCAGTTTGCCGTTGAGCAGGCCGCCGCCAATGAGGAAGAGGGAGAGGGCAATCTGCAGGTACCGCCGCCACGTGTCGTCTGACCATGCGCTGTGTCCCGCAGACACCTGACCCCCGGTGCGACCAAACAGGTGAAGCAGTCGTACGCTCCCGTGATCCAGCGCTTGCAGAAGGACCTGAAGATCCACCTCAATTGGCCCGTGAAGAAGATCGATTACACCAACCCCGACGCCATCAAGGTGACCAACGCCCGCGGAGAGGTGCGTCCACCATCTCGATGTTTTTCGCACGCGCTTGGCGCTGGGCACCACCTTATTGATGACCTTTGCCTTCATTGATTTGCAGACTGTGCTGGCGAGCCAAGTGATCATCACCGTCTCGCTCAAGGTGCTCCAGGAAGGCGACATTCAGTTCGTCCCCTCGCTCCCCCAGGACAAGCTGCGTGGCATCGCCGGATTGCGCATGGATGCCGGAATGAAGGTGCACGCTCTCTCGTGAGCCATCTTGCCCAGTTGCAGAAGCTGATAGGAGCCGACCCTTTTTCCAGATCTTTGCCAAGTTCAATAAGATCTTCTGGCAGGAGAAGCACCACCTCGTGATCTGCGCTGACACTTTCGTACGCCATCATCACAATGCCGTGTGGCTACTCTGGCCTCCGATTGACGCTGAGAATCTTCCTCGATTCCGCTTCCCAGGTTCCTCAGTTCTGGACGTACGGCAAGGACGTTCCCATCGTGACCGGCTTTGTCACGGGTATCCCCCCCCTCCCGCTTCTTGATTTCCTTCCCCGCCACCTGGCGTCTGTCGAGCTCGGCGTGTGCTCACGGTTTGGTTGCTTGCAGGTGACCAGGCCGCAGCGGCCTCCGCCCTTCCGCCCAGGCAAGCTGCCGACTCGTTCATTAAACAGCTCGATGCCGTGTACGGAACAGAGAGCAACCCGCGCCCGGCCACTGACGCCTTTGTGGATTTCATGGTAGGCAGACTACGAGCCGTCCTTTGGTTATAGTCAACTCATCACCCCACTCAATCATTGCGCGCACAGATCCAGGACTGGACCAAGCAGCCCTACGTGCGAGGTTCGTACTCGGCTCCCTCTGTGGGAGGCAACGGATGCCGGGAGGCTTTGGCCAAGGTACTCTCCCCTTGCATTCAACGTGCCCTTTCGGCTCACAGTGAAATCTGACTTTGCCTCCCGCGAATGTGTAGCCCATCGGCCGCAGTATCTTCTTTGGCGGCGAGGCCACCAGCCTCAGCGCCGCGGCCACGATCCACGGCGCGATGGCAACTGGCCAACGCGCTGCAGAGGACCTCCTGAAGGCCCGACAGCAGAAGGTCGCCAAGTTGTAAGCTTTGTCCACATTGCAGACCAAAAACGGTTTTTCTTTCGATTTTCTTGTCACCATACTGGGAAAAATGGGGAAAGCAAGGAATTCAGCGCATGCATTCTTCCCGACATTTTCTCACCTTGCTGCCCGCGAAGGGGGGAGGGGGCGGGAAGAAGTCTTTTTTTCCTTCCTCCTGTGTTTACTCTCCACCACTGTGTTGTGAACGAACATTTGTGGTTCCTCAGGCTAAGTCGGACCCCTCCGAAACTTCAAATCTCTCAACAACACTATGGACAAGCTGAGCAAGGGCGAGATTTCCGACCTCGCGGTCACCTATGCCGTGTGGCTGCTGCACGATGGCGGCGTCTCCGTTGATGTAAGTCGCCCCGCCCCCATTGTCTTAATTTTTCCTGATCAGAATCTAACAGCTGTCCAATCTCCGTGTAAATTTCAGGCCGACAAGCTCCAGACCGTGCTCTCCGCCGCTGGTGTTGATGTGCCCGCTTTCTACACCAAGCTCTACGCTAAGGCCGTCACTGATGTCAAGAAGCTCGACGACATTGTCTCCGCCTCGACCACCGTCTCCGCTGGTGGTGCCGCCCCCGCTGCCGGCTCTGCCCCCGCCGCCGCTGCTGCCCCCGCTGCCGCTAAGGAGGAGGCCAAGAAGGAGGAGGAAGAGGACGATGATGTCTTCGGTGATGGTGGTGGTGATGGTGGTATGGGCCTCTTCGGCGGCGGTGATGAGGATGACTACTAAGCGTCCCACGCCCCAGGTTCCATCGCTCTCAGCCGCAATAAAATTGCCTGAACCAATACTCGTCTCCTGTTCCTTCTTCAGAATTTCTTCTCATCACACTCCCAGAGCAAAGATGACGGGGGCAGATGAGTTTAACTTAGGCTCTCTTCCCTACGACGCCCTATACCACATTGCTTCTTTCCTTGATGGCGAGGATCTTCTCTCCCTCGCTCTTATTGCTCGTTCGATTAGCTCGATCGCCAGCGATTGTCACCTGTGGCGAGCCCTGTTGCGGCGAACGTATGGCCAGCGCACGCCCAACGACTCAGAGACAAGTACAGTCACCAACTTCTTCTTGCCATCCTTGGCTCACTCCCCCCCCCTCTCCAACACGCTTCTCTTTCCCCTTCGGCGTTTGCAGATGGTGACGAACACCAAGAGGCTGATGGGTGGAAGCGGCTCTACTTCGTCCGAAAGCGCGAGTGGGCGAAAGTGCAGCACTCGCCGCTGAGCGTGCGGGTCGAGGTCTGCGCCCGATGGAGCGCGGTGACTCTCCTGCGGGAGGTGCTCACACGCGCGGGCACGGACGTGAACAAGATCGACGGATCCACGAACGTCCTGCACGTCGCTTGCCGCGGTGGCAGCCGGGAGGTCGTTGCGATGCTAGTGGAGGAGTTTAACGCCGAACCGAACAAGAAGAGCCAGGCGCCCATCGTCAGCGCCGCCACTCGCTCTCGCCTGCCGACGCACATGAACTGGCACACGCCTCTGAGCTTTGCCGTCGGGAGTGGCAGCGAAGAGACCGTGCAGTGGCTACTGGAGCACCGCGCTCGTGCGGAGCTGGGCGACTGCGTGGGCTGCCTCATCGCGGCGAGCGCCAAGGGAGTGCCGAGCCTGGTGCGGCTCTTCCTCGAGAAGCTGCGGCCCTTCCGGCCCCGCAGCGGGTGGACGGCCGAACTGCTCGGCAACGGCGATGCCGCGAGCGCCAAGCTGCTGGACGACGTCTTCCTGACCGCCATCGAGCTGGCCAGTGTCAGGAACCTGACGTCGCTTCAGCTGCTGCTCGCCGACGCGCCGGCCGGCCTGGCGAAAAAGGCCACGGCCGCCCTGGACATGGCCGTCCGTGCGGGCAACGCGCCCGCCGTGGGTGAACTCCTCAAGCATGGCGTGCCGCCAACCAAGGGTCCTGGCGAGTGGGCTCCCATCCACGACGCAGCTGTCGGTGGCAATCTGGAGCTGATCCGACTCTTGGTTCAGTACGGCGCTGATGCTGGTGCGCACCCCAATCACCCCATGCCAACCGCGATAGACTGCACTGATGCGAGCGAGCACTCGTATGCAGGGATCGCTGTACACTACGGGGGAGACCGCCAGAACGCTCACATGATCGCGCTTCAAACGCACGGCAAGCCTGACGTGGTCGAGTTCTTGCGGACAGCGCCGTCTCCCATGCAGCGAGAGGCTCAGCTGGTGTTCAGGATTGTCATCGCCTGCTTGAGCCTGGCGCTGTTGGTGGCCGCGTGGTTCACGATCTGACGCGCACCACACGCATACGCCCGCCGCAAAGAAAAAGCCTTTTTCTTGGTCCACTTTTATTGTCGACAAAGCGCAGGCAAAGGCCGGAGAGAAAAGCAGGAAAGGTTGGCACAGCGGAGCAAGGCGTGAAGACGGAGGTCGCGATTTTCATCTGATCCATTCAATTTTCAACTCCCCTACGAAGATGAGCGAGCCCGCCAAGAAGAAGCAAAAGACATCTCACACCGCCATCATCGCTGAGCCCCTGGCGGACAAGAAGCTCACCAAGAAGATCCTTAAGCTCAACAAGAAGGGTGCGTGCGCATAATTCGATCTTTCTCCGAAGGTCCTGCAATTAATTCAGCCTCCATTTTCCGTCATTCAGCCTCCAAGGAAAAGGGGCTGAGGCGAGGAGTGAAGGAGGTCATCAAGGCCGTCAAGAAGAAGGAATCGGGGTACGATTGCGCTATTCATTCACCCCCATCCACCCCTCCTTAGTGCACCCCTTTGACTGGCCGATCTCTTGCTTTTAGTGTGGCCATCATCGCGGGAGATATCTCGCCCATTGATGTGATCACCCACGTGCCCGTGCTGTGCGAGGAGGCCAACATCCCTTACGTCTTCGTGCCCAGCAAGGAGGACCTCGGCGCTTCGAGCGGCTGCAAGAGGCCCACCAGCTGCGTGTTGATTAGCTTGAAGTCCGGTTCTTCCCTGGAGGGCGACCTCAAGAAGGTGGTGAGTGCCATCAAGGACCTCCCCAAGCCCCACAACCCATAAACTCAATCTTCACACACAATCTTTCCGCTCTGCACAAAAATACACAAATTAAAAAAAATAAATATTATTTACGATTTTGTTTATTAATATTGAAGATGGATGGGGCCTCAATCCTCCTCCTCCATGAGCTTTCTCTTGCTGCCCGACTTTCGTTTTTCCTTCTTGCTGCTCTTCGCCTTCTTCTCCGGGGTGGCGTCTGCCTTTTGTGTCGTCTGTTTCTTGGGTGTGGTGGGGGCGGCCTCCGGAAGGGTGGTGCTGCCGTCGTCTTCGTCGAGGTCCTCCGGTCGCAGCATCACGCCTCGCTTCTTCATGGCCTCTTGCACTCGCTGGAGCTGGGCCGTCACGTCCGGATTGACAAGGGCCATCATGTTCTCATCTTGCAAAAATCGTGAGATGTGATCGAGGGCAGACTCTTCGCTCACCTCCTGAATCGTGACTATTTCCATCTCGAGCTCTTGTCTGCCTTCGGCTTTCCGCGCTAACTCAATCTTTAGACGGGGCCGCCAGGAGATGAAGATGCAAGCACAGATCGCGTAGGTTTTCTTTTTCTTTTTATTTTCTGTCGGTGTTGTTTCCTTTCTGGCCAAGTTCGGCTGACTTGCCGCTGACCGCGTCAGCCAAGCAAAAGGGTGAGCGAGACGACAGAGCCAATTTGATTCATCTGATATACAAAAGGAAGAATGGCGGACAGCAAGGCTAGAAACGATACCTTCCGCTACACGGTGTTCGTCCTCTCTGCGGTTGCGTTGGTGAGCGGCCTTATCCTCAACAACGGCGCGATTCTGCAGGGTACGACCCCCCCAACTACTTTCCTTCATTTTCATCACCTGAGACCAATCTGGTGTCTCTCCCTCTAGATCTCATGGACAACCTCAGCCACTCGACTCTCCCTGGCTTCTAAGCTCTCCAATGCTATCGCTCGACCGCCACGCCACTCCTCTGCTTCTCCTGTCACAAAATAAATCTCCAGCACGATTCCGCCATTACACAAGATTCTTTTCGCATGTTGGAGCCACGAGAGGAGCGAATCGTGGATGAGGAGGTGTTGCGCTTCATACTCAGGGCCGATCCACAACGTCTGCGCACTCCAGCTTCGTGCATCGAGCGCATCTCTGCCGATTCCGCCACCTACTCACACTTCTTCAGCAAATTTCTCGTCACAAACAAGTACTGCATGCCCGATTGGATGTTGGATGTTGCGCAGTGCAAGACCCTGAGCGATTCGCGTTCACTCATTCCCAGTCTGGCAGACCGGTCCTTGTTGAGGGTCTTTGCACAGATTGGTCCGCGCTGCAGCACTGGACCGTTGACGCCGCACCCCACGAAACGCAGAGGCAGATCAACTTCCACCACTTCAAGGTGCGTTGGCCAGCCCGTCTCCTCAGCCGGCAGCGTCGGCACCATGAGCATTCCCCACTGGCCGATCAGTCTCACCGCTGGCCGGTCGCTACGTAGGAAAGCTTTGGGAATGCACAGCTCAACGTGGCCGAGTGCGGTGTGCGCGACTTCTCAGATCAGCGACGTCGGCAGATGACGATGAGCGAGTACATCGACTACTGGTGCCGCCACCGAGCTATGCGCGCAGACGAGGGCAAGGTACACCTCCATATATCACCACCCAAGCACCGCCGAGTCGCTCCGTATTCTCATCGACGCATCTGACAAACAGACGGAGGCGGGGTTGTCCCCCGCGGAAATCGAAGAGGCGAAGGCCATTCTCTACAACAAAGGTACCGACCGCACCCCACCACCGCGCCATGAGATGCTTACGCCCGCGCTCGTGTGTTGTGCACACCTGTTCGCTCAGACTGGCACTATGTCAAGCAGAACCCGGGAAAGATAGCCTACACGCTGCCGCTCATCTTCTCAGACGATTGGATGAACCTCCACTGGGACTCTCGGTACCTGCTAGTGCTGATTGACTTCACACATACCGCATGAGCCGGCATGTTTGCACCTGAGGTGCCAACGGCGTGGCTGGGCGCATTGTGCAGGACGGACATTGACGACGACTACCGGTTCGTGTACATGGGTCCCAAGGGTAGCTGGACGCCACTACACTCAGGTGCCTGTCCCATCATCGTCAGCCGTGGCGGGTGGACATCGTTTCTTTGGTGCTTGCACTCACCCCCACGGCACCTGGTCACTCTCCACTGTGTCTGCGCAGATGTGTTTGGGTCGTACAGTTGGAGTGCAAACGTGTGCGGAAGGAAGCGGTGGGTGTTCTTTCCACCCGAGCAAGGCCCCCTGCTCAAGGTAGCCCCCCACATAACACACGAACCAGATCGCGCGGCACACGCCAGACTCACTCACGCACTCATTCCTCGCCCGCCAGGACAAGTTCGGCAACCTCATGTACGACATCGAAGAAGATCAGAAGGTATCGGCATCTGCATCAGCGGCCCGCGGGGTTCGTTATCGCGATGTCGCGTGAATGACTGTATACACCTCTGTACAGGAGGCGGGGAGGTTTCCCCATTTCCAGCAGGCCCGTCCCATCTCTTGCGTCCAGGAGGCCGGCGAGACGATCTTTGTCCCCAGGTACGAAGCACTGTTGTACAACAGCCCACACTCGCGGTCGCTCGTCGCTCACCTCAATTCTTGGTCGGTCCAGCGGCTGGTTTCATCAAGTGTGGAACGAAGAGGGTAACGTGTAACTGCTTCTGCTACCGCTCGTTCGTTGGTTCATCTCCGACCTGACGCTAACCCAACGCACTGTTACTCTGTGCACACACACACACACACACACACAGATACGATATCGATCAACCACAACTGGGCCAACGCTTGCAATGTCGACTTGTTGTGGGCCACCCTCGCGAAGGACTTCCACGCGGTGCAGAAGGAGTTGGATGACTGCAAAGACACGGAAGGTGCGCTTCATTCTTCTCCTCTGGTCAATTCATGGCCCTACCCAACGCCCCACAAACCGCGCACGCGTTGTGTACACACAACAGGGTGGGACGAACAGTGCCAGCTGATGCTTCGCACACTCTCGGGGTGGAACCTCGTCGACTTTGCGCGATTCGTCGCGCATCTTGCTCGCGTGCACCTGGCCTTGCTCGATGGCTGTGACCCGTATGCTCTTCTCTTCTGATGGTGGAAGTGGTGGAAGTGGTGGCTTGATGTGTTGTCCTTCTGCCCTCGCTGAACTCACCCTCGACCGCCACACAGCGCCAAACGAAAAGGTGGCGACGACGACGAAGAGAGCCACTCGAGGGCGAAGAGCAGGCTTCTGCTGGCGCTCTTCAGTCTGGGCCGGCTCGCGCGGGTGGCAGAGGATCTGCTCCGCTACGAGGCCGTCGCGCGCCAGGTCAGCGGCGATGACGGTGAGCTGCGCTTCGAAGCCGCCACTTTCGCCCGCCTGGTGGCGGACATTCCCCGCATCATCACGGCCGAAGTGGCCGAGCCAGGTCGACCATGACGTGTTGGACCACGTCTTCCCTAATTTTTGTTGTACTTTTTCGTTTTTCTTTGTTTTTTGGCTTCCTCTTCGCACTTTTCACTCCCAAACGCAAACATGGCACGCGATGTGGTGGATGAACTGCTGACGGGCTATCCGACAGTGTTCTACTTCATCGTCTCCGTGTTCTGCTTCCACCTGGCCGCTCTGGTACACGCCGCAAGCATCATCGCCATCAATTAATATGCAGAGATTAATCCGGTGCGGCTTGATGGCTCAGGTTTATTGGATGTACACCATGTTCTCGGAGCCAGCCACAGCGACGACCCAAAAGCGTGTCCCACGAAAGCGGTATGACGACAAGGGCCACTGAACACAACCCGACGGATCATCATCTTGTACATAGTTCTATGTCTCTGTCTCAAGAGCGTTTTGCTTCACGCATGCGATCTCTGTGTGTGTCGTGTCGTGTGCGTGATCTCTCTCTCTCTCTCTCTATGGGTGTGTCGTGTCGTGTGCCCCTGCGCAAGTAGTGGGCGCTTAGCGTTGAATGCGTTGGTTCAGTTTGAGGAGCTGTACAGGCAGCCCGCGATTGCTGAATCGGTGGAGGACGGTCCACGTCGTGTCCTTCATGCACCGCTGGAAGTCCTTGTACCCGTTCACCACCACGACCTCCGTCAGATCGGGCCGCCGCACGAGCATGCGCTCGAACCGCCGGAACAGGGCCGGCAGCGACTGGCCCCGCGGCAGCAGCCGGACGCCGTAGGGCGGGTTCGTCACCACCACCGCACCGCGCGGCACCCTCGGTTCCACCTTCATCGTCACAGCACACGACTGTCAGCTTGATGGCTTGGTAACTTTGGTGGTGTTGGTGAAAGCGGTGTGTGCGATGGCGTGATGGTGTACCTCATCAAAGTCGCCTTCGACGAAGGAGTAGGAGGCGGGGTCGTAGCCGCCCAGCAGCGCGTTGTGCTCGGCGGAGCGAATGCACTTGGCGTCGATGTCCGACCCCAGGGCGATGAGTCCTCGGGCCTTCATCGCCTGGGCCAGCGCGTCCTCGGGCTGTGTGGTGCCGGTATCACGTCGTCGTAAACAGTGTGTCGTGTGTGTGTCATTGTCATGTGTCGTGTGTCGTGTGTTGTGTGTCGTGTGTGCGGTGTGATACGGGAGAGTAGAGGAAAGGCGCACTGCCGAGAAGAGGCGGGCGACGTAGGACTGGTAGGGCGAGGAGGCATGGCTCCGCCACAGCTCAAACGCAAACTTGCGGGCGGGGAGCTGCGCCGGCCTGTGCGAATGCAATGATTCACCGAGCGCCTGCGCCGAGCTGGTCAGGACAGGCGAAGGTGCGCGAAAAAGTCATGAACCCTCGTGTGTGTGTGTACCTCAAGCAGGATGGTGCCGCTTCCGGCAAAGGGATCCCAGAGCACCTTGGGCGTGTGCTCCTCCAGCAGGCGCTCACGTGTCCAGCCGGCAGCGCGGAGGCTGGCAAGAAGGCGGGCGGACGGAGGTGTGTTACAAGAGGAACGGTGCACGAGCAGAGTGAGTGAGTGTGTACCAGGCGGCGGCTATCGTTTCTCGCAGCGGGGCGTCGGACACGTGCTGGCGGATGCCTCTTCGGTGGAGAAGCACGCCCGAGGCATCCACGCTCACCTTCACAGCAGCCCAGGGCAGCGGGTGAATGAATGGGCGCGGCCGCAAGGGCACCGAATGGAGTGGTGGAGTTGGGGGGCCAAGGCCCGAACGCGTTGCTCAACGCCAACTTACGTACCTCTACGCGGTCGTTGGCTATGCGCACGAAGAAGCGAGAGGCCAGCGCGTTGGAGTGGGCCTGCTCCTCGTCATACGGGTCTTGGACGTCATCATGTGTAGGTGGGGCCATCGGCGGGAGTTCGTCATCGTCGTCGTCGTTGTCCTCCGGCTGTGCTTCCAACCCGTAGAGCTCCTTCAGCCGATTCTCCACGCGCTCCTGTTTCCACGAAACGAGGCGCTCGCTCAGCACCGAGAATGCAGGCACGTCACCTGACATACACCCGGCACCTTTACAGCGCCACTGCAGCCCACGGACAAGCCCGAGCAGAGGCATTGTGTGGTGTGTGTGTGTGTGTGTGTGTGTGAGGAGAAGGAGGAAGAAGATGGTGATGATGACGAAGAGAGTGCAGGAGCGAAGCGTGCCTGTGGTAGAGCATCGATTTCCTGCACGTAACCTGGACGAGAGGGAGCACCACGTCCTCTGGAGCCTGGGCGCCTCTGTCTATTGGCGGCAGGTAGTCCTCCCACGGGAGTCTTGCGCCAAGCACATGTTGATGTCAGCCGCCAGGCGCCCGATGAAGCGTGAGGAAGAGGAGGTGGGTACTTCTTGAGCTGTGAAGCAAACTGCTTGAAGTTCTTCGACACGAATGGAGCCGCGTGCAGCCGCACCCGCAGCGATTCGGCCAACCTTGAGCAGAGCACAAACGATGGTTGCATGCATTAGTTGATTTGTTTGAATTTGCGAGTGAATATGATGGCTGGAGGTTGCCTGCCTGGACTTCCAAGCGATGGTCCACATCTCCTCGTTGGTGACCATGCCCTCCACTCCGCCGTCGTGAGGATGCCAATTGACGCTGTGCTTGCCCGTACGCAGGCCCGGCAGGCTGCGCAGTTCATTGATGAGCAGTCCCTCCAATCCAGGCGTCACGCCCACGAACAGCTTGCGCCAGCTGCCACCACCGGCTACATTCGCTGCACCCCTAATCTTTTGCCCCGTCCCCTTCATCTTGAGCTTCAATCTTGCAGGCGTTGGCGATTTCCCGCCATTTCTTTTATAAGGAAATTGATTTTTTTTTCATTTTTATTTATGTTCTTCATAAACAAGATCGCACCAACAGCCACAGGTGCGTCCACGCCCACTTCTGTTGCTCGAGTGTTGTCCTCACTCGAGTGGGTGTTGGTGGGATTCAGTTACGACCATGGAGACGAGTGTTGTGTCACGTGAAGAGGACGGAGTGACTGTGGAGCTGGTGTGGCGCGGTCCGGCGTGGCTCGGCGAGGGGCCACTCTGGCACCCTACCGAGGGCGCCCTCTACTATGTACGTTGGTTTCCTGCGCCTCATGTGAGCTGTTGTAATCTCGTCTCAATCTCAACAAAGATGAGATTATTTTCGTTGCTCTACTTGCCTCGCGCCGGCCATTCCGGAGCCACACACGCGCAGCCCTTGCCGACACGTACGGCTAACACTCGAGTGCGATGCTCCAGTTGGACTGCATCAGGCCAGAGCTGCACAGGCTCGACGTGGAGACGGGCGAGCACAAGAGCTGGATGATGCCGGCCCTCATCGGCAGCATTGCGCCGCGCGCCAAGGGTGGCCTGATTGCCGCTCTCGGCAAGGGCCGTGCCGCGATCACCTTCGACGACAAGTGGGAGATCAACATCGCCATGGAGCAGGACATCCTCGGCAACATCGACCTCAGGTCCCAGCCTCTGCCCACTCGCACCAGATAGTGTCAAGCCAAACTCAACACTTCTACTACTACTCGACGCTCAAACAGGCTCAACGACGGCAAGTGCGATCGTCAGGGCAGGTTCTGGGTCGGGACTGTGGCCGCCGATTTCGACCAGCCCGATGGCTCCCTCTACCGCCTCGACCTCGACGGGTCCGTGCATGAGATGGAGCAGAAGATCAAGGTCTCCAACGGTACGTGGGTTCGATGGCGCTCTCGGTGGACAAAAAAAAGAAAAAAAAAGCGCTCATTTGGCCACCGCGCCATCGAGCTGCCCAGGTCTTGCGTGGTCGCTGGACAACAAGACGATGTACTACACCGATTCGCCCAACCGCGAGATCTACACCTATGACTTCGACGAGAAGACGGGCAACATCTCGAACAGAAAGTGCGCGCGCTGTTTCCTTCCTCCTCGTGCGAAACCAACCTGACAGGTGCCTTTCCTATGTGTTCCAGGGTGTTTGCCACCATTGCTCAGGACGCCGGTGTGCCCGACGGCTTGACCATCGACAGGTGAGCAACTACCCACTGATCGGCTCACATTTCCCATCCACTCACTCAGGGCTTGCGTGGTGCGTGTGTGTGTTTGTTGTGTGTCGTCAGCGAGGGTAACATCTGGTCGGCTCACTGGGACGGCTACAGGTATGACAGCCTCCTCACATGCACCAAGCAGCTCTTCCACAACTCACCCTTCGTTGCATGAACAGGGTTACCAAGTACAGGCCCGATGGCTCGGTTGACAGGGTGATCAAGATGCCCGCTCAGGTACGCATGTGAAGGCAGTGATGGCCGCTGTTCGCCATCAAGGTACCCGATTTTCTCACACACGTTTGGTGCGCACCGAACAGAGGCCCACGTCGTGCATGTTCGGCGGCAAGAACCTCGATGTGCTCTACGTCACGTCCGCCTCGCGCGACATTGGCGAGACCGAGTCGCTCAAGGGCGAGCTGGACGGCGCCCTCTTCGCCAAGGGCTTGCCCGAGACCGCCTTCCTCGGCTAAAACCCCCTCCGACTGCACCCATTCTCCATCTGCGAACTGGCCGGAAGCTTAGGTAAAGGTAACGAGACGTGACACAACGTGATGTTGAGTGGTTGCATGGTATCAAAACGTGCGGGCCAGTAGTAGAGAGAACTTTCTCTCGCCGGATTTCCCCCACCGCGACTGAAGTGTCGCTCGACCTTCAGCCCCGTGCTCTCTTTACTCCGGAGTGCCCGACAGCGTTTTACTAGTTTTTTTTTTGACAGTCTGTTTGAAGGGGCCACAGACAGCGACTCTGGCGTCACCACCACTCCTTCGATTCTATCGCCCATTTTGCCATCGATCAATTTCGAGATACTCTGATCGATAGTCGCAAGCTTTCTCCCTTCTCCATCTTCGCCCCCTTCATGCCAGAGCCATCATGCTTCTCCGAACCTGGAGTCTTTGATGTGAGCCTTGGGCTGTTCCTGTGCGTGGGCACCCTCATCTCCTTCCTTCCCCAGGTACTCCCCCACCCCTGCCTGTTCGCCTCCCGGGCTACACTCTATTTTCTTTTTCGAATTTTATTTTTCGGGTCATGAAATCAATGTTTCCTCTAAAATTATTTATCATTTTATTTTAATAATCATAATTAATTAAATCGTCTCAAGTGAGCACGTGAGCGGGTCACCCGAGCAGTGCGCCAGTATGAGCAGGTGTTCGCTAAATAGGCAAATGCTGTGTGTTGACGCTTGGCTCTTTGTCCTGTGCGTGCGTGCGCGTGTGCTACGTCAGCACTACTCGCTGTTGCGCCGGCGGTCGCATCTGGGCATCAGCTTCTTGTGGCTGTGGATCAATAATTTTGGCAACTTTTGCAACACCTTCAGCGACGTCCTGGACCAGTGGTCCAAGATCGAGTGCTGCTCGCAGCTTGTACGTGACGTCCTCCCTCGCCGTAGGCCTGCCCTTTCCCATCGCTCGCACACTGCTCACATTTGGCTTGCCGCTGTGTGAACACGCACGCACGACACAGGGTCCTTGGCAGTGTACAGAAGTGCTGCTCGTGTTTTTGCAACTGGGGATCAACTGGGCGTGTATATTCCTTGTGTACGTTGTGCTTTCCCTTCCATCACTCCATGCAGCTGTTGCTATCGGATTGGCCCTGACGATCATCGTCGGCGTTCCATGCTGGATTGCAGATTTATTCTGGCCCTCGTCTTCTTCGACTACGATGGCACAACGCAGTCCTATAACCAACGGCTAACCGCCTGGTTGGGCTTCGTATTCTACGTCGCCCTGGTCGGCTTTGGGTATGCAACCCATTGACCAGCACGCTCACCGATCCCTCCTTCCAAACTTACTTCCTCACTCGTATAGTATGGGGACGGCGTTCGTGTTCGTGCTGCTCATGGACCCGCACTCCGGCCCGGCGCAAACCTATGCCAACACGCTCGGCATCGTGTCGGCCATTGTGCCCGTCTTCGTTTGGACGCCGCAACTCTACACGACCTACAAGCTCAAGGGTCCGGGCTCGCTGAGCTTGACCATGCAGGTCATCCAAACGCCCGGTTCCTTCATCCAGGCGTTCTTCCAGGTTTAACGCGTTTCCACCTTCACCTCAACTTTGCTTATTGCTGGCCCCTTTGATGTATTGCACTGGCATCTGTGGACCCTACGCTCACCTCTCTCGTCGTGTCTCTGTAGATCTGGAGCGGTGAGTGGTTGGTGGGCATGACTGCCGCCATCTCGGGCTTCGAGCAGTTGTTGCTGGTGCTCATGTGCACGTACTTCATGGGCATGTACGACTACCTGTCCACTGTACAATATCGTAGGCGCTTAGTCGCTGGCTCACCTTCAACGTTGGGTGGTGTCGGCCCACTGCAGGGATTGGTGGCGAGCGCGGAAGGCGAAGAAGGAAGGCGGTGCCGGCGAGCCGCTTCTCGGTAACAATGGAGAGGTGGGCAAGGGACTCACCATCAACGAAACGAAGGAGGAGAAGCACGACTTCGAGAGGGCCAAGGTGATCGAGGAGGTCGATCAGGATGCGCCCTTCTGAGTGTGGCGGCAAAGAGAAAAGAGAAAAGAAAACAATCAGTTTCAAACACAGAGATCTCCCGCGCATACTAATCGCGAGGACACGATTGCGCGCTGCTGAGCACATTGGACCCTGCGGCATTTGATAGAGGTTGAAAGCCGTGCGCGTAGAAGAACTCCGTCATGTCTGCAGCTGGCAAACCCATCGTTCGCCAAGGCGGATCGCGGCCCATCTTTCTCAGCTATGTTTGGGGCCTGGGCTGCGCCTTCCTTGGTGGCACGTTCGTCAATCGAGTGATGCAACCCGAGAAGGTAACTTGTGCCCGCCTTAAAAAGATCATGCACTCACCAAGATGGCCAGCATCTCGGGCTCTACTCAATGCGCTAACCACTTCCCTTGCCGCAGATGCCACGATATGCGCATCTTTTTGGAGGTGAACCCAAGAGCACTCAAACGGAGGAAGCCGCTGCACCCACCCAAGATGGCACAGCGCCCACATCAAGCTCATAAAAATACAATAAAATAAATAAAAATTGAATTAAAAATCCGTGTCTTTTAGGCGATTTTCCAGACTAAATGCCCGACAGAAGCAGGCAAGCAGCAACTTCAGATTTCGCCCGCAGCAGGCAAGAAGCTTCTCCCATTCTTTGCGTGCATCCTACTCACCACCGCACCGCCAACGATGCAAGGGCCTCCTTCAACCGATGGATACGCGCCTGCCATGTACGCCTATGGCGCTAGCAAGCAGCCCACCAATCCAGGCGGGGCTGTGATGCACGAAATCGCCTACGAATCATACCCCTTCCCTGCTGGCCAAGCGCCTCCTTCCTCTCCGCCTCCCATCAACAGCAGCGCGGTGCCCATCGTGTCAGCTCAGGCGGCGCACGAGGCCAGGCAGGTCGATCTGGTCAAGTGGTTGCGAGGCGGATGGTCGATGTACTGCGAGAACTGGAAGTACTTCTCGGGCTTCCAGTTCATCGTGTTCTTCATCAACTTCCTGCTCCCGCTCACCTACTTCATCATGACGGCACCGCATGGCGACTTCCACACGATGGACAACACGCCCAGGCCCGACCCCCACGCAGGCGACCCCACCTTCGCGCCCGAGGAGTACCGCGAGCCGCCCATGGATGCCGCCCAGCACCTGTCGCTCCTCTCCCTCCTCACGTGGCCGCTCTACCTGGGCCACCTCTTCGTCGGCCTGGCCCTCCTCAGGGCCAAGGTCTACGGCGTGGGCTACAACACGCTCGACGACGATGGTGAAGAACGCCACAACATCGACAGCTTCGAGACCGACGAGGCCCGGGTGCGACCCCACGACTTCCTCAGCGGCTACTTCCTCTACTTCCCGCTGCTGGCCATCTCGTTCGTGCACGGCCTGCTGGTGGCGCTGGGCCTCGTGTGCCTTATCTTGCCCGGCCTCTACCTCATGGTGGTCCTCGCCTTCGTCGAGCTGCTCTACATCGAGTACCATCATGCCTACTCGACGTTCGACCGCTACTCGACCGAGCCCCAGCCCTTCTCCTTCTGGCAGGCCTTCACGGTCTCGGTCGAGCGGGTGCACCCCCACTTCCTGCGCGTGGCCGGCTTCCTGCTCATCCTGACGGTCGTCTACTACTGCGGCGAGCTGACGATCGTCGGCACCCTCCTCACGGTCCCGTTCACCTCCCTTTGCCTCGTCGTCGCCTTCGAAGACCTCTTCGGCCTCAGGCAGGACAAGGTCAAGGAGCACGGCTGCGTCTTCTCCTGCTGATTGCTGACCGACAACAACGCACACCCACACGACACGCCCGGCCTCGACTCGCGCCTGACAACAACCACACAGCCGCGACGACATCGCCTTTTCCCGCCACCATCTTGCCGTTAGCTTTTTCGCCTTAAGACATTGGGCACCTCTTGTAAGTAAACGATCTGTACATAGCTGCACTGGTCGCGGCTCGCCACTAGGCAGGCTGATGGTCGTCTTGTTGAGCAGATTTTCCCATCGTGTTTTCTTTTCCTGCTCGCAGGCCGGCATTTTCTTTGGTAAAGACACGATCAAGAAGATGAAGAGAGCCGCCCTGCAGGTTCGTGTCTAAGGTCTGTTCACGCTGTAGGAGCTACCTTTAACTCCTCCCCTTTTTTTGCAGAGTATTGCCCTTCGTTCTGAGGAGGCTGCGCTGCGCAGTACGATCCCCCCCTCTTTAATTTACGCGCAATCGAGGGCAGCGTTGAGCATTGCAATTCGTTGGGACGGATGTGCAGATCCCTTTGTGGCGAAGGCCAGCCGCGGTATCAATAAAGTGATCCTGCTCGGCAATGCCGGAGCGGAGCCGAAGATGCGCACGTACAACGACGGTACCGCGTCCGTGACGTACTTCCCGCTGGCCACCAACCAGATCTACACCAACAAGTCCGGCGAGCGGGTGAACAAGCCTCAGTGGCACAACATCGTCATCTACAACGACAACCTGTCCCAGGTCGCCCAAAAGACCGTCAAGAAGGGGTAACGACACCACCACACGACACACACACAATCAGCGGCACACCACGCATACACACGACCACCGCACACGCACACGCACACAATACACTCTTCGGAATCAGAGACGGAATGCAGCTGGCTGCGGTTGCAAACGTCTTTCTCACTCGCTGAGTGTGGTGCGTGTCGTACCTGGGTGGGGGTGATGATCGATGTGGTGATGTTCGCGTGCATTCGAAGATCGCTGGTGTACGTGGAGGGAGCGCTGAGCACGAGGACGTACAAGGACGCCACCGGAGCGGAGAAGACCATATGCGAGATCATCCTGCCCAAGTACAAGGGCGACCTCAACGTACTCTCCAAGAGGGAGGGCCAAGACGAAGAGGCCGGCCACGAAGTGGACCATCACGACCTCGTGGAGGACAAGGAGAACGTCACCCTCGCCTGAACAAATAAAATACGCGATAACAAATAAACAATAAAAAGAAAATTACGGCGTATTTTATATTCCTTTTATTTTCTTGGTGGCCGAGATTAAATCTTTGTTGGAAAGATAAGCAAGAAGGCAAGATGGAGGCCCAGAAGAAGAGGGGACAGTTCCGATTTGTGCCGCCCGTGGAGACCTTCGTGCCACTCGCCGACCCTGCCCCGAAGCGACCCGATGCCTTCGTCGTTGAGGGCAAGCGCCTCGATGGCCGCTCCCCGGATGAATTCCGTCCCGTCTGTACGTCGACCTTCGGCCGCGACTGAACCCTCCCCCACCTACATCTTTTCCTCCATTTTTTAATTTTAGAGAATTTATCTTTAATCTTCTCGTCATGGTGTGCATTGTGCGCTGCAGTCCTCAAAACGGGAGTGATTAGCCAAGCTGCCGGCTCGGCCTACATCGAGATGAACCAAACCAAAGTGATTTGTGGCGTGTACGCTCGTCGCCCTCTTCTTTTCTTCGAGCTCGCAAGGCAGAAGCTGACCGCCGCGGGCGATGGGGTGGTGCTATCTATTTACATCTGCAGGTACGGACCGCGACAAACGCCAAAGACGGTGTACAGCGAGAAGGGCAAGCTCAACTGCTTCTTCAAGCTCGCCACCTTCGCCGAGAACGGCGAGCGACGCAAATACGTCTCCGTACGTCCTACCATCATCATCATCATATGTCTGTCCACGTCACCATCATTGACGCTGGTGATCTGACCTCGTCTTGTCGTGGATCATCATAATCATCCAATGCAGGACAAGGAGGAGAAGGAGCTGAGCATGCTCATGGTGCAGGCGCTCGAGGTGTCGCTCCGACTGGAGACGTTCCCCAAGTCGGAGCTCGACGTCTTCGTGCTGGTGCTCGAGGAGAGCGGCGGCATGGTGGGCGCTGCCATCACCGCCGCGTCGCTGGCCCTGGCCGATGCCGGCATCGAGATGTATGACCTCGTCGCCAGCTGCTCTGTCGTACGTCGTCTTCTTCTTCTTCGTCGTCGTCTTCTTCCTGACTCATCCGCTGCTTCTTCGCGTGGTGCACCACCAGGGCGTGGTGGATTCACACATCTTGCTCGACCCCTCGATCGCCGAGGAGAAGGCCGCCCAGTCCAACCTCATGGTCGCCATCATGCCCTCGGCCAACGAGATCACGCAGATGCTCCAAACCGGCGAGATCGAACACACCAAGGCTCCCGAGGTACATACACACGCACACACCCACACACGCACCAACACACACCACACACGCACACGCACCCGCACGCCCACACACACACGTGTACAGTGAGGCGGTGGCGCTGACGCCATGGCCTGGTGGTGGTTGACGTGCAGGCAATCGAGCTGTGTCTCGACGGGTGCTCCAAGATCTACCAGATGATGCGCCAAAACCTGCTCGAGACCGCCGCGCAGAAGCTCTCGATGGAGGAGGCCCAGCGAACGGCAGACAAATAAATAAATAAATAGATTGGAGAGCGAGGTCCATGGTTCTTCATGCGAAGGTGGGTGTCAGTCGGCTTACGTCGATGTCGCGCGTGAAGCCGCACGCCAGACAGTGCTGCCGGCGTGTAGTTGCTCCCTCTTTGGTTTCGTTTTTGTCGCCGCCATTGTCATCGTCGTCTAGACACACGAGCAGCCCGTCGCACTCGCGCTTGTCGTTGGGGCACAGCAGGCACTCCTCCATGTAGCGTTCCACCTCTGCTCCCCGGGCCTCACACCTGTCATGACACGCATGCACACGCACCGCGTGAGTCATTGACTTGCAATGTGTCGAGCACCGCCATTGCGCACCTCTGGCATCGGCAGGCGAAGTGGTAGTGCTGCTGCAGCTCGTCCTGTCTCTCGGGCGTGTCGTCCCGCAGCGGGATGTAGGTCATCGTGAGCTCGTCGCCCGGGTTGAGCGGGCGCAGGGCGCGCAGGGTGAGGTGCTGCCCGTCAAACTGGCGCACGACCGACGGGAAGCAGCTGTGGTTGAACATGGCCGCGCAGTTGTACAGCGCCGAGCCGTAGTTGACCGTCTTCCGCTTCGTGGTCGAGTACCGGGCGAACGTGTTGCTCTCCAGCCGCCCGATGTACTCCACGATCTCGTCCACGTCCAGTCCCTGCAGCACGTCGCTCGTCGCTCGGCCGGACAAGGCCTCCATGATGAGGAAGGCCCGCTGCCGGAAGCGGTTGATGGCCGCGGAGCCGAAGCTGTGCTTGTTGGACATCAGCTCCATGAAGTGGGCGAACGACGTCTCCACCGCGCTACTGGTGTCGCTCCCTTCTCCATTGTTGCCGTCTTCTTCTACGTTGGCCGAGTTTGCTGCGATCCACCGCAGCACCAGAATGCGGATGAGCAGCCGCACCTCGGCCACCTCGTCCACCGAGAACCCCTGCCACCGACGTGAGCATTCCACAAATTCCATGCATCATCCCTGCGAAACAAGTGTGGAGGAGAGGAATGTGAAGAGCGAATGTGTGCGGGTGCACGTACCTTGAGGTTGCAGGTCGTGTGCAGCCGCTGCAGCGCCTCGCACTCGGCCTTGGGGTGCACGAACCGGCCAGAGGGGGTCGGGGTGGCGCAGGCCGCAGAACAGAACGAGACCTGACCGCACCGGGCGCACGTGTGCCGCAGCGCGGCGCCGCCCGGGCCTGCGTTGGGCGCGTAGCGGAAGCAGGCGTGGCAGGCCAGGCCCTGCTGCGGGGCCGCCACCGCCGCGGCAAAGGCCCGCTCGCGGAGCACCACCGCCCCGGCGGCCACGGCCCGTGCCGCAACGGCGTAGCGGCCCCGACCCCGGGCGTAGCGCACCTCTACAGGCCACCCGGCATGCCGCAGCAGTTCGTTGCTGGCCGCCGTCGTTGCCGGCTGACCCTCTTCTTCCTCGTATCCTTCTTCTTCATCAGCTGCAGAACGGCGCTTGGCCTTGCCTCGCTTGCGGCGCCGCGCTTTCTTCTTGCCTCCGCCCTCTACCGTGGGGGCGGGGTCGGTACTGCCCTGGGCCAGTAGTACTGCGGGCTCGGCCGAGACCACAAGGCCACCGCCGCTCGTGGCCGTATCGAAGGCCGTCGGCGCGTCAACGGGCGAAGCGCTGAGCGCGCAGGAGGCTAGGGCCAGCTCTACTGCCGCCATCGCCTTGTGTTTTTTATTGTTTCTGTTTTTCTCAGTTTGCGATTTTCTTATTTTCTCGTTTTCTTTTTGACTCCGAAATTTTACCGCTCATTTTTTCCAATCTTTTTATCTAACTCAAAGATCGGACAGGTTGCGGCAGGTATGGAGGAGGTGGCACGTCTGGACGACGTCTACCGGGGTGGGTTCATCGGCGAGGAGGAGTACCTGCGCCGGCGCCTCCTGCTGCTTCATGTCAGCCGTGATGATGCCGGTGGTGCCAACCCTCCTGCTGCTGGCGGCAACCACCCTACGATCGTCTGGTGTGACAGCCCGCCCGCCCACCCCCAACCCCCAGCAGACCACACCCCCGGCATGCCGCCCCGCAACCGCCACGACCACGACGGACACGGCCCAGAGTGGGCAATCACCACAACGACGTCGGCCGAGAGAGGACTGCGAGGAGACTGGGCCACGACCACGCTGGTGATGGTGGACGAGGAGGGCGAGCGCGCGCTGTATGATGCGGGCCTCGAGGCGAAGGAATGGGGCCACCAGCGACAGACGCTCGAGCGTGCCAGGAGTAGTAGTGGTAGTTGTAGTGCAGGTGGACGGCGAGAAGCAGCTGTGCTGACACCATCATGGCGGCTCCTGGATGAAGAGAGTGAAGATGACGAGGAAACATGGGAAGGTGATGATGGCAACGACGAGGACGATGAAGAGGAGGAGGAGGACACGGACGACGAGGCCTATGAGCGAAGGCACAAGCCCTACGAACGAGGCGAGGTGGCGGCGGGCCTGCTGGAGATGACGATGGCCGAGCTGCGTGAGCTGCTGCGCCAGCGAAGCCTGCCCCAGAGCGGCGTCAAGACCGACCTCGCCCTCCGCCTCGCCCAGTTCTTTGTTCCCTGACATCACAACATTCATGAATGGACATTTTTGTTACAGCGCAACCGCCAACCTTTCTTCTTCTTTCTTTGGTGTTGATTGATAACAAGAGGCAAGAACAAGAGGCCTTTGTTGTGCACAGCGTACGACTGGTGGTGTATTAACATTCGTTCCTTGAACTGGCAAAATAGAACACAATGCTGCGCGAGCGAAGAGAGAAGAGAAAGAGAAAAGGAAAGAAGAGGTCTAGGAGAGAGGGGGAAGGGGGCGTTATTCGTAGGCGGCCTGGTCGACGTCCAAGAAGTGGAACATCTCCCGGCGGTAGTTCTCGCTGAGGGCGTAGAACTGCTTCATCTTGCACCGGCCCTCGGCGATCTCTCGGCCGGCGGCGACGTCCTGCAACACGCGGGCCCACTCGGCGCGCAGCTCCGGCGGCAAGCACAGGCTCTCGTCGTCCCACCGCGTGGCCTTGATCGGCACGAACTCCATGTGCCTGGTCGCGGGGTCGAACCGCGCGACTCGGAACCAGAACTTGAACTCCGTCGTGCCGACCGCGTTGACCTTGTTCTTCTCCGGGAAGTACCGCGCCGAGAACGCGACCATCCTACGATGACAAAGGCACGCGATGAGGTACCAGTCTGGTTCGATGGGGGGGGGGCGTCGTGTGGGCAAAAAAGAAGGGCGGTATTAAGAAACTGTACCGGTCGGCCGTCCAGTCCGGCTGGTCCTTCTTGATGAGGAGAGACTTGCCGTTGCTGTAGGCCTTGGGGTCGATCGGCGGGTTGAGATCCAGGTAGTCCATGAACGTGGGCACCTGGTGGTGGTGGTGGTGGGTGGTGGTGGTCGTGGTGGTGGGTCTCACGCGTAAGCTAACCGCACTCAACACCAGGGGTGGGTGGGGACAGGAGTGCGTACATAGTCGACGTGGGACCCGAGGGCTGGTCGCTGGTACTGGCCCATGTCCTCACCGGGCAGGCAGATGAAGCTGGGGAGGAGGGCCTTCTCGTTCCACCAGGAGCTCTCGCGCTGGCCGTGCCCCTTCTCACCGTGCTCGCCCTCCATGTTGCCGTGGTCGGAGATGAAGAAGACGATGCTCTTTCCGTCGACCATGCCGGCCGCTCGCAGCATCTCCAGCGCGCGGTGGCGGTCCTCGTCCTTCTGGCGGATGATGCGGTTGGAGAACTCGCGCGTGTCGCCCTCCGGATCGCGTTGGTGGTAGTCGGCGGGCAGTGGGTCGGGCACGGGCCGCTTGTGCACGTGCATGAAGAACAGGAACGGCTTCTTGTCCTCCTTCCTTCGATCGATGAATTCCTGTGTGTGTGTGTGTGTTGTGTGTGTGTGTGTGTGTGTCAAAACGACCGCTGCGTGACAGCAGTTGTAATGACTGTAGGGTGTACCTGGGCCTTCTCGAGCATGGCGTAGTTGTCGTTCATGCTGTCGAATTCATCAAAGTTGTTGTAGAGGTTCCTGTTGGGATAGTTCCATGCCGACGTCGCCACAGCGCCACCAATCACGTAACCTGGTCCATGTGGTGCAAAAAGGTGCGTTTAGAGATGAGCGGCCGACCGAGAGCACGACGATTGGGGAGAAAGAGGCCACGCACCGTTCTGCTTGAGGACCTTGTACGCATAGGAGGGGATGTGTCCGACGGCGAACGAGTGGTAGTGGTAGGCGTGGAGGCCGTAGATGAGCGCGAACTGGCCCATCTCGGACACGTGGCCCGAACCTGCGTGCACCTGGGGCGATATGCACTTGTTGTCCTGCACAACGCCATCGACCACCACGCCGTCAGCGGCCCGAACGAAGCGCAGTGCAAAGCGTCCGTCCGGTACCTCGACATATTTCATCAGATGCGGCGAGCGGATGTGCGTGGCGTCGTCGTGTCGCATCGACTCGACACTTATGATGATCACGTTCTTTTTGCGCCGCACCGTTGCGGCCAGCTCCTCGCCCATCAACGGGTAGCCAGCGCCCGGGACCGGCGGGACGGCCGTGTTCGTTCGCGGAATGATCGGGATCAACCTGGACATCGCGAACGGACAGAAGCGTAAAGCGTAAGCGAACGCTAAATGAAGTAGAAGTAGTGGAGATGATGGCGGCGCACCTGTCGATGGGGTTGGGGTCAATGTAGTTGAAGGGCAGCTGGCCGCGGTAGTGTTCGACGTCCTCGTAGATGAAGGCGGTCTGGAAGACGACCAGCAGACCGGTGACCATAATGACCAGGCCCACGCAGAGGAAGAACTTGCGGAGCTTCTGCCTCGTCAGCTTGCGCAAGATCAGGCGCGCCAAGAAGAAGCACGCGGCCTACGGGCGATTGTCCCCCCCCCCACAAAACAACCATCAAATCAGCACGCATTGAAGACGATCCATTTCCTCACCCAGGTGGGTGGTTGGGTGGTTGCTGCCTCTGGGCAGGCTCGATCCGTACCTGACCGAGGAGGAGCAGGGCCACCACGAGCTTGATGTAGGGCCAGTGCTCGGGATCGAGTCCCGCCCCGAGCTCTCGCTGTCGCTCCAAGACCTGAGCGAGGGAAGCGAGTAGTTGAGTTTTTTTCGCTGTTCCATGCGCTGGCATGGCGTAGGAGATATGGAGCCAGTACCTGCTTGATGCCCAAGATCTCGACGAGGTCGAGATCGATGAGGTGCACGGACATGTCGACGAGGAGGCGGCATTCGAGCACGTAGAGCGCCAGCAGTATGATCTCCACCACCGCCAGGACGAACACCGAGACGCAGAGGCTGATGGGGTATCGTCCGCAGCCCTTCACCACTGATCGCACAGACGCTTTACGATTTACAGATATATTAGGCCGGTTCACCTCTTATTACGCAGTTGTGTTGATGGGGCGAAAACTGGTGTGTGTGTTGTGTGTGTGGCCTGCCGTACCAGGGACTTCTGGTGAACTGAGCAGCGCGTTTGTGCAGAGTCGGAAGAAGGAGCGGCAGATGTAAAGGCACAGGTGCAGCACCGCCCAGCTCATGACCCCGGTGAACAGGCAGTGGAAGACCATGTAGTTGAAGTAGCCCAGGTGGTGCATCAGGTACTGCAGTACACACACACACACACACACACCAATGGATGAGATCACGTTGTACTCGAGCATGAAGAGGCGCAAGCCAACCTGTGGGTAGTTGTTCTTGTGCAGCTCGGGATCGTAGTTGTTGATGATGGTACTCAAGCTGAAGACGTAGATGAGGATCTGGATGGTCGAGTTGATAAGGGCCATGATGAAGGTGACGCTACGCGAGTTGCCCAGCAGGACGCCCGCCGCGTGGTCGCAGAACTGACCAAAGGGCGACGTGGCCAGGAAGCCGCCGTCCTGCCCATGCGCTGGTCGGTCGTGCTGTGCCCCGCTGGCGTTGGCTCCGCCGTGCTGAGCCTCCACGTCTCCCCTCAGCTTCTCGGCCTGCTCTTGGCCCTCAGGCACCTGAGGGACGGTAAGCAGCTGCAGGCACTCGAATTCTTTTGGGGGCTGAGATTGATGCAGCGATGGCTAAATAAAATAAAATAAAATAAACAAAAAGTAGAAGATGGAGGTGAAGGGGGAGCACATGCCTTGTCGCTTTTGCCGCTCTCATGCCGTCGCTTGATGAGTCGTTCGTTGGATTCGGAGAACATCTTGGTGGATGGCCCTCCTGTCGCACACAACGAATCGCGTTTACACACACGGCCGACACAAAGCGAACGGAGGCCAGCTGCTTGGCCGTACTTGCAGTTGGTCAAAACAAAGAGAGCCTCTCTGCCACGACAACACCTTCGGCCGGGGTTTCACTGCCCTGCAGAACAGCCGCAACGGCAGCGGACGAAGAACTGAATAAATGTATAAAATAAGAGCAACGAGAAAAGAAAAAATAAATAAAAATAAAATAAAGTGACCCGGGCCGAGATGGACCAGGGGCGAGGCAAGCGGAAGAGGAGCGAGGTCAAGGGTGTGAGTGCAACGCCCGAGCACATGAAAGGTGGGCACCGCAGGAAAAGCTCGGAGGTTGACGTCGATGGTACGTTCCCGATTAATTTGCATTTCTTCTCATCTTCCGATTTTCCGTTAATCTTGGTGTGCCTCAGCGTTCCTACAAGGGATCGCAGATGAAGTGGGCACTGGCGCCACGTCTCTGCTCGCCCCTTCATCTCCCATGCCTGTTCTTCAACGCGAGTCCACCTCGATCTCGTCATCTTCGTCATCTTCATCTTCTTCGGCCAGTGCTGCCGACGCCGAACAGCTCCTGCAGAAGCTGCGCGCCCGCCCTGCCGACGTAAGCCGCTTGGAGAAGATCGAGGCGGCGTGGAAGCTCCACGAGCTGCTGGTACACACCGCCACGGTCGACGCCCCCGTGCCCGCCGGCGGTGCGGTCGCTCTGCCCAGCATGCTCCCGCTCCTCCTGGAGTGGCTGCAGCCCACGCTCGCGCGGTCCGAGCGGTACGTCATGGCGAGCGGAGGCTCTGGCGCTACGCCGACTGCCGCCTCCAAGAAGCAGGCCAAGAAGAAGCAGAAGCAGCACCACGGCGAGGACGAAGATGACGACGCGGCCAAGATCGAGGAGAAAGTGGTCCGTTACCACCTCCTGCGTTCTTCCATCACACACACACACACACACACACACCACACACATAGTGCTAATATCTGTCGATGCGAGCAGACGGAGACTGGACCTCCCCAGTTCTTGGACGAGCGGCACTGGGGCCTGTTCTACGAGCTGTTGGCCCACTCGCCCATCAAGACCATCCCCCTTCGCACGGAGATGCTGCGCGTCATCTCCTCCGCGCTGCTGTGCTGCGTGGGCCTGGCGAGCGCCGAGGCCGGCATCAGCGCGGCCAACCAGGCCCAGATCCTGTCGCTCTCCGCCGACGATCGGCTGGCGATCGTGAAGCGGCTGGAAGCCGTCGTGCAGCTGCTCTCCTCAACCTACTCCCAGTTCTTCACCCCCGCGATGGACAACTACGTGTCCTTCGTGAGCCGGGTGTCACAGGCCCTGATCCACCTGTACGTGCGCCTGGACCCATTGAGCAAGCAGCTACAGTACCCGGGAGTTGGTGGTGGGTCCGACTTGCTTTGCTTTCTCTCATGTGACATGCCAACTCGACCAGTTATTTGGAGCGTCGGGCCGCTTCTCGGCCGGCGAGCCGGGCGGAGAAGGAAATGGAGTCGGTCTGCGTGGCCATCGTTGCCACTGCCCTGAAGAGGTTTCAAGAGGTCAAGCAAACCATCGAAACCAACCAAAAGAAGGTCGGTCACCTCTTCCAATTCTTGGCTGCTTTTGCTTGTGGTGTGTCGCTCACGGTCGACGACGTTTTTGCAGGTCTTCACCACCGTCGTCACCAAGCTCCTCGAGCCTCTGTTGACCCTGCGGAGCCTGATCCTCACGCAAACGAGCGAGGACGACGCCGTTCGCTCGCAAATCAAGCGCTACATCGAAGACATCGTGCTCCACTCTCTGTTCCACCCGGACCACCTGTTCGAATACTCGCTGGCCTTCTCATTGAAGCAGAATGTGGTCACGCCTGCCCCATCAGGTAAGCCCCCACGATCCTATAAGCGCCTCTTCCTCCCAATGAATGTGTCACCCTGCAGCTGACCATGTTAATGGCCATGGCCGTGGCTATGATCAGCTGAGGGCGGCGAGACCAAGAAGCCGGGAAGAGGAAAGAATCGGCAGTCGGGAGGCGCCTATGTGGGAACGATCAGCAATTACCGCAAGCAGCTCTTCGATACGCTGCGAGAGTACAGCGGCCAAGCCAGCGACAAGCAAAAGTCTCAATCCCTTCTGCCACCTGCTCACCGACTGCTCGGTACCGCACGCACGCACGCACGCACGCACGCGTGTTTAACTACAGGCTGGCCATGCTGTTGCTGATGTCTGGCAACGCACCACCGCAGTGCTGCAGAACATTCCGTTGATCTACAAGGGATTTTTGGATACCCTCAAGGCGCTGCTGCTGGCCATCGAGCACAGCCAAGAGAAGCGCGCCGAACGCAAAGACGCCGGAGGTACCACCACGACAAAAAAAAACACTTTTCATCTTCATCTCCTCCTCCGCTGCTCTCTTCATGATTCGCTGATTTTGTTTTATTCTGTCTCTTTTTGCTCCAGCGGCGGACCAATCCATGGACGTCGCCGAGGAGGAGGACAAGAAGCCGCGGCAGTACATGGACTTCCATTTCCTGTTGGAGCTCCATGACATCATCGCGCCGCTGCTGTCACTGCAGAGCGATGCCGGCAATGCGGGTACCCTCACCGCTCTGGCTCTGTACGCCTGTTGGGCGTTGCGGCTAAGACTTGCAATCGGCCAAATGCAGCTGAATTGGCGACCACGGTGAGGATCGTGAGTGAGCTCATGCGGCTGGTGGAGGCCTACCACGTCTACGAACCCACGCAGGACACGGACGATCGGGTACGTCCCTCCCCCCTACAGTACCCACAGGCCCCTGATGTAGTGCTTTCGAGTCTAACCGTGCCCATGGCCATCATCGCGCGCGTGCAGGCCCATTTCCACTTCTTGGAGCGTCTGGCGCATCACGACGTGGGCCTGCTCAAGCAGCTCTTCGCTCACCTCCAGGCGCACCCCGCTCGATTCGACCGAGCCCATCAAGGTACCGTGTTGTCGTCGCTATGCGGGTCCCAACCCTTCAGAAAAGGCCTGATTCGCCCGCCACGTTGTTCCAGATCTCGTCGGTGCCCTGTTCGCCGATCTGCAGCACCTGGGCGGCCTGAGCCACCTGACCCTGTCCGAGCCCATCAAGGACGTGTGGACCATCCTCTGGAACTTGCCCTGGCCCTCGGCGGTACTCGCTCCTGCCTTGCCCGCACACGCGCGCGGTCACACTCTAAGCAGAGCCAACTCATTTCTCTCTCTTTCTCTCTATTGTCACTTCCAGGAAGCGGTACCTGCAGCCTGCGTGGAATTCAGTCGTGCGCAGCTGGCCACCTACAGCAAGCTGCGGCAGCTGGACGTCCTCCTCGAGCAGCTCCTGCCCTCGTTCGTCGCCCACAGCGGCGGCCACGCCCACTACATCATCTCCTCGCGCCAGTTCACCAAACAGTACCCCTACCCGCCGCCGCACCGCCGCACCGCCGCACCACCGCCCCTGCGAGCTTGATCGGCCGACCACTGAATAACTTACATTCCTTGCCCCGCGTGTGCGCCAACGCCAGATTCTATGACTGCGTCATGCAGCTCCCCATGGGCAAGATCGCCTCGATTTGGGAGATTTTCCTGAAGGAGATCCGGACCACGTACGCGGAGCGGCTCCACGAGCTGCTGCCGGCGGCGCAGCAGAAGGGCGAGCGCGGGGCCGAGGCGACGCGCGTCGCCGGCCCGCTCCTGGTCTCGCTATCGTACGTGGTCCACCTCTTCGTCGCGCTCATCGACAGCGTACTCCTGGTCAACACTACTGCGCCCATGGTCCTCGACCTGGTGTCCAAGACCTGCGCCGAGCTGGTCTCCCCTCTCCTGGTGCTGGCCGTCGGCGACCGGTCGGGACAGGCCGCCGCCAAGGCCAAGTCCCCTGCGGTAAGCCCTGTCATCGTGTCAACAACATGGCCATGATTGACTGATTGACTGAAACTTGAACCAACCAAGGGCGGGGCGGACGGGCTGACGGCTTCGCTGGTCCGGGACGCGCTGAACGTGTACAACTCGCTCATCGGGCTGCGCGAGCAGTGCCACCGCTTCCCGTCGACGCGCGTGGTGGCGGGTGGCAAGAAGGGGAGCGCCAAGGCGGCCAAGAATGCTGCCTCGGGGCACACCGTCAGCGACGACGTGCGGGCCAACGGATCGTGCTTCTACCTGCTCCCCGCCAAGGAGCTCAACGCCCTCCCGCTCTCGACCCTCCAGGAGTGGCTCAAGCCCGAGCTGCAGCAGTTCCCCCAACTCCGATTCGTGCTGGTACCCGCCCCTCACCTTCTCAATCACATTCGGACTTGAAGACCACTCGCCGACACACACCACGCACACAACACACAATACACAACACGACACACACACGACACAGAACGTGCTACGGATCCAGCACCTTCGGCGGTTGCACACGTTCGCCAGCCTGTATGCGCTGCGCGATCAGCCATCGGCCGCCTCCGCCAGGGAGCCGGCCAAGGAGGCCGACGCCCAGATCGCGACCCTTCTCCAGGAGCTGCGGCGCGCCATGGAGGGCGCCAGCGCGGGTCTGTTCCACGAGCTCGACCTGGCGCTGCCACCCACGAACGACACAGGTGCAGCGGCCGCGCACTGGAACGGGATGATGGCCTCCATCAGCGGCGCGACCTACGCCGTAGCCTTGTGGAAGCTCGTGGCCGAGAACGTAGACATCCTCTCGTACGTGCCTGCCACACACGCGCAGTGTTAGGCTGCAGCCTGTCTGGTCTGGAGTCTCTAATAAGGTGTGTGGGGTGTGTGTGTGTGTGTGTGTGTGTGTGTGTGTGTGTGTGTGTGTGTGTGTGTGTGTGTGTGTGTGTGTGTGATTTGTAGGTTGTACGCTGCGGAGGAGCACCTGCGCCTGTTCCTGCGCGTTCTGCTGGTGGACAGCACGCCCTCGGTGCGCTCGACTGCTACAGCAGACGACTCGCGGGGCATGATCACGCTCGAGCTGGTCTCCTGCGCCCTCCTGAGCAAGACCTCCTTCTACGAGCTCCCGCGGCTGGCCAACAGCTGCGCGCCCGTGCTCGTGGGTGCCATCGAGACCACCCTCCGCCACACAATCCCCAATCTGGTACGCCGCACACACCGAACCCGTTCTTCCCATAATCGCACGCGCTGACTTCGTGTGCGTGTGCGTGTGCGGTGGTGTGCGTGTGCGACAGGCCAAGGATACGCAGCTCGCAGGTGCGGTGAAGCTGCTGCGCGCCATGCGCGAGGCCACGGAAGAGGACGAAAGCGACATCGCGCGCCAATTCGCCGCGCTCTTCGCCGATGCCGCTCACCGATCGCGGGCCTCAGCGCAGGGCGGCCGTTTCGAGCCCGCGTTGGCCCGCGCGGGCCTGCTCAAGCTGCGGGACGTGCTCGAGCTCGTGCTCGCCCTCCCCTCGACCTACCTCGCCCAGGAGGCCAAGGAGCGGAGCAGCACCGCCGTGCTCGTGCTCGACTGGGTCCTCCACGCGCTGCTCCCGGCTGCCCACAACGACAACGCCATGCAGGCAGACAACGAGGAATGCGAGGAATCCGTGCAGCAGGCGGCGCTCGCCGTGAGCAGCACGTGCCGGCGCTACCTGGCCGCCATGCTCCGCACTCCTCGACCCGAGACGGTACCCTTGGCCAGCCACCACCCATCATTCATTCATTCATTCAGCCCTTGAGCCTAACTCCCCAAAATGTCAATGCAGACGGTGCTGTCGAACGCGGTGGTCAGCTGGCTGCACAGCTCCCTGCGCGGGCTCGAGAAGATGCGGCCGCTCCTGACCCACACGCTCGACGTCGTGGCCATCCACATCAGGTACGTACAGCTCAGTTGACTGCCGCCCAAACGAAATGAAACCAAACGTTTCGTTTTGCTACAAATTTTGGGTTGTAGGAACGAGCTGAGGCGACCAGAGCGAGCGCGCCGAGAGAAGCTCGAGGAGGTGCTGGCGTCAGTGGCGGACTCGATCGCGGCCGAGGAGGAAGAGGAGGAGGGCATGACCACGGACGGCCTGCAGGAGATACGGAAGGTGCTCCTGCCCCTGGGCTGCATCACCAACGCCGTCAAGGCCCTCGTCGACGAGTACTCCGAGCGGCTCGGCACCCCCGAACAGCGCAAGCGGCTCAAGTACTTACCGCCTCCCCCTGACCGCACACGCACACGACCGCACACGCACGCTGACACTCGCATGTGCAGACATGCGTCGTTGATCGAAGGGAACGGTCAGTCGAAGCAGCAGCAGCAGCAGCCGGGTATGGTGATCGAGGACACGTGCGTGGTGTTTGTGGACCGCGCCGAGGAGCTGCTGCTGCGGCTGCTCGACGAACAGCCGCTGTCGGCCTACCTCTCCCTGTCGGCCAGCACCGTCGACACGCTGCTCCGTTCGAGCGACCGCGACCTGCAGACCACCGCCCAGGACTACTTCGGCCACCTGCTCGCCCTCATGGAGCAGGTCCTGGCCTTCCGCCACATCGAATCGTTCCGGCGCACCACCGCCCGCCAGCAGCAGCAACCGCAGCGCGAGGCCCGCACGCGGACCGTGTTCTCCGAGATCGGCCGGTTCGCGTCCCTCGCCTTCCAGGTCCTCGCCGCTGGTGCCACCCATGAACGCTCCGGTACGTGTCGTGTCGTTGTGTCGTTGTGTGTGTCGTGTGTGTCGTTGCGTGTGTCTGATGGGTTGGGTGATGCAGGCAACGAGGAGGTGCTGCGGGGCAAGGCGCTGCGCTTCGTGGAGTACCTGTGCCGCAACATGCACAGTCTGGAGCCGCAGCCCGGGCGGGCCACCTTCGCTCGCTTTTTCGCCATGCTGAGCCACCTCATGCAGCTCTACACCACCGCGTCGGGTCCCGCGGGGCTCGCCGAGTTCGCGAAGAAGGTGGAGGCCTGCTACATCGACCTCCTGTGCAACTCGCCCGCGCCGTACGTGGCGCTGGTCGCGCGGGCGCTGCCCACGGAGCTCGCGTCCGCCCAGCTGCCCCGCCTCATCGCCACTGCCAACACCACCCTCACGCTCTTCGCCATGAACGGTACCACCGCCACCACGCTCTAGCTTCTCCCGCACACTCATCTCACACTTACGACCGCACACGCACATATGCGCACACGCACTCGCACACGCATACACAGAATCGCGTGTGTTGCGCGAGTTCGAGGGGGTGGCCCCTACGATTGTGCACAAGCTGGTGGATCTGATCGGCTGGTGCGGCCTCCAGCTGACGCCCACCACGAGCGCCGCACGAGGGGCCGATCTCGTGCACCTCATCAGCACCGCGCTTACCATCATCACCCACATCATCACCAACCGAGTACGTGCGTGGTCCGTTGTGTGTGCGGTTGTGTGTGTGTGTGTGTGTGTGTGTGTGTGTGTGTGTGTGTGTGTGTGTGTGTGTGTGTGTGTGTGTGTGCTAAACAGCTTCGATTGCAGTTGTTCAAGATCGACACGCACACGATCTCGCGCGTGTTGGGCGCCATGTCGGTGTTCTCGGTGCCCCGTAGGCGCTGGGCCTTTGCCGAGCTGGAGCTGGCGCACGTGCACCCGGCGGTGCGGCAGCAGGCCAAGAAGAAGGCGCCCGTCACCGACTTTTTGCCCGAGCGGCTCTTCCTCTCCTTCTACTCGTTCCTCTACCGACTCCTCAAGATCCGATACAAGCAGACCTTCAACTGCATGCCCCTCTTCCTCCTTAACATCCGCGGTACGACACACACGACACACACACGACACACACACGACACACACACACACACGTACTACTTTTTTGGCTCACATTGGGCGGTGCTTGGGCCAGACTTGCTGTCGAGCGTGTTCATGGCGGAGCAGAGCGCCTTGCAGTCGGGCCGAGGGACGTCGGGTCGAGCGGCGGCCACCGAGCGGAGCGGTGGTGGTGGTGGCGGTGGTCACCAGCAGGTGGCGTGTACGGAGAACCTGGCGCGGCTGCTGGAGGAGATGAGCAAGCACCCGAAGCAGTTCAACAAATACGTGGCCCAGCTGCTCGTGCAGTACATCCAACTCACCGAGGTCAACCCGCTCTCGCCCGCCACCAAGCAAGCCCTCCTGCCCGGCATCTACGCCCTCCTCGACATCTGCAGCGAATTCGAGTACGCCACGCACCGCACACGACACGACACACGCCATAAATGAAGACACACATGAATCATGACACAACTAACTCATCCGTGCCCCGTTGCAGGTACAAGGTGATCAGCCGACAAGTGGACGAGACGGGCCGGGCGATCTTCAAGAAGCTGTTCGAGGAGTACCACCGCGACTGGAAGTTCCAGGGCAAGGTCTAGGCCTTGCATTTTTTACACCAAATTAATAACAAACCAATCAAGTGGGTGGGCCTTAGCCTTTCCGTCGAAAGATGGTTACAGCGCTACAGATTGGCATTTCTTTTCATTCTTTTTGGGCAGGGCTATGTACAAACTCCATTTGGGGGGGGGAGCTGAAGGTCCTATCTACTAGTCCCTGCGGTGCTGCGGGGGCAAGGGGCAGTAGTCCAGCATGACAGGCCCAGCCCCGATTCCGCGTCTGCGCAGAAGAACACCACGCGGCACATTGCGTGTGAGCCAAAGCAAGAAAAGATGAAAGGAGGAGAGGCGGGGGAGTAGAGGGAAAGTACCTGGCAAGCGAGTTGCAGCGGAAATTGACGAGGCGAGGGCGGGCGGCAGAGGCATCGTTTACACGCGCAGCCGACCACAGCCTCTCGGCGATGGCCGCAGCTCTGGGCCAGATGCGCGAGTCGATGTTGGTTTCGTCCACCTGCACGGTCGTCAGAGAGAGAGAAGTTAACCTACAGCAGCATCGGAAACCACCAGACACAGTTCTCGGCCGTACGTTTTCACCCCACATACACCCTTCGCCGCCGAGCATCATCGCTTCTTGCGCTTCGGTGAGGTTCAGCCCGCGGAACGGTTCGGCCTGTGACCAGCACCACCGGGAGGAGATCAATCTCTGCGCGAGCAATGCATGCATCATGAAGTAGAAGAGGCACACGTACAGCATACAGGGCCATCCACGTGTCGACCCACTCGTAGAACGTCTTCTTGGGCGCCATGCCGGGTGTCTAGGACGAAAAATACGCGACATGGAGATCAGCTTGTACGACATCGAAGTGAATGGGTGGGCCACGGGCGGGAGCGCACCTGCTGGTCGAGGTACCAGGGGTAGGCCCAGATGGTGCGGTAGCCGGTATCGATGATGCGGCGCAAGGTGTCCTGGTCGAGCCACACCTCGACCACCGTCTCCGGGTGGGCCAGGCGCTGCCAGTTGTCGTCCCACACGTCCTGCCACACCACCATCGTGCGGTTGACGTAGGGCGGGAGCGACGGGTCCTGCCGACCCATCGGCGGGCGCACCCGGCCGTTGGCCGTCGCCTCCGAGGGCTGCACGATCGAGCCCAGCCGCTTCTCAAAGTAGGCGAACATGCGGTACGGGTCCGTGATGTTGTGGTGTTCGAGGAACCACTGCTTGATCTTGGGGTCCTTCACCCAACAGTCCACCGCCACCTCATCACCGCCCTGTCATATCGATCGGCAGTGGGGTGATGTGAGTTTCACTCAACTGGTGCGTTGGTAATGGAGTGGGGAGCGGGCGCACGGTGTGAACGAATTCGTCGGGGAAGATCTGGGCCATCTCGGCGATGAAGCCCAGGAGGAAGTCGTAGACCCGGTCCGAGGCGATGTTGAGCGGAACCATGTTGGGGTCGGTCGTGTAGGTCGGGCAGTGGGCCACCATGTAGGGGTACCCGGCTCCGAAGCTGGACCCACACGGTTGTGTTTAGAACTGCCGATTGGAGCCATAGTGAAAATGGGCAGGTGGAGAGGGCGACGAACCCGTAGGCGTGGCCGGGCATCTCCCATTCGGGCACCACCCGGATGCCTCGCTCCCAGGCGTAACGCACCACCTCACGCAAGTCGCTGTGACTGTACACAGCCTTCTTCCCCCACGCGGCCCTGTGGTTGATTGATTGATTGACATCAGAGGTAAGAGGTGATGGTCATGCTGAGAGCCTCAAGAGGCGCCGTCAAGTGAAGATAGGAGGAAGCGATCTGTACTTGGTGAGGTTGGGGTAGAGCGTGGACTCAACGGGAAACGACTGCCCGTCGGTGGCGTGGAGGTGGAGCACGTTGAACTGTGCCAAGGTAGGCGATCGATCTCTGTTAGGGGCGCGTACGCCCAAAAGAAGAAGACTGGAGGGACTAGCCGTACCTTGTTGTAGGACATTGCATCGAGAGTGCGCTTGATGGCGTACGTGGGCAAGTAGTGACGCGACACATCGATCAGCAAACCTCTGCAAAAACAATCGTCAGTCGCGTGAGTTCCAAACACTTCCAAACACGACTCACGACACACACACTCTCTCTTAACGCTTCCAGTTGCTGACGAGTCGGAGTAGTGTACCGCCAGGGGAAGCGAGGCCAGTCGATGATGTTGATGGGGAGGTCGGGAATGGAGTAGGTCTCGCTTGCGTCGTTCCAGCGGATGAGCTGCGAGAAGGTCTCCAGGCCGCGTAGCGCGCCCCATACGGTGCCCGCCTTCAGGGTGGCCTCCCACGGGCTCCCGTGGCTGGAGGGGGGTTGAGGCACCAGAAGCATGTAGGACTCTTGCATGCCCAGGCCCAGGTTGGTGTCGTTGTCGTCGCTTACCGCTACGTTGAGGGTCAAGCGCTGCTTGATGGGGTCGTGGCGGGTGGGGAACGGGAAGAAGAGCTGCTGGTGTTGGTACCGCTGGATGGCGGCGTTGAGCGCGGTCGACTCGGAGGCGGTGATCACCTCGAAGCCCAGGGGCGACAGGTCGGCCTGGTGCTGGCCGCCCTGGACGATCTGCGGCTGGGGCCACAGGCCAGTCAGGCCGCCCCCGCCACGCCAGGCCGGGAACGACGTAGAGACCAGCTCTGGCATCGATGACTGGGGGCGCATGGGGCGGGGAGGCGCCGCCTCAGACCAGCCCAGGCCCGCCAGCACCAGCACCAGCAGCGCTACACAAGCAAGGAGCCGCGGCATGTAGAGGAGTAAGGGGTCTTACTGTTTGGCTCTTGGAGAAGAAGGAAGAGGGCAAGAGGTTGGTGGCTTGGGTGGGGCTGCGTGGGTGAGAGGTGCGTGACCCCGTGGGTGACAAGTAGACAGAAGAGACGGCGTTGAGCCACCAACCACAACGCTGGCATCCGCGGAAGACGGAGTTCAGCGGTTTCTTTGTTTTTCCCTTTATTTCAGCCTAAATTTCCTCGAGATTATTTTGGTAAAGAAGAAGGTGCGGCCAACGTTTCGATCAGAAGTCGGAAAGAGCAACTTATCATACTACTGTACTTACGCGCAAGAAGTTGCTATCACGTGAAAGACCGTTTTTTTCGAGCCGTAGAGATGAATTTCATCTCTCATCTGCTGGCGAGTAAGGGCGACAGGGGGTCTGCCGAGCGCCCTGTCGCTGCAGGCCCCTTTCCGCCGGCTCACAAGAACTCCTCCACCACAGCTTCTCCCGAACCTTCTCCTCCCGTCTCGCCCCGATTCAAATCGCCACCAGCCGCATCTTCAACAACACCGGCCGGTGCTATCTCGCCACGGGGCCGGCCCACTGCAGAGGACCACCATCTACAGCAGCAGCACGGAGCTCCAACGGCCGCCGTGCCCACCAATGTAGGGCACGACGGCGAGGTCGAGAAGCTGGTCAAGGTCCTGCGAACTCAGCTGCACGCCCTGAAGAAGGAACGAGCGGCGCAGGACGCCCGCTACGTGGCCCTCGCCACCAAGCACCAGGAGGACAAGGAGCTGCACGAGGCCTCCCTCGACCGTACGTTACCTTATTCATAGCGTCTACGAGTGTATGGTGCGGTGTGTGATGAGCTGATCGTGCTTAACACACCAGAGCTCCGACAACACATGGCACACATGAACGACAGCTTGGCGCTCCTGCGGGAGGACAGAGAGCTCCTCAACAGAGACGTGCTGGTGGAGCGTGAGGCCAACAAAAAGCTGACCGAGGAAAACGACCAGGTACGAAGGGCTGCTCTGCCATCAGTATAGCAACGACCACCGATCTGCATATTCAGGAAACTCACCGCTCGTGTGTGTAAAACAAACAGCTCAAGATACATCAGGGCGAACTAAGCAGACACCACAAGGAGTTGGAGGACCAACTGGCTACCATGGCTGCGAGCGAACTGACGTACGTGTTCGCCTGCATGATGTTCTTTCGACACCGCGTGCTTGTGCTTACACAGTCGTGCCCACAGTGCTCGCAATTTTGCGGCCAACACGCGATCAATCGAAGACGCGCAGACCGACGCTACCTTCCGACAGCGATTCAACCTCCCTGCGACCGAGTTCCCCATCATCAGTACTGATGACCGTGTTCCCTTTGTCTTTCCTGTGCCTTGGTTTCCTCACACAAGTCCACCGCCACCACTCGCAGGCTACTATTGCTGCCACAAGCACATCTATCATGGCTGGCTCTACATCACGCCAGCCTACGTGTGCTTCGAGCCTGCGCTTCTGTCTAAGGGTACTACTTCTCTACTAGGCCCGGCACTTTTTCTTATGCCCTCCGCCTCCTCGGCTCACCAGTGTGATGTTTGACTTGATCTACAGAGAGTTCGCGTATCACGACACCACTGACCTCCATCACGACGCTCGCCAAGGTACGAGGGTTCAAGTACATACCGGGCACAGACAACGCCCTCATATTCAAGCTGAAGAGCGGAGTAGTGCGTATTCCTCGTCGCTCTCGTTTCTCGCCTTCATTGGCCCACACACCAAGTGCTCACCATCACGGTTCGCTACATAGGAGTACTTCTTCAACAACTTCACGCACAGGGACAGCGTGATCGCCAATGTGGTGCATCAGGCGGCCAAGTTCGGGCACCGCATCCAGTCGCAGGACGAGAAGCAGATCCCGGACGAGGGCAAAGCGCCCAAGAGGCCCTCTGACGGCGTCGAGCCCCCCGCTAGCTTTGGCTCCTTGGGCCAGTCCAAGGACACCGACTCGCTGCCGCGCCCTTCCTCTAACTCCTTCGACCACAGCAACGTTGTCCCACTCCCTCGGGTCTCCCATCAGCGCCCTCGGTCCCTCAGCGACGTAGGCTGATGCCTCACCATCACCATCATCATCAGCATCAGCTTGTTCGTGTATAGAACATGAGGGTGTCGTGGTGTGAACCAAGATATTTACAGCAATCATTCAACAACTACTACAACATCGACTAGTACGTGACAGTGGCTCTACCATACGCCCACGCGTGTCTTCTTGTCGCGGTAGATGGCGGGCTGCTCGGGGCCGGAGTCGGTGCCTTCAAGGCCGGCGATGTGGCGCCGGGCGGCTTGGGCGAGCTGCTCGTTGGTGGGGAAGACGTGTGGGTAGTTGTTGTGGCCGTCCGGGCAGCTGGCTTTGGACCACAGCACCGTTCCGTCCTCGAGGGTGATCTCGAAGGCGGCCAGGCGGGGCATGTGCGGGTTGCCCACCACTTGGATGCGGGGCGACAGAGACTCCAACAGGCGCTTCTTCTCCAGGAATAGGGTCTTGTAGCCGCAGTTGGTGCTGCACACAGATCGCCGCGTTGTCAGCATCAACGAAGCAGGTTCATGCGTCAGCAGCTCCAAGGCCTGGGCACGCACCAGTACTCGAAGAAGACCTTCACCTTATCTTCGCCTTCGACCTCCTTCCCCTTGCCGGAGGAGTCCTCCTTGAGACTGACTTCGGCCTCCTCTTCGGAGGCGTTCTGCTTCACCTGGTCGACGTGGGGCAGCTCGGCGAGCTCGGTGAGACTGGGCACGTAGTAGTAGTTGCACTCCACAGCCTTGGTGATCTTGAACATGTTGTCCACACTCCCGTCCGCCTGCGCGCACGTAAGGTGGTTGGATTCAAGGCTGGTCAGAGGTGCGTACATTGTGATGAGCATGATAGATGCCGGCATACCTCATAGTGTCCGCACATGCGGTTCAGAGGTGTCGATCTCCGAGAGGAAGCGAGCGTAGGCCGTGAAGAAGAGGCCCTCCTCCGTCGGCCTGCGGTATGGGTAGGCCTGCGGTGCCGACCTCATGTCAGAGAGCGCAAACGTAGAAGGGAGTGTAAGAGAGATGCAAGGTGTGGAACCTGGCGCATCATGGAACCGAAGGCTCGGGCGACGTGCGAGCGCGGCGGCATGCCCTCCACCGAGGCGAACTCGTCTTCGCCGCCCTCGCCAAGCCTGGGATTCTCCGGGCGGTGGTCGTAGCCGTGGTGCGGCCTCACTCGCGTGTAGTCGCGTCCGATGATCTCGCTCTTCTCCTCGTCCGGCATACCGAAGAACTTGGGGAGGTTGTGGACGAAGCGGCCGGCAAACATGTAGGTACCGCCCACGTGCTTTTCGTCGTTGGGGTGGTCGTCGGGGAAGATCGCCACCTCGTCGGCGATGGCTCGAAGCAAGTGGTCCGGGTTGCGTGTGCCGTCCACGAAACTGTATCCAAGCCTGGGTTAGATGTTGGCGTGGTGGGGGGCACTGCAACTGGGCAAGTGAACCGCACCCAGTGAGGTCGCGACCTCCGTAGGGCGGCTGGCCCATGTAACCGAAGCCCTGGGTGTACTCGGACGACGCCACGTTGGCACCGAACGCCTGCAGCACTTGCTTCGTGACTTCGTAGCAAGCGTCCGCGCGCTTGGACTTCACCATGAGGATCAACTGGCCGCCTATGGAATGGTGTGAAGCAAGGGTCAAACTGTTGCCTTTTGCAGGACAAGAAGCAGTAGAAAGGTGCACCTTGGATGGTGGGAAGCAGCACTTCGCCAGAATCGCCAGCACACTTGTCGGTAAAGGCCACAAGCTCTTCGGGCGGCGAGGCGTCCCAACTACGCCATAGGCGCGCGGACACGCCGACCAGGGAGCTCACGAGGGCCTCCTCACCGGCCACCAGGCCAACTTGCGCGGTGATGCTCGGGATCTGGCTGATGGCCTTACGCACCTCCTCGTCGTCGAAGTCCTCCGTCAGTGTGACTGCAATGCACCACCAAACCGCATGATAACTGTCAGCCACTGTTGTACTGGAGCAATGGAAGTGTTGTGCGTACTCCAGGAGAAGGCGGCGTTGTCGATGGATCCCTTGGACACTACGGCACGCTGGGTGTTGGTAACGTAGGGCACTGTTTCGAAGTGGCGAGCGGGCCAGCCGCTCCCATCCACAGGCCTCAGGTTGGGGCAACCACACTGGAGCAGAACCAATGAAGCCAAGGTAAGCAAATCCAAGGAGAGAATGCTGGAGATCGCGCTGTACCTCGATGTGCAGGTTGTAGGAGTGCTCGTCCAGGCCTACGAAGCCGCAGCTGCACATCACCCGCCCTTCTTCATCCTCCTGCTCGCGTAGGTGGAGTTCCCGCTTCTTCCTCTGCTCTGAAGGCTGCACCACACGCACCTCCACCGCCTCTTCCGCTTCTCTCGCCTGGGTGGGTGCTTGGTTGCCCATGTTGTGAACTACTTGACCTACGTGTTTGTGCTAATGTTGTGCTGTGCTGTGCTGTGCTGTGCTTTGCCGAGTTCAGCGCAGGGACACGAACGATAGCGTTGCCTTCCACCTTTCGGCGCACATACCAAACATTTTATGCCGACTGCTCTCAAAAATTCGAAACAGGTTTAGAAAAAAGGCGGGATTGTGGGTGATTGGTGTGGGTTCTGTAACGGTGGTGAGCACATGGAATGACATCGTTCATTTACGATTTGCTGGCCCTTCTGCATCGTAAGTTACGTGGGATGGAAGACGAGGCGGAGAAAGAGGGGCAGGGCAGAAAGCGCAGGGGGGAGGACAACGAACTGGGAGCCGATCTTGGTGTCGATGATGCCAGCCCAAAACGATTGAAGCAGGAGCCCGCAGATGAGGTCGGACCAAGCAGTGCAGCCCCACCTCCTACACAACAAGGAGTCGCTACTGGTGGGGCGAGTCAAGAGGGGGATGCGCAGCGGCTCGAATGGGCGCTACGAAAAATCGAGGAGCTGCGGCAGATGGCGCAGGAGAAGGAAGAACGGATTGCGCGTCTCGAGTCCACCAACCGCGATCTCAGGCAGCAGCTGCAAGTCGTCGGGTACGAGCCCGCAGAGACGATGGAAAGGCCGCGAGATGAAGAAGAGGGCACCCTGAAGCGACGACGCAAGCGGAAGCGCAGAAACAGGAGGAAGCAGCCCGAACACAGCAAGAGGAACAAGAATGAGAGCTGCAGTACTACCGAGACGGAGCTGGACGACGAGAAGGGCGTGGCCGCACCGCCATTGCTCGTGAAGCAGGAAGTTGTCGAAGAGACCACGACGACGACTCGCGAGAGCGCGGGAACGCATGTGGAGGTCGACCAAGCGCAGAGGGAGAACGGCGAGGTGCTGGAAGCGAGACTGGAACCGAAGGAGAAGAAGGAGGAGAAGGAGAAGGAGAAGGAGAAGGAGAAGGAGAAGGAGAAGGAGAAGGAAGAGCTGTGTGTGGAAGAGAATCAACAGGGCCAGGAACAGCAGGCCGACCAGGAGGCGCAAGTGGTGGGAGAAGCGAGTGAGGTTGTGCGAATGCTGCAGGACATGTTTCCGGGCACATCAGCGCAGGTCATCGAGCACACCCTGGGCGAGGTGGCGGGCAGCACCGAGAAGGCCATCGACTGCCTCCTCAACCTCTGCACCGCACTCGACCTTACTCGCGCCGAATCGAAGGGCGCCAGGCCGAATATAGCTCCTTCTTCAGCTGCACCTACATCTACATCTACGTCCACCTCTTCCTCATCTTCCTCTTTCACCACTCCCTCCATCTCCTCAACGCGATCGGCCCACGTGTCGAGCCCATCACGGCAAAGCCCACGCCCTGTGCCGTCTTTCTCATCGTCTTCGTCTTCGTCATCATCATCGTCGGCGCCAATCACCTACACGAGGGCATCTTCGTCCGTGCTGGGAGAGCCCGACGAGGACGCTGGCGTGACCTGCCTGAGCGAACAGCAACAGCGAGCGCTGGATTTGGCCGAGCGTGGCTATTCCATGTTCCTCACCGGCAGTGCCGGCACCGGCAAGTCCTTCTTACTCCGCCAGATGATCGAACGCCTACGTCTCAAGCACGGCCCCGAAGCTGTGGCCGTCACCGCTTCTACGGGTACGTGACACGCACACGCACATACCACCGCACACTCCCGACTTGCTGAATGTAATTAGTGCGACTGTATTCGTTATCGGATCGTGGTGAGTGCAGGTGTGGCTGCGATCAACATCGACGGCATGACCCTGCACAAGTGGGCGGGCGTTGGCCTGGGGAACGAGGGAATCAAGGTGATGCTGGGCCGCGCCTTCGGCAAACGAAAAGAGTACAAGCAAACGCGAGTGCTCATCATCGATGAAATAAGCATGGTACCCGCTTTTTTCCTGCATGCCTGCGCCGACGACTCGAACCAAAACTGACACTGCAGCCTCAGATCAAGTCGGACCTGTTCGACCAGCTAGAGTACATCGCGCGAAGAGTCCGCAACTGGAAGAAGGTGCCCGCGAAGGAGAAGCCATTCGGAGGCATCCAGCTTATTTGCTGCGGTGACTTCTTTCAGGTACTCTGCACCTAACGCTCCACCATCGGAGTGCTCACCTTTACTCACGTTCTCTTCCTTCCCCGCATATTTCTGTCTCGTCGGAACAGCTCCCGCCAGTGCTCGACAAAACGTACACACCACTTGGGTGCGCTGCCGCACGTCGAGATGATGTCTAACTTGCTGTGTGTAATAGAAACAAACGAATGAGCATGAGCCAAGCCTTCGCGTTTAACGCTGAGTCCTGGCAGTCATGCATTGACGTTGTTGTGCAGCTCTCCAAGGTCTTCCGCCAAAAGGACGAACGGTACGCGCCCTGCTCTCTTCTGCCCGGTCAATTCTCAACGAGGTGAATCGTGTTCGCACTACAGGTTTCAGGGTATCCTGAATGAGATCAGACAGGGCGCCTGCTCCGACGAATCCAGACGTATTCTCAACGAGTACGTTTGATGCCCTAAAGACCAAGAAGGCGACCAATATGAGCGATAATAATGACACACATTTCTGCGGTGTACACAGATGCGTGGGGCGAAGGTTTGAGGACGACTTGGACATCCTGCCCACGAAGCTGCATCCGACCAATCAGCAGGTGGACGCCATCAACCAAACACACATGGACGAGCTCGACGGCGACTCCTGTCAGTACCTGGCCAAGGACAAGCTGCCCGCAGCCACCGGACCCCGAAAGATCCTTACGCAGTGGCTCCATCAGAGCTGCAGCGCCCTCGAAGCCCTCGAACTCAAAGAGGGTGCGTAGCGGTCTTGCTTCTCCATCCCCTTGTTGTGCCCTGTGTTGAATCACGCCGACCGCTGCTCCTAACCAAGATTGCCAATGCTTGCAGCCGCGCAGGTGATGCTCATCCGAAACCTGACCTCCAAGCTGGTGAACGGCTCGCGAGGCGTTGTGCTCGGTTGGGCGACCGCGGGTACTGTTTTTACATTGCATTGGCGTGAGCGTGTCTCTGGAGGTCTAACTTTCTGAACCGACCGACCGACACACAGACGAGTTTGAGGATATCTTGATCCAGACCAAGTACAAGCATGAGAAAGGTGTGGATGTGCAGGACTCCCCGTACGGCCCATATTGCACGAGTCCGTGAAGCAGGCCAAGTGGCTCAAAAAGCAGAGCAAGAACCCCGACTTTCGGTAACGGCCATTTTCCTCAAGGTTCAACTTGCTGTTACTCTTTGGCTGACGCCTGTGCTGTGGGCGTGGTGAATCAACAGTCTGCCTCTCGTGCGCTTCATCGGCCACGAGCAGCCGATCATTGTGGGGCCTGTGGTTTTCACAGGTGCGCCATCTCAATTATTTAAGCATGGGGGCGTGTGGTGCTCAATCCAGGCGTAGCGTCGCGCTTACCTTCTCTTTTGCGTACGCCCAAGGGCGCCATCGAGAAAAGGGGGAAGTGCATGAGTGCTCCCGGTGTCAGATACCGCTCAAGCTCGCCTGGGCTGTGACCATTCACAAGTGCCAGGGCCTCTCACTCGACCGGGTCGAGATCTCCTTGGCCTCTGTCTTCGCGCCCGGACAGGCGTACGTCGCGCTCAGCCGCGTGCGGAGCTTAGATGGTCTCTGTCTCCTCAGCCCGGTTGATCGACGGTACCTCCCCCACCGTGTGCTGTGTGCGTGCCGTGTGTCGCGTGTTCTCATTCGATTTGATTGCGTGCCTTGGCAGACACGCCTTCGTGACGCCGACGGTAGTGGACTTCTACCGAAGATACGTCCGGGAGCAGGCGGAGAGAGAAAGCAACGGGACCCACCTTGCACCGCGCACCTTGCCCAAGTGCCAAATGGCCTGCGCCAAGCGGGTGCCGGCCTTCCTGCAGCAGGACTACTGCGACGACCGCGGAATCACATCCGCACCGCTCTCCGGGGTCAGCGCCGACGAAATGGAGGCCGAAATCCTAGCATCTGCCCAGTCTGCAGCGGCCCTCGCCAGCCCGCGACGATACAACCCGGCCAGCGCGAGTCAGCGCGACAGCCAAGGCGGACGGAGGCAGTGGCGAAACAGCTCGGGCCAGGCGCGACTAAGCGACCGCGAAGGCGATGACGGCCGACCACGTTACTTTCGCCACAACAGCCTCGGAGCGATGGACTTCCGCGCTGCTCGCGGCGGCGCCGTGAGCACGCAGCGAGGGGGCGCCGACGACTACGACGAAGAGTTCTTGCGGGCGCTGGCCGAGTCGCAGTCCGAGCCGTCGTCATCGTCCCAGTCCCAGCCCCTCTTCTGGTTCGAGAAGTGAGTTGACTTGGCCGTCATCTCACCGCGAGTATGTACATACAGAGACGTTTCCCTTCTGCCTTTCTCTCGCACTCCTCTCCCTTGGAGCTTTGCTGGGACTTGACGCCCTCGGGACAAGACATGTAGAACAACGCGTAGATGTACGTCCGCGTTAGATCACGGTCGATTAGGCTAACAGTTACAATTATACAGTTTCGGATTCTTGCTAGACACCCTCCAGCTCCCGCAGTTCGGTGCCGCCTCGTTCGTCGGAGTCTGTTCGCGGCCCGGGACCTCCGCTCGTGTCCAGCGAGTCGGCCGAGGACACGGGCAGGGAGTCGTCCAGCATATCGCTCTCATCGTCGTCGTCGTCGTCTGCGGCGGCCGCGTCGTGACCGGCCCACATCGCTCGAATGTGGTCGGGTGGGGCCTGGGCGGACATCGACGGGGCGTGCGCGAGCCGGAGCAGGCGCGTCTCGGGCGTGAAGAGGGTCGTCACAAAGAGGCCCACGACCGCGATCATGGCGCATATATTGAGCACGACGGCCACGCCCGACGCCGAGAGGATGTACTTGAAGGCGTAGGTGCCGATGATCGCGCCGAGCTTGCCCGCGGCCGCCGAGATGCCGTGGCAGAAGGCGCGTACCTCGGTCGGATAGAGCTCGCTCGGTATGACGAAGGTGGTCATCTTCGGGCCGAAGCTGGCGAAGAAGTACGTCGCGCCGTAGAGGAGGAGGAAGAGCGGCGTGATGTCGGAGATGTCGTCGTAGAAGGTGGAGATGACGGCGTAGATGAGGGCCATGAGGAGGAAGCCCTGGAGCTGCATATACCGCCGCCCGATGCGATCGATCAGGAGCACGGCCACCACGTAGCCGGGCAGGGCGATGGCAGCGATGATGAGCGACAGCTCGGCCAGGTTCTGCAGCCGGGCGCGCGGCGTATCGCCGTCGGCCATGCCCATGGAGTCAAGCAGCGTCGGCGTGAAGAGTGTGTTGCCGTAGAACAGTGCGTCGAAGAGGAGCCACGTCAGCGTCGTGCCGATCAGCTCGCGCCAGTACCGCTTCAGCACCACCCACCGCCACTGTACCCGACGCCACAGCGAGCGCGACCCTCGGAGTCGCTCACGGGACTGGGCGGCTTTGAACTGCCCGGTCTCGGCCATGGTCAGGCGGAAGGGCAGCGTGACCAGGCCCGGCACGGCGCCGAGGCCCAGGCAGAGCCGCCACACCAGGTCGAGGTCCGACGACCAGATGAGCAGCAGCAGCGCGACGAGCGGCACCGCCAACGCGCCCACGCCCTGCATCGCGAAGGTGAAGGCCACGGCCCGACCGCGCTTCTGGTTCGCGTCCTCGGCGTTTTCCGAGGCGATGCTGGCCGCCAGCGGGTACTCGCCGCCCACGCCGAACCCGACCACGAGGCGGAACAGGGCCAGGAGGTAGTAGACCACGGCTCGGTTGCCCACGGCGCTGCTGGCGATGGCGCCCAGCGTGAAGACCCCGATGGTGATGGCGAACCCTATCCGGCGGCCTACCATGTCGGCGATGAAGCCGAACAGCAGCTGGCCTAGCATGGCCCCGAGCAGGGCGGCCGTGGAGACCAGCGAGGCGTCGGTGTCGGTCTGCGGGTACACCTCCGCCATGATGGGGATTACCATAGACGTCACCTGCAACAGGTAGGCGTCTGCTCCGAACGCGGTGCCCGTGAGCGCGATACGCCCGGCTGATCGAATGCCCCTCCACGCGCGCTCTTTCCGTGTCTCTGGTGCGTCCTCAGCCCCCTCTGTTGGCGAAGTGGTGCTCTGGGGAGTGGTGACATCTTTCCCTTTCGCAGTTGAGGTGGATTTGGAGTCTTCCACGTCGTTGTCGTCAATTCTATCCACTCCATTCGGTGGCGCCGCATCGTCATCGGCCAAGAGAAGGCCGGAAGAGGCGAAGGTGGTGAGGGCGACGTCTGGCTGAGTGACAGGGCTGTTGTCCTCAAGCGCAGTCCTCGCGGCCATGGATGTGAAAGAAAAAGAAAGCTTCTACTGCTGTGGAGCCCACTCGGCCCGAGCCAACTTGTCAGGCCTGTCTCAACAGCTTGCCAATTCACCAAGCATCGCCCAATAGGATAAAAGCGGCAGTACCAAACGGCACATCGGTACGCGTAACCAAACGGCATTCGCGGAGTTGATCGTGGATCGGTCAATTATCAACAGCTGTGCGATACGGCGCCATTCTTCCTCGTTCCTCCCAACCCACCAACACAACACCAACATCAGGCCAGGTGCCAAGGAGGCCCACCAAGCCAGAAGTCTGCCTTGCAATCATGGCCCAGCCTGCCCCTCTCCTCCTGCACGTCCTTACGGCTTGGCTTGTTTGTTGTCTGTGTACATCTCTCCCCCCCGTCCAGCATTATATTATTGGGCAAAACTCACGCCGTGAATTAAATCTACTGTCCGACCGGTCGGCCATTAATATTGTGTCACAGGCCTGGCGCCGGCTGTGCGGGGACAGACGGACCCGTATGGGACGGTGACCTTTGCCGGGCGGGGCAGCGCCCAGTCGGCGGCGGCCGTGGCCTCGCTCGCCTCGTCCTACCGGTTTGTCACGACCGCGGTGCGCAACAACTTCGCCGGAAGCAGCGATATGGACGCCCTGACGGCGGTGGGCAATGGGAGCGCCGCCTACGCGGTGATCGACGACCTTCAGGCCTCGGTCATGCCCTCCGGCACGGTGGCGGTGCCCCTGCTCGGCGCCGCGCTGGTGCTGCCCTACAACCTCAACTCGCTCGGGTCTGCGAGCGTGTCTACCCTCACGCAGCTCGTCAAGCTGGACATGCAGACGATCGGGCTTATATTCGCCGGCAACATCACCCACTGGTAAATAATTCCCAACCCCTTTACCGTTGGCTTTAATTTGACTATGTCTGACTTCATATGTCGATCGCGGCACACATAATAACAACAGGAATGATTCCCAGATCTTGGCGCTCAATACGAACGCCACGTACAGTTATTGGGCAGAGCTGGCGGCCTCCAGCTCGGCCATCACGGTGGTGGTGCGGGCCGATGCGACGCCGACCACCCGGGCCTTCACCCGCGCGCTGGCCAACTCTTCCACCGCGTTCGCCGACGTGGTGGGCGTATCCGACCTGCCCGCTTGGCCGGCCAGCTTCGTTCAGGCCACCGGCGCCAGCGGGGTCATGACCGCCGTCCTCAATACCCCCGGCGCTATCGGCTTCATCGATCTGCCCTCATGGACCGCCACGTCCGGTGTGCCCTACGCCTCGATTCGCAACCAGGTACGATCAAGCGAAGCGGAGGGATCATTGACGCGCTTTTCTCACTATCAATCGGCCAACAGAACAAGCAGAACGTGCTTCCTACGATCGCGAACGTCCAGCGCTTGATGGCTGATAACGCCAAGAGCTTCAAGGCCAGCGCCAGTATGGTGGCCAACCTCGTCGATGGCAACAACGCTGCCACCTGGTACCAACCATCTGCCGCTACCCTAAATTGAGAAATTAATTACGAATTGTGTTCAATGGAATCAACTCCGCAGGCCGCTGGGGTGGATGAACTACCTGGTCACGCCGACGGGCAACTTTTCCTCGTGTGACGTTCCCGCAGCGGTGTTCGAGTGGTACGGTTGGATTGAGTACAACGCCCAGGCCGTCTCAGCCATGTCCGCTTCCAACTACGCCACCCTCCACTACAGCGTCCTCAAGCGGGCCACCGACGCCCTCGGGCAGGTCAAGTGCAACAAACTTCGCAGTATTCCCACCAGTACGTGATCGCCATTCAGATTCGGAGATGGCTGGGCTCGAGTGAAACGGTGACTGACGCAACTGGATAAAGGTGTGCTGTCTGGCTCCGGGGCCACCCTGCCGCTGATCACGTACCAGGCCTGGATCCAGGAGTATTTCACCAACGTGGACCCGAACGTGGCGCTGAGCTACACTGGAACGGGCTCCAGCACGGGCATTTCGGACATCGTCAACTACAACACCGACCTGGGCGCATCTGACGCCGCTCTCGTGGTTCGCAACGCGCACCCAGACACCTTCCTCCCAGGGTGGTTGCACACTCACTAATCTTCTTCCACACATCAGGCTTCCAACTATGCAGGCGCGGGCAGCGATCTGCAGATGCTGCCGGCCGTTGCTGCGGCGGTGGTGATGGTGTACAACATTCCAGACATCGGGCAGGTGCCGATCATGTTCACCCGCGAAGTCCTGCCCTTGATCTACATGGGCGCCGTCACGAAGTGGAACGACCCGCTCATCGCCTCGGTCAACCCGAGCCTCACCCTGCCCAACGCCTCCATCGTGATCGTGGGCCGGTTCGACGGGTCCGGCACCACGTCCGTGTTCACGCAGGCGCTCTCCCTTTTCAGCCCGGCCTTCAACCAGTCGGTGGGCAACCAACAGCTGGTCAACTGGGGACCGGTCAACATCTCGGGCATGGCCGCCGTCGCCAAGGGCTTCATTCCCAGTGACCGTTACAAGGTATTGTGCCCTGCCACATAGCAAGGTAACATCATCTAATCAGAACTTTTATGGTCCTTTCCTATGCTAGTACGGCAAGGGTAATGGCGAAGTGGTGAGCCTCATCAGCAACACGCCCTACTCGCTCGGTTACGCCGTGAGCGCCGATGTACTGGAGGCGGGACTCCCATTCGGCACCATGAAGAACAAGGTAAGCGAGAGGCGATGGCAGTTTTCTAAATTAATTGATCGACACCATTACCAAATGCTCATTACATTGTTTCCCATTCAGGCAGGGAATAACGTGACGGCCAACCCGGTCACGATCAACGCGGCACTTAACGAGTTTGCAGACGCGTTTACGAGCAAGTTTGCAGCAAGCGTGCAGGACGGAGCGTCAGCCAACGCCTGGCCGATGGCCACCTACTCCTACCTCCTCATCCACACCAGGTAAGGACTTGCCACCTCTTACTTCTCTCCCGGCTGCGGGGTAGGGACCCTTGCGTTGACAAATTTGTTCCTGTGTCCGACAGGACCATGACTGAGTGCGGCAAGGCCACGTCCCTGCTTGACTTCATCATCTGGTCGCAGACCAACAGCAAACCGATCGCCATCGCCGAAGCATTGGGTTATACGGTTCGCTCGTTCTCCTTCTTTGGGCCGCTGCCCAGCAGGGGTTCTCACCAGCAGTTTGGTGCTGTGTCACCAGGTGACTCCCATCGCCGTCCGGCGCAGGTTCCTTTTGACGCTGTCTGATGTCACGTGTAACAACCAAACCGTGTTCAGCCTGGTGCCCTGCATTCAGAACGGTATCATTTGCAACGACCGAGGAACGTGCCTCGATGGCAAGTGCACATGCCAGGAGGGCTTCTCGGGTGCGTCGCCTGCAACATCACCAAACCTCAGGTGCGACACTTGGGCTGACCTGATTGGGGCGCGTGCAGGAGATCAATGTCAGAACGTAGCGGGAGCCGGCAGCTCCGATGACACCCTGGCCATCGCTCTCGGAGTCGCGCTGCCGGCCGCCTTTCTGTTCCTCTGTTGCCTGGTCCTGCTCTTCGTCGCCTTCGGCGTCCTCTACTGGCGCAAGGGCCGTAAGCAGGAGCTCCTCCTGGCCGCCGAGTGGTCCGACTACTCCACAGAAGACATGGAGATGAGCGACTTTTCCTCGTACGTTTTCTCTTTTCTCTTTACTTTTTGTGCTTTTCCTGCGCAACGGACTTGTGACTCCTATGCAACACCCAACCTAAATTACTGGAATTCCACAATTTACAGCCGCAGCACAAACTCGACGAGGAGTGGAACGGGCGGCGGTAGTAGCCTCGCGCGCGACCTCTCCTTCACCGACCTCGAGCAGCTCCACCTGTCCTACGAGCCCAAGAGCCTCTCCTTCGGCCTGGGTCCCAGCGACAAGTGCCCCGTCGACGAGGAGATGCGCGACGTGATCGTCATCACCAACCACGGCTACTCCTCGCGCAAGTTCGCCTTCTTCGTGCCGGCCGAAGACGAGACGCTCCGCTGTCGCCTCCACCCGGGCGCCGGCATCATCAAATCGGTACTGCGAGCGTTCATCGTGTTCGCCGTGGACATAGCTTCTGACTCTGCTGATTACGCAGGGCAAGAGTGTGACTGTGAGCATATCGTGCACGTTGCTGATGACGACGCGCATCGAACGCAAGATCAAGTTCGAAGTCGAGGGCATGGGCAAGCACTTGATCAGCATCAAGCTCATCGGCGAGCTCTCCGCCAAGCTCGACCCCAACGACATTGTGACCGACCCTGTGCCCATCGGTACCACAACAGTACTTTTTTTGTTGCGCTCGATGCGCCGTCGTCATGGGATTAGTTGGCACTGATGGCCATATGGTGGTGTGGCGCACACAGGTATCGGCTCCTTTGGTTCGGTGTACAAGGCCGATTACCGGGGCCAGGAGGTGGCAGCCAAGATCCTCAACTCGCAGATGCACGCCAAGCAGATCGAAGAGTTTAAGAGGTACAGCTGCTCGCCGTCTCTCAACTCCCCATTGCGAGTACAACTGACACTCTCTCTACGCAGGGAAGTGAACATCTTGAATCGCCTTCGCTGCCCCTACGTACTGAACTTCATCGGCGCTTCGCACGTCGAAGGCAAGCGTTGCATCGTGACCGAGTTATGCAAGTTTGGTTCCGTGGGTGACCTGGTCTTCAGCGATAAGAGCTTCAACTATCTCCTGATGCTCAAGGTGGCGCTCGACATGTCCAAGGCCATCTCCTTCCTTCATGGGTACCCAACCTCAACTCCTGATTTTGGCGCGAGAGTCCCGATTAACCAATTTCTGTTATTACATAGAAACGGAGTCCTGCACCGTGATATCAAGCCGGAGAACTTCTTGATGGTCTCCTCGTCCATCAAGTCACCTGTCGCCTGTAAGATCGCCGATTTCGGCACTTCGCGGTACTATGCCTTACTCTTTGGTGTTTCCTCTCCTGCTACTGCTGCTTACATTCTGGCACCACGCTAGCTCCATTACCACTGTCCGCGAGCTGCTCAACCACACGGCAGCCCTGGGCACTCCACTTTACATGGCTCCCGAGGTTTGTTGCTCTTCCGTAAACTCGCTATCTGTCTATGTCGTGTCTCCCACACATTAACGTCAAATCCCCCCCCCTTCATCAGGTGCTGGAGCATAAGCCCTACTCGGCCAAGATCGACGTGTACTCGTTTGGCATCGTCCTGTGGGTGCTCTACTCCCGTAGAGAGCCCTACACCGAGCTCAAGCGCCAGTGGGGTAGCTTTTCTTCTCTCCTCTTTCTATATGGATTTCCCCTCCGGCTGATCACTTTCTCTTTTCCTGCGGTCCAGACGTCCCGCGCTATGTGATCAAGGGCAAGAGGCCCGCCATCCCTCATCACTGTCCCAAGGTGCGACTTTTACGATGTGAGTGGAGCCCAGCTCACGTGTGACACTCACACTCACTGGATCATGTAATTACCAGAATTTTGCAGAGCTGATTGCCCAGTGCTGGGCGCACAACCCCGATGACCGGCCGGACATGGCCGACGTGGTCAAGTTGCTGGAGAACCTCTTCGAAGACGAGCGCGGCATGAAGAACGTCCGCCAGGGAGACGTCGATAACGCGCGCGATAGGGTACGTGAGACCACTGCCGAAACACACGACACACACGTCATACGACACGCACGACACGATGGCACGCATAAACCCTTCAAGCCAATCGATAGTAAGCCTAATGATCTTTTCCTCCTCCACAACCCGCAGGAACTTGCGCCCGACGCGGAGGGCAACCGCGAGAGAAAGGGGATGCGCACCTGGGAAGGCGGCAAGAACCTGCTCATGGTAGGGAAGGGCGACAGCGAGGGCAGCGACGACGACAGCGGATCTGACTCGGGCTCATCCAAACGCAAAACCCAACGCAAAAGCCAAAGGTATCACAAGGGCACCAACTAACCAGTCGGCCACCAAAGATGTGCCGTTGTACCATACGCGGGAAAAGCCCTTTCTCAAAAAATAATTTCTGGCTCCATTTCCTTCTTTCTCTTATTATTTAGATTAATTGAGAAGAGAAAACGAGGAAACTAAATTTTTTCGCGACCCAAACTAGAACCTTGACGAGAGAGATGTTCAAAGGGTTCGGTCGTAACAATAGAAAGGAGGAGAAGGGCAGCCCGAAAAACAAGAAGGAGGAACCACCGCCATCTACCCCGATTGTCCCACCTGCCTCGGCTCGCCCCTTTGCGCTCCCACACGGTGCGCTACTTACCTCCCCCTGCCTATCTCCTTGGCACTCCCACTCATCGCACGAACGTGCCCACGACCTTCTTGCTCACTTTATGTCGACAGTGAATGAGAAGGCACTCGGCCGCACCCAGTCGGCGATCGGTCTGGCCGACAGCAAGACCCCGGCGAGAGGCACTCGCCCCCACACCAACCCAACTCTTCGCTTTGTTCATCGCTTTCGTTCTTTACCAGCTCGGACGTAAAACCTCTCTAACCCACCTCACCCACACAGGAGGGAGAGCGGAGGTGGCCAGGGCCGCAAGCAGCGTGGGTGGTGGTGGTGGAGGGAAGGCGGGCTTTGTGCCGACGGTCCGGCCGACCATGTCGCTGTCGGTCGACCCCATGGTGCCGGCGGCGATGCGGCCGGGCGAAGACGTGTTCACGGCCAACCTGGCGTCGGCGATCACGGCCAAGAGCCAGCTCAAGTCCTCCGGGTCCCCTTCCAAAGACCCGCTCTCGTCCTCCGGAGGCGCCGATGCCGTGCGCCGGCCTTCCAACGCTCTCCCCTCGCGCTTTGGCATCTCCCTCGTCGTCCCGTCAGGCTCGCAGGTTGGTTGGCACACACATTCCTTCCACATTCCGCTTGGATCGCGGCTCACACCAATTTTCAAGGGTAATACTGACCTTTGTTTTTGCTACAGGTGGATCTGAAATGTGGTGTGGGCGACACAGCAGCCGACTTCATCCGCTCCAACTTTAACAAGATGAAGGTATTTGGAAACAATCATAAGTCGACATTTTTCCACAGTCAAACGTTTTCCACAGTCACACTCACGACACCACACACTACCCCAGTTTATGCTGGGCGCGACAGCGAATGCAGCCCACTATGTGCTGCAAACGCCCGACGGAGAGACACTCGCCTCGGATGCGCTGGTCGCGAGCAGTGCCTACGTGGAGCAGTGCGTGCTGGGCAAATCGCAGCCCTCACTCTTCCTCAAGCCCCGAGAGCGCGGCCCTGCTCCGCTGCCGCCCATGCGGCCGTATGCCATGACCACCTCGTCGGCGCCCGCCTCTCCCTCTTCCCTCTCCACCTCCCCGCGGCGACTGCCCTTCAGCTACATACCCACCGCGACACCGCCGCCGAGCGTGGCGGCCCTATCCATGGCCAGTCCGTCGTCGTCGCTCGAATTGTCGCCGCCCTCATCGCCCTCGTCATCGCTGTCCTCGACACCGCGCACGTCCAACGCCCACTCGCCCTTTTCCCTCTCGCCGGCCACCTCCTTCGTGGCGCACACTCAGTCGGGCGATGAGATCCCGACCTCGCCCCTCGCCACCACGTCCGGGCGTGCTACGTCATCCGATCTCTCTTCGTCGCCGCCGGTCATCGACATCGATGTCCACGAGGTGCGACATCAGAGATTTTTAAAGTCGGTTCTGGATGTGGTTCACAACTGTGTCGTGCTGCGGCTGGTGGGCAGGACGAGCCGTTTGACCTGCAGGTGCTGCTGGCGGGGGCGGTGACAACGATCGTGGAATGCAAGCCGACCGACACTGCAGGCAACGTGCTCACGCGTCTGGACATTCCCGACTCCCGCCTGCATTGCTACAGTCTGGCCACTCCTGCCTCAAACGCCCTCGATGGCGCTCTCGTGCTGTACGTCGTCTTTTTTGTTTCTTTGTTGTTTCTTTTCTTTTCTTTTTCCTTTCTCTACCGGTATCAACCACCCCTCGGGATGACGCTAGGTCCAAGCTCGAGTACATTCGCGAGTGCAGAAGGCACTACATCCTCCCCCAGCTACGGGTGGTCGAGGACACACCGAGCCTGAGCAAAGAGGTGCGTACCTCCACTCCCCCATATGGGCGCTGCCTCGAGCAGCAAGGTGCCCTGCTAAGCATGGGGCGACCCACACGTGCGCGCAAAACAGGAAAAGAAAGAAAACAAAGACATTGGCGGATTGATCGGGCAGAAGCTGTGTTGGACCAATGTAGAGGATGAGATTTCAGCGTTCCGCAAGACCATGGCCAGGTGAGTCCCCATAATACGCCCAACACACCATGATTCACAGCAAATCACATTGATGGTAACTTCCTTTTTCCATTGCTGCAACGCAGAGTGAGGAAAGAAGTGGTGCTGGCCGAAGAACTGCGAGGATTGGACGACGGGGAGCTCAACATCCGATTGTCCGGCGCGCCCAATCCCACTGTCGATCGCCTGCTCATCCGGGTCGTGCTGCCGCTCGAGAAGAAGAGCACCAACCTGCTCGTCACCAACGGTGCTCTCTCCTCGCTGTACTGCTTGACCCACCACACGCAAGTGAACTGCATTTTAACTCCGACGAGAGTGCAGATAGGGGAATGGAGACTGCGGATTCCTTCCTGCAGCGACTGCTTCAGCTGCCCCTGTTCTCGACCTCCGGCTTCTACCACGCCCAGACGCACCCGCACCTCCTGCTACGAGCCAAGGGCAGGCTGGAACACATCGTGGGCAAGTACCCGTTGCTGGCCTTTGGTATGGTGCCAACTTGACTTTGTCTGCGCGCTTGTAAGAATGCTGGGAGTGAATACTAATCAGGTGATTGTGGCATCAGCGTACATTCAGGAATGCGTGGAAAGTAAGCGTTGGCCGAAGCTGGTGCTGCTCAAGCGATCGGAGGACTACATCGCGCTGGCCAAACCCAAACAAGACGACGCTTCCGCATCATCGTCGTCAACCACCACTGCCGGGTGGACCTCCGCCCGCGTCCCGCGCACCCCACGAGTGCGTGCGACACCATTTTCGCCGCGCTTGGGAGGAGCCAGCGAGGGGACGAGAGACGTCGGCGAGTCGGAGACAGGGCCGACAGCGATACAAGAGGTGAAGGCGGGCGAAGCGACGGAGTGGGAGGAGAATTGCGAGGGAGACCAGGTCGACGATGAAGAGGAGGCCCTCGCGCCGCGCTATGACCACGCTCTCATGGCCGGCGAGCTGGTGAGGTGGGACCAAAAGTCGCACATCTCCCTGTGGGAGCTGGTACACACTTGGACGCACCACACACACACACACACACACACACACACACACACACACACACACACACACACACACACGCCATGGTACATCCGCTCTCACAATATCGACACACCGTGCGCGTGCAGGAGAACCGGCCATTTCGAATCAAAGTGATGGGCGTGGAGAGGACCAACGAATTGGGCTGTCCCTCGTGGAGGAAGTTCTCCCCCGATCTCGCTCCGGACGACGTCATCGGCTCTCTTTACGTCCACGGTTCGCCCCTTCCCTCGCATCGGCACCGGGCCTTGTTGTGTGTGTGTGACGGTCATCTGTTGACTGCTCGGTGGGTGCAGTCGGGGTGTACTACGGAGGACAGCTGCTGGTGAAGGACGCGGTCACAAAGCCCGTGCCGTGTTCTGCCAACCCGCGCTGGGGGCAGTGGCTCACGTTCGACGATCTACTCTTCTCGAATGTCCCTCGCGTGCGTGTCCACCACCACTCCACTCGCCCACTCTTCGCAAGAGTGTCATTTCGCGCTAATAGAGTGTGCGTGTGCGGACGCGTTATGTTGTCATTTTTCAGGAATCGCGCGTTTGCTGCACCCTCTATGCGAAAACGGCCAGAGACACGGACGCAATTCCGCTTGCTTGGGCCAACTTCAACATCTTCGAGTACTAGACTCCACGCTTCGCCCCATTTTTGTTACATCGCTGAGTACGCTACGCACACGTGTGTCCCCACATCAGCTACAAGCACGAACTACGGTCCGGCTTGCACACCCTCTCCATGTGGCCGGACGGTACACACCCACCACGCATGCGTCGCTCATAATTTTCTTTGTTTACTTCTAAGCTGAGCGAACAAATTCGTATGCGTCACTTCAGGACCGGCCAACCCGATCGGCACATGCGTGGGTAATGCGGGCTTTGCGCACGCCACGCAGCTCGCACTCGAGCTCGACTCCTTTCCCCTCCCCGTCGTCTTTCCCACCGGTACGCAGGCCTTGCCTGCTGCTTGGCCCATCACTGATTGATTGATTGGCTGGCTGGCGCGATAATGCTCCTTGGGGCACAGATGGCACGACGGGCAAGACGAAGGGACCCAACCGCAATTCTTGCCTGGTGCTGGGCGGCGGAGAGGAAGAACTGGAGCTGGTGGAAGAGGTGGAGAAGATACTCGCCATGGACTCTCTTCACCGGCTGACCCCGACCCAAAAGAAGATCGTCAACACGCTGCGCGGTGAGCCCCATACCCCTCCCCTCCTTTTTTTGTCGTTGTTGCTGATCTTGGACCGAGTCGCGCGCGTAAACTCGTCAACGAGCCAGCTGCTAATCGGAGCTAAATGGCCACACAGGCTACTGTCTGGCGCGGCCCAACGCCTTGCCGAAGTTTTTGCAGGCCGTCAACTATGCCGACCACATATCTGTCCAGGTACACACGCGCACACACATACCTTCATTCGCAGGGAGAGACGTGCTCGTACCTGCGGACGACTAATGGCATGATCGCGAGCTCAGGAGATGCACTCGTTGCTGGGCTTCTTCAGACAGCCAACGGCAGTCGAGGCCCTGGAGCTTCTCGACTCCAAGTTCCCCGATGCTAAGGTAAGTACTACTCTTTTTTCCCGTTGTGAACTGTGCCCGGTACTCATCGCGTTTCAGGTGCGAGATCATGCGGTCGAATGTCTGGAGGCCTTGTCCCACGATGAGCTGCTCGACTACCTCCTCCAGTTGGTGCAGGTCATCAAGTATGAAGCCTATCATGACTCTGGTACCTCTCCTCAATCTCACTCGCACCGCTCAAGCCCGACAGCGACATACAGCATTGATGAACAACGATTTGTACTTTCCTTCCAGCTCTGGTTCGTTTCCTGCTGCGGAAAGCCCTCGAGAATCGCCACATCGGTTCGACTGTTGACCACTTCCTCTCACATGTTGGGTTGTTTGAGCCTGACCACCCGGACACCACCAGGCAATGCGTTCTATTGGTACCTGCGATCGGAGGTGCACGCGCCGGAGATCTCGGAGCGGTACAGCCTCATCCTCGAGGCCTACCTCCGCGGCTCGCCGTCCCACCGTCGTCGGCTGCATCGACAGAACCAAGCCCTCAACGCCATCTACCACGTCGGAACTAAAATCAAGGTAAGCCACACACTGTTGGGGGGGTTTTTAACTCCGGATCAGGGCTTGAACTCCATTCAACATTCATCTCGTCTGTCCCAGGACGAAGCGATCAAGACGGAAGAGGAGCGGGCCGAGGTGCTGAGCGCCGCACTGGCGGTGATCAAGCTGCCCTCCACCTTTGGGCTGCCGCTGCGGGCGGACATGGAGGTGGCAGATCTCCTCACAGACAAGTGCAAGTTCATGGACTCCAAGAAGCGGCCGCTGTGGCTCGTCTTTGAGAACGCCCAACCCGCGCGACCGCCCATCTACACCATTTTCAAGGTCCGTTCACCAACCTCGTCATTATTCTTTATTTCTATTTCTCTTACTTTTATTTAATTGAGTTATTTAACATCGCCATGTTTTGCACTACGATAGTGTGGCGACGATCTCCGTCAGGACATGTTGACGCTGCAGATGCTTCGAATCATGGACAAGATGTGGAAAAACGAGGGCTACGATCTGTGTGTGACGCCCTATGGCTGCATTGCCACCGGGGCGGACATGGGTTTCATTGAGGTACACCTCCATGCCCTCGCGCGATGATCGACATTGTCATGGTACATTGTCATAATCAATGTTCCACCTCCGCCCTCCGCATTCCATCTCCGCCCTCCGTCTCCATCCGCATTCCGCATTCCGCCTCCGCATTCCGCCTCTGCCCTCCGCATTCCGCCTCCGCCCTCCGCATTCCGCCGCCTCCCGCTGATGGTGATTCCCCAGGTCGTGCAGAACTCGGCAACCACGGCTGCAGTCGCCAAGGAGTCGGGCTACGGGGCCAGAGGCGCCTTCAAGGAGGACCCGCTCAAGAACTGGCTGCTCAAGCACAACCCCACCAAAGAACAGGTCCGCTTCACTACCAACCAAATACCACTTCGTGGGCACTAATGCGGCCGACATAACCAGTGGGACGCGGCGCTGAGAAACTTCATCCGATCTTGTGCGGCGTACTGCGTGGCCACCTATGTGCTGGGGATTGGCGATCGACACAACGACAACGGTTCATCCCCCTCTCCTGCATTTCTTCTTCTTCTTCTTCTTCTTTCAAGGTAGCCGAACTCACATTCCAGCTCAACTTTCTTTCGAAGTGATGGTGACCAAGGACGGCCGACTGTTCCACATCGACTTCGTACGCGCCTCCTATCACACTCCTGCTGCGCAGCACACCCTTGGGTTTGCGAGCGAGGGACGTGCTCATGACCAATGCTGTAATTGCGACAGGGCCATTTCCTGGGGAACTTCAAAAAGAAATTCGGCTTCAAGCGGGAACGCGCTCCGTTCGTGCTGACCCCGGACCACGCCTTCGTGATGGGCGGTCGCGGCAGCGAAGGTACGCCCGGAAGCCACAGGAGACAACACTAAGGCCTCCCTCACTGAATGTTCACTCACTGTAACAGGATTCACACTCTTCATTACAACTGCTTGCCGCGCCTACAACATCCTTCGCAAGCACGCGTCTGTATTTATGTATGCATCTCCCCCTCCTGGTTCATGCCTAGACAACACTACTGAGTAAACCGCTAAGTGACACTTCACCATCTATGTCCAAACACGACACGCGTGGGTGCAACAGAAATCTATTTGCTATGATGTTGTCGGTACATTCCCCCTCCCCCGCATGAAGCATGGGAACGAGCCTGCTAAACTTGACCGTATTCCTCCTCGAGCAGACGGGCATTCCAGAGCTGAAGAGCGCAGAGGACCTGGAGTACCTGCGCTACGCCTTCGCAACCGATCTTGACGACAATGCAGCCGCAGCCCGCTTTACCGAGCTCATACACGCCGCCCTCGACTGCTGGACCACACGCTTCAACAACGCCATCCACCTCATCGCGCACGGCGGCAAGGGCTGAGCCTATTTTTTATTTATTTACATTTATTTTTTTTCAGAACACCGCAGCTCTGAGAGGTTTTTGTCGTCGACATTTATTGCGTGAGCAAATCAAGAAAAAGCGCAGAAAGCCGGCACATAATTTTCTCTATTTTTTGGGCCAAGAAGATGGAGAGGGTCAGCGCCGCCGAGGTCGAGGCCAAACTGGTGGCCCATTGGCGAGCCCTTCCACAGTCGCTCGCCCAAGAAGACGAAGGCGGGACAACGAACAAGCTGCTGCTCTCGTTCCTGTCCGCCCTCCGGTCGGCCCTGCCGGCGGCCACTAGCACCGAAACGCCAGGTGGTGGTGGCTGTGGGGAAGGGGCTGGGACGAGCACCACCTCGTGGCTGGTCTCGACCGCCAGCGAGGCCAGCGGGAGCCACGAGGTGTGGGTCGAGGGCGTGCAGGTGCTCTTCTGGTGGGTGTTCGTGTCCGACGGCCCCCACGCCTGCCTCTCCTTCCTCGACGCTTCAAGGGGCCAGAGCGAAGAAGATGGAGGTGGTCTTGAACAGGACAAGGCGGCCCTGTTCTGCCGCCTCGGCCCGGCCTTGCTGTGGGGCAACCCCTACGCACCCGAGTGGGCTGTCATCTTGCCCGTGGACGCGGTGCCCCAGGTCCTAACAATGCTGTGCAGCCGCCTGCAGCAAGCCAGCAGTGCGGCAGTAGCCAACGTGCCAGCGACGTCGGTACTGCTCATGTGCCTGAGCCACATCGGACGTACTATCCCCTTCTCGGAGGTTCGCTTAGCGCTCGGGACTGACCGGGCGAGGCGCAGGTCTGCCACACGCCTGGGACTACTCAAAGCAAAAGGAGCTCGTGGTCTCGACCCTTATTGGCATGTTCACGCACAGCGCTGACCCTGTGATCGCGACATGTACGAGAGAGCTTCCTTTTGATCTTCAGCAGCTCGGTTATGTGGATTTGCCGTACTTACGATGTGCGGATGTTGTGTGCAGTGGTCCTAACGAACTTCCTGCCGCGAGAGTCCATGCTACTGTGGCACACACCGGTACCTTAGCATACGTGCTGGCCATTGCCGCGTGTTACGTTGGAATTATGACCATCACCACCCACACAGACACTATCGGACAAGCTACGAGAGCTTATTGATGACAGTCGAGCAGCATTGTCGGTGCGGGAAGCTGCATTACGGCTTACGCCGTCTGCTATGAGAGACAATGAAAGGGTGCGTACCCGCAAGTTCACTTGTTGTGATTGTGACCTACTCTGAGTTGAGCGCACGTACGTAGATCTTGTTTGAGTTGGCGACAGACGGCTCTGCTCCACCTTCTCTGCGCTGTGCTGCCCTGTCTCTGATGACCGAGCTGCGATCACACAAGGAGTTGGTGGAAGTCTTCGAAACCGCACTCACCCTTGCAGGGGTAAGGCCACAACCCCTTCTCCCGCTCGGATCGATTTTACACTCAATCTCAACCCAGCAGGAGCAAATGGACGAGCGGGTAGTGATAGCCGCGACCGAAACGCTTTATCACTGGCGCGTTACAATAGACTTGGAGATGGCCGATGTGCGACCGTTCATACACAGGTTCCACCCATTCCACACATGAATTTGAATTCGGTGCAAGAGTAACTCCGAGCGGTGCTGCGCAGAGCGTTGTGTTTGGCCACCAACTTAGTGAGAAAGGAGCCAGATGTACCGACTTTATTGGACCTCGCGGCCGACACCGTGGTTCGGTTCCACTGCGTCGACCTGGGTGGGTCTCTCCCCGGCAGTTTGCTGTTGTCGCTGCCACTGGAGGTACACGGCCTCTTGGAGGCCAAGCAAAGCGCACTCCTTAAGAAAGGTAGTATTATCACTCCCACCACGGCTTCATCGTCGGCCTGTACTCACAAAGTGCGTTGGTGTACCCCAGCCGACCCTAAACATCACAAAAAGACGCTGAGGACAGTGACACGGACCTGCTTGATGGCCCTGTCTGAGATGCTGGAGCACGATCTATACGATTTGATGCGACCTGCAATTGTCTCGATGCTCCATTCTGACAATCGCTGGCAACTACGGTACCACTGACCATCGGACATCCCGCCAATTCTCGTTTGATGATTCACCACACATGCAGGGAAGGCGGACTGCTGGTGCTCGGGTGTCTGCTTCCGCACTGTGGGGATCACGAATTTGGGGACCGCGAGGCCATGCTCTCCCTGATCATGCCAGCAATCAGCGATCCGAGGGTACGAACCAGCCAAATTGTCACTGGCAATCTATGTGTTTTGCCATGCTCAACCATGGTGGCGCAATGCTACAGGCCAAAGTGCGGAAGATGGGCTGCTGGGTGTTGGGCTTCTTCCTGCGTGAGCCCTGTGAAGTGGTAACCGAGGCATCAAAGCTCTTTGTACGACTCGCCGTTGACGATCCGAACCGGGGAGTGCGGCGCAAGGCACTCCTCGCTCTAGAAGACAACAACTGGACATGGTGTGCCGAAGCTGTACTCAAGGAATGCTTTAGGGTTCTGCAACGGGACCAGCCACTGGTGCGTTGCTGGCTTCGTTCTTTCGCCTCCTTTTCCGTGAGTAACTCCGCTCAACTTCATGTGCTGCAGGAGGAAGCCACCTCCGTCACAGTGCTTGGCGTCATCGCACGAGGACTGCGTCTTATTACCTTGTGGGCGGAAGCGAACCCTTCGGCCAACCATGGACTCTACCTCGACGTGGTGCAAGGCTGCATGCAGACACTGCTCGATGGACTGCCGATGCTCGCCCAAGATGCAACCACCAACAAACAGGTGCTCCAGTCCCTTAGGAAAGCCTCTGACAGTACGCGCCACTTTTGCTCGCTCAGTTTGACACATTGTTGATGAATTGATTGATTGCTGGTGGTGAGCAGTTAGCCAATTTGCTGCCAGTGTGGATGGAGATTACAAGCTGGGCTGTTTCGAGCGCCATTTTGGTTCGCTGCTTGCCAGATCCCACAATTGTGAAGAGGTACTCACCGGTTCCATCTCCGAACCAAGTCGCACTACGACTCAACCTTTCCACAGCAGGTGAATGAATGCATGCTTGCCTTCTGGAAGCACAAACTCCATCAGCCTACAGCCAAGTTCGGCAAAGAAACAGCGACCAGGATCGTCTGGGTCGCTGCAACGCATATGATCAAGGTAAACTGCATTGTGTTCATTATATTTACGGTTTTTTTCACCTTGTTTTTCTGTGTCTGTGCGTGCCAGAGGGCGGAACACGTAAAGCTGGCGCTCTGGGCGCTGACGTGCATCAGCGAGGACTACCCAGATTGCGTGACCTCACTCATGGACCCTATCATCTCCGCCTTGGTGGCCCTATCAGCGGCCTTACCAGCCCACCCGCCAACCACTTCTGTGCGATTCTGCCACTGTCTTGGTATCCCTTTCCTTCAAAAACCCTCAAAGTGATCTCATACAACACTCATCTCCAGTGTTACTCCCTGATCTCTCAACTCTCAACAGACCGGCTAATTGCCACCTGTGGAGTTGCCAGGATGAGACCCCATGTGGGGACTCTCTCGAGTGCCCTGGTCGCCAACATAACTCGCCGCTCGCCCTTCGATATGGCCCTGCGGTGCTGCCTGTTCTTGGTTCCGTGTGGCGTGAGCGACATTGACGACCGCGTACTCTTCCACCTGATCGAAGCCGGCCCTCTGCGCACGATTACCGAAACGTCGCAGGAGATTACGCTCCGGGTGTCGACCGAGAGCCTGGCCAGCCTCGTGGTGGAGCTGTTCACCGAGCGCGGGCTGGACGAGTGCGGCGATCCCAAGGTCGCCTCGGCCGTACTGGCCCTCCTGGCCGACCGGCTCCAGCGCGACACAAGCAATCTCCCGAGCGCGGGCACACCGCAACCGCCCGCGGCGGTGCGGGAGCGTGTGGGCCAGGCTCTAAGCGTACTGGCGGCTGCGATTGGACACGGCGCGTTGCAAGCAGACCGGAAGAAGTGGCGCAAGTTCCGCCGGGGCCTCAATTGGTATCTGCCGGCCGCCAGCCCGCTTCTTGCTCTCCTTCTCGGCCACGCGAATGCTGCACGCGTCACAGCAGCCGTGCACGCCGTGTTGCGTACTTCATGACCTCCGTGCGGCGGTGGTGAGTCCACATCACACCGTCCTTCAGCAGCGTTGCACGTTGTTCTCCGGAAGAATCAAGCACCCACCCCCCAACCACAGCCACACCATGTGCGCGAAACTTAATTTCTCGAATAACTTAGTGGAATTCATTTTGGCGCGAAAACTTGGCAACGGGCACAACTGGTGTGCTTGCTGGCCAACCCCGACAGTCTATTTACCATTCAAACGATCTTGACGAGAAAGATCCATTGCATCTGGTACGATGCAAGACGCACAGGTACAGACGCCTTGCCCATCGTTAAGTTGATGATTTTGAGATATCTTACTGCGGATTTAATATTCAAGGAATGGGCCAAGATGGGTAGGGAGGCCCTCAGGCTTGGCGGAAGCGAACTGCACCACTTTGTGCTTGCGGCTTCCTGCTTCCTTGCTGCCAGCGAATCAGCTGCTGGAGATGAAGAGGCCATGCAGGAGGGCGGTAGTGTCGTCACTCCCGCCCAGGTGCAGGCCGCACTGCGCGCCGCCGTCAAAGCGCACAAGCGCTTCACAGGTACTCTCCGCTCCCTTGCGCCCAACCACACAATAGGAACGAACACTAACCACTTCACGCAGAGAAGAAGCAGTGGAAGGACCTTACCACGAAGGCCTCCGCTGCCACGTCATCTGCGATGCAGTGCACGGCCCACCACGGGCTGGCCACCGAGCAGCCGCTCTACGTCTGCACCCGGTGCACCGACACCACCGACCTCGCTGGCGGCGGGGACCCGGACGGAGCCTTGCCCGTCGTGTGCGGCCCGTGCGTGCGCCGGTGCCACATGCACAAGGAGCATCCCAAGAAGGGCCGCCTGCCCCGGCACATCCTGCCCATCGCCCGGTCCAAGCGCAACGCCATGTACGCCGCCGTGACTCGCCACGATCGCCTTTGCGTTGCCCTCACATTCGTCTTCTTGGTGTGATTATTTTATTTTATTTATTTTCGGCGCTGCGCAGTTGTGAGTGCGGAACGGCCAAGTTCGATGGCGCGAAGCAGGAGGAGTGCACGCTGGTGGGGACGGACTCAAAGAGCGATATGGCGTGGCTCAACGCGCCCGACCGAAGTTTCACCCTTGAGTATTGCACGGACAAGTGCACGGAAAGCCACCGGGTCAAGCCCCGCCACTGCTGGGATGACGAGGACGAACTCGTCGCCTGCGTCTACTGCCGGACCGACTTTCACGCTGACTGCGTGGTACGAGCTCACGGCCCAGCCACGCGAACTCGAGCAAGAGCTGCTTTGTGACTCACTTGCACGAGTCTTTAGGAAGCCGAGGATCAGAAGAAAGAGGAGTTTGTGTGCGGTGCCTGCTTGGCGGACCGGGTGCCTCACCTTCAGGCCTACCTCCGAACGCCCAAGGGCGATCACGGTAAGTCTACTCGTGCGTGTGCGTGTGTATGTTGTGTGTTGTGGCTTATTTGGCGACCGACGTGTGCGGGCTGGTGCCTATGTCAGGACCACGAGTGTTGGGCAGGAGCTGCCTTGGAGGCTGCTTCCTCATCAAGTCGTGGCGCCAGGAGATCATCAAAGACGAGCGGGAGATCATGAGGCGGACAGCGGAGGTGGTCCGTTACGGCCTGCGCCCTCTCGCCGTCGTGCTCTCCGCACTGACGGCTTCCACCGAATCAAACGCGAACAGCGACGACGATGACGATGGCGACGACGACGACGAACTCGAGTGGGCCGCGCGGGCTGACGAAGCCGTCTCGTTGCTCACCTCCTTCGTCAAGATCGGGGACGACGACTACACCGACTACGCAAAGCAAATCCGACAGGAAGCACACAAGGCGGGCCTGCCCGCTTTGCTCCTGTCGCTCCTGTTGCGCTGCCGGGCCGTGCTGGTTCAGTCGTCTCGCGCCGCTCAGGCGCAGCGGAAGAAGCAGCATCAGCGCAAGTACAAGGCCAGACAGGAGGAGGCGCGAAGCCTGGCCGCCACCATCTGCGCAGCGTTGACGTGGACTCTGAAGGATGAAGGTTAGTCCCTGCCTGTGATGTGCCGTGTGCCGTGTATGGGTGTATGCATATGTATATGTACACTGACGCTGGGCTGGTGCTTTCTTAAGAGGAAGCGCAAGACGCTCTGGGCAAGAAGTCTCTGTCCGCCGTACTGCTCGACCTGCTGTCGCACGAGATCGACGCGGACGAGGACGCGGGCAAAGCCAGTCTATCGCTCAACGCCGCCTCCGCTCTCGCCACGTGCCTCATGAACTGTACCTTACATTTTTCCCATCCTCGCTCTTCCTCTTTCGCTCACACTCAATCGTCTGGGGCCAGCTCTAGACTGACTCGCGTATGTATGTGTGTGCGCGTGCGTCTGAAGCCCCCAAGAGCCAGAGCGGCCTGGCCGCCGACGAGGAGAAGGTGCGGCAGCTGTGGTCGCTCATTCGCAGCTGCAAGTGCGATGACGCCCGGGCCACGGTCCTGGCCTACGTACTCTACGTGTACTCCAACACGGTCGTCTTCTTCTCCGATGAGATGAAGGAGGAGATGACCGACCGGGCCAAGCTGAGCCTGCTGCTCGAGATCGTCACAGACTCGGACAACCCCGGCGTCAGGCTCCATGCCACCCGAGCCCTGGCCCACCTCGCCCGCGGAGACGGTAACACACGCGACACGTATCACCGCACACGCACACACGACCGCACGCGCACCGCCTGATTTATTTTGACATCGTTGGTGTGGGCAACACAGAGAACACGCAGCGGACGATCAGGAGGGAGGGAGGAGTGGAGCAGCTGGCCAAGCTGTTCCTGGGCCTCAACGCCACCGGCGGCGGCTCGAAGGACGATCCCCACCGCCACGCGGTGCTCATACTGCTCCTGGTCCTGTGCCAGGACCCCAAGTGCGCGGCCCGCCTGCTGTCGGTCAAGCGGGTGGAGAAGGCCCTCACCCGCCTCCGCAAGGACGAGGACGCCTCGTTTCCGCTGCGGCTCTGCGCCAACGACATCCTGGGCGCCGGCCGCCCGACGTCCAGGCCCACCACGCCCATCAAAAACAACAAGAACCGGGGCCTCGGCGGTAAAGCGAAGAAGAAGTCATCGTCATCGAGCGGCAGCGATAGCGAAGACGAGCTGTCCACTCGCGGGCACGTCAACTTCCTGCCGCCGCCGCTCTTCACCCGGCTGGGGCTTCTGGGCCGCGGCGCGTTCGCCAAGGTGTACAGAGGTACCGCTGGCCTAACCCAACCCACCAACGATCAGAGCGATAGAGAGCGGGCTCACATTCGCTTTCACCCAGTGCGCGTGTCGCCTTCTTCGGATCGGGTCTACGCGTTGAAGCAGATCCAGCTGTGGAACAAATACGCGTACGTCGCTCTCGTCTCACGTAGTTTTATCGTTCGGCAACACGCGCCTACTCACGCCATCATCGTCGTCGCCACGCGTAACTATAGTGATCCGTTCTACTTCTACACCGAGGCCCAGATCCTCAAGTGCGTCTCCTCCGCAACCATGATGGTTGGGCCTTGCGTGCACCAATTATTGACTCTGCTTTCTCTTCCTTTCTTTTCTTTTCTTTCTCTTCCTTTCCTTGGCGCAGGGACGTGGACCACGAGAATGTGATCAAGACGCACAGCATCTACCAGGACCACTCGGCGATGTACTTCCTGCAGGACCTCATGGACACCACCCTGGACAGCGTCATCCACTCCACCGCGGTCATCGGGGACAAGGCCGCGCCGCTGCCGCTGCCTCTTCTGCTGGACGTGTGCCTCGGCATCGCGCGCGGAATGGACTATCTCCACACCCTACCGCACCCCATCCTGCACCGCGACCTGAAGCCCGAGAATCTGCTGTACCACTCCACTCCCCACGTGTCGTGTTCGCGTTTCGCTTTTCGCATTCGCGTTTCGTGTTCGCTTTTCGCTTTTCTGCTTTTTCGCGGGCTGACCGACAGGAACGACGGCAGGCTGAGGCTCGAGGGCCAGGGCCAGACGACGAAGCTGCGGGGTCTGAAGATCACCGACTTTGGCGTGAGCCGCTACCTCAACAACCCGCACTCGGCGGAGGTCGAGCGCGGAATGACCCAGGCCATGGGCACCACGGGCTACATCAGCCCCGAGATGGCCGTCGGCATGCGCCTCGCCCAGGACGAGCTGTGGCTCAAGTCCGATGGTGCGCTCTCACCAGTGCAGACTGTCGAGATTCTTATTTTAAGGGCCTGTTATGTTGCTGACGTCAGCACTTCTCTGCGCGCGCACAGTGTGGAGCTTTGGTGTGATCATCAGCGAGCTGCTCTCGCGAAGGAAGCCCTACTACGGCAAGATCACGAACGAGGTGAGCTCTATCATCGAGAGCGTGACGGTGACGGTGCGCGACGGGTCCAAGAAGAAGCGCAAGGCCAACAACAACAGCGACAGCGCGGACGCCGACGCCATGCCCTTCCACGAGGACCAGCTCCTCGGGCGGCCGCCCAAGGCGCTGGTCGACCTGATGCGCCGGTGCCTTTCGCTCACCATCTCCGCTCGGCCCAGCTTCAGCGACGCCGTGGAGGTACTCGAGGAGCTCAAGCAATCGCTGCACAGCCAGAGCGAGGACGAGAACGAAGCGGCGGCGGCGGCTCAGTCGCCACCACCGGTGTTGGAGCTCGAAGTGAAGCGACCCAAGCGACTTGCCAAGCGGCGCGCCAAGCCCGCTGTGCCGCCCCCGCAGGCCGACGAGAAGCAGGAGCAGCCAGCGCCCCAGGCCGTGGTGCCGACTGCTTGCATGGTGCTCACGCCGCAGCAGCAGCCGAAGGTCAGGCGCGTGGTCCGACGGCGAAACAAGGTCCTTCTTGCGCCGGCATCCGCCTCCTGCGCGCCAACCCAGGACGATGACGAGGAAGAGCAAGTGGTCGAGGACAAGGAGAACGTCAAGCCGCTGGCCAACAGGCTCAAGAAGATGCGCCTCTAAGGTTGTATTTTAATTGAACAAGAAATGGATGAATGTATGTGTGCCATGACATGATGTGGCGAAGCGGTTGATCACCGCTTGCCGCGGTTGAGGAAGCGTAGCATGACGTAGAAGGACAGGCGGAGGAAGAGGCACTGGGCTGGGAGTGGGGTGGAGGGGAGTGGAGCAGAGGGGGTGGAGTGGAGGGTGAGTGGAGTGGAGTGGAGTGGAGGGGAGGGGGTAGTGGAGTGGAGGGGGAGTGGAGTGGAGGGGGAGTGGAGGTGGAGTGGAGGGGTAGTGGAGTGGAGGGGGAGTGGAGGTGGAGGTGGAGTGGAGGGGAGGGGGAGTGGAGTGAATAGCAGTGGCAAACTCACCACACACATGTGGACCTCATCATGGTGATTGGGCACACATGCCACCCCCATGGACAAAATATGATTATTGAAAAAACATAATTAATAGACACAGAAATGAATGATGGTGGTGTTGTGGGACCTGCACAGTGTGCCTGGGCAGGGCTGACTCAGGAAGGGTACTTTTGGGGTTGGGGAACACATCCTTGGCCTCCCTACATGAGATTTTCATGGTGAACCCCCACTGTGGGGCCAGATGGCGGTGGTGGATGGTGGTTGTGGTAGTGATATCTCTGTTTCTTTCTCAGCAGCCAAGCCCACCTCCACTGCTGCTGGCCACATGCCTCTTGGGAGAGATAGATTTTGATCCTCTCATCTGCCACCTGAATTGTGGTGTGTACCACCCCACACAGCCACCACACATGTGCAGTGCACACAGTGACAGGTGGCCCACATGTGATCAGCATTGGGGGGAAACCCTTAAAAGAGAAGGGGGTGGGCAGGCTAGTGTGGATGGTGGAGAACATGCTGCACATGACATTGTACCTTCCTCACATTGAGCACTTGAACTTCAATAATGGCTCCTGACCCACTGGCAAGGGCCACCAGATCTTCCTGCCTGGGTCCAGCATGCAATCATGGAGCAGGTGGATGAGGTGCAGGATACCTGCATGCATGATAGAGCATCAGTCAGCCACAGAAACACAAAAAATGACATGTGTGGAGGATCCGGACAGCAAAAGCTCAGCCTTTGTTTTCCATGACTGACCTTGCCTGTTGAGGTCAGGCACATGGAACATGGCACACACAACATCCACACAAACACACACTTAAAATCCAAATCCCTATCAATGCAAAAAGCTTCAACTGAATAGATAACGCCTACAGATTGAGCACAGAAATATCTTTGGCTGTCACCATATCCACCTTCTTCTTCATCAGCATCTCCAGCAGAGGTGGAGGCAGAGGCAGTCTCTCACTGGCCAATATGAGCTACTCACCTCCCTACCACTCCACTCCACTCCACTCCCCCTCCACTCCACTCCACTACACTCTGCAGAGCCAAGCCACATCAGGTCACCACCACCCACCTTGGTGAAACACTCCAGCAGTAGCCCCAGGGTGAGCCCATTGAGTAAAGGTGAGATCCTGAGAGTTTGCACTGTCCTTTCCACCTTGCTGGGGGGGTCTGTGTCATTTTATTAAGTACTTTTGTTTTGCATTTTAGTCAGCATGACATGGCCACTCTCATCTTTTCAGTTTAAAACAAAAACAGGCCTTGCAAGCTGGCAAGCCAGTACTTGCTTTTGCATGGCCACAGTCTCCTTGAAGATTATGACAGACTCCTGGTAGAATGCACTGTTGGCCTTGGAGTCTGCCAGCATGGCCTTGGTTTGTTTTGCCAGGTCCTCCCATTCTGCAATGCTGTGCAGGGTGTGTCTGTTGGGCTCCTTGACAGCTGCCACAGCTGCATGCACACGTTCCACACATTGGGCGTCCAGGACCTTGAGCTCCTTCCTGCAGGCCTCAATCACATGGGGAGGGGCTGTTGGGTCCACACAGGCACATGTTATGTCTGCATCATCCTTCTGCTGCAGCAGCATTTGGTAGGACTCCACTGTCAGCCTGCCACACAACACAGCAGGAGAAGGGGAATGTTAAAAATCTTGTGTAGAGCAAGAGGTGAGGCAGGAAAACACATACATGCTGTGGGACTTGAAGAAGACATAGCCTGGAAAGATGTCCTCCCTGGAGTGACTTGTAATGGAGTGCTCATTAAAAAGTGACAGTGTCACTTTTTCATGAAATGGAAAAAGTGGTGTACATAGAGGTAGGAGGTGTGTGCTGGGGTGTACATGTTAAGAAGAGAAGAAGTGTATTACAGGTGCTGGAAGATCTCTTTGAGTGTGGTGGTGGGGACACCAGAGTTGGGGTGGAATGAGAAGCCACAAGCAAGAACAGAGCCAATGGGCACACTGCCTTCAGTGCCATGGTCAGCCCAGTGACCATTGGTGAAGTTCCACCAGTGGACGTTGAGCCTCTTGCACTGCACTGTGATGATCTTCACAATCCAAAAGTCCTCTGTCACCTCATCCAAGTCAGCATGGACAGCTACCCAAAGCCCAGGGGCAAAGTTGAAGTGTTGGGCCTTACCAGCTCTTCCAATCCCACATGGTTGTGAGTTTATGAAGTTCAGGAGAAGGGGCAGTTGTTTGGTAGGCATGCTGCAGAAATGCTGGTAGTTTTCTGTTGGTGGGTGGGGATGTGAGCAATGGTGGGAGAGGTAAAGTTCCTGATGTGCATCAGGAAATGTCAACAAATAAAACTCCCAATGCGCATCAGGAACTGTTGACAAATAAGAACAGACATCAAGGAGGTCCACAAACAGCAAGAGGCAGTGCATACCCAGGGGTGTGGATGGTGGCAGTGTTGAATTTTGTCTGCATGGTCGAGAAAAGCTGATCAATATCCTCAGGCAGACAGGCAAGCCATTGAGTTGCAACTTGAAGCAGCATAAGGGTACCAAGGAAGTGCAGGTGATTGTCGCTCTCTTCTCATGGACGCCCCGGGGCTCTGCTGCACCACAACAGCTCATCTCAGCTGCCATTGTGAGACAACTCATTGCAGCTGAACTCAATTGGGGTTGATCAAGAATTGAGTTCTCTCATGCTGCATAGGGGGCAGAAATGGCCATCAGTTTATCAGAGGTGAAGTGAGAGAGGCAAAGGGAATTGCAGCAATGCAAATGTTGAAGGGCCTGAAGTCTCTCAGGAGCAACCAGGGTCCTGTGCTTCTTTGGAGTGCAATGGCTATAACAGACACAAGGAATTCCTGTGTTTTAGTAACGTTTGCAAGGAATGTAAGAGGTATAGTTGGTGACAATTAAAACTCCCAATGGGAACTGTCAACAAATAAAACTCCCAATGCACATCAGGAACTGTCAACAAATAAAACTCCCAATGTGCATCAGGAACTGTCAACAAATAAAACTCCCAATGTGCATCAGGAACTGTCAACATATAAAACTCCAATCATGTTTGGTTAAGTACTGGTATTTGTCAACACACAATTTTTTGTAGTCTCCATAAATCTGGAGTTGTTTATTATTATCATTCCTTCTTGTCATACACACACCACTCAACAACATCCTATCCTCTCTTAAGATGAGTAATCATCATACTTCACAAGTTCCAAATTTTAGCACCATGTCTTCCAATGAAAAGCTCACCAGTCTTCACTCCCTTGCAGCACTTGCTTCCACAAACACTCATGCTGTCACCAAGGATACCATCAATGCCCTCTTGCACTCTCTTGGCAAGAGTGCTGGTGCAACAAAACCCCAATCACTGCAACACCTCAAGGAGCTAGCTGGGGAGCAGGTCAAGAAGGATGTGGAAAAAGGCAGACAGGGTGAAGAGACTAGAGAGGGGATGAGCAAGGAGGGGAGGAGTGAGGAGGGGAGGAGTGAGGAGGGGAGGAGTGAGGAGGAGAGGAGCGGAGTGATGAGGAGAGGAGCAATGAGAGTAAGGCAATGGGGGAGGATAGGCAGAGGGAGATGGTGGAGGAGGAGAGGAGCGAGGAGGAGGCTTCCCAGGAGAAAGAGGAATTCCAGCGTGCAAAGGGGAAGTGTAAGATTGAGAGTGAGGAGGAAGAGGAGGAGCAGGTTGAGGTGGAAGAGGAGGAGGAGCAGCAGAAGAAACAGCAGCACATAACAATCAACCTTATCAAGGAATAGCTGCTTGCTCAGCTGCATAGTGAGCCAATGGTTTGTGAATATGAGAAGGGTGACACTGAGCAGCAATGTTGCCTTGCTGTGAAGTTACTTGGTCTGTTGGACAGTGAGTTGGGTATGTACATCATTTCAGCATTTCATGTTCATCAAGTTGACAAATAAAGTTCCTGATGTGCATTGGGAACTTTATATGTTGACAGTTCCTGATGTGCATCAGGAGTTTTATTTGTTGACAGTTCCTGATGTGCATTGGGAACTTTATTTGTCAATGGTTCCTGATGTGCATTGGGAGTTTTATTTGTTGATGGTTCCTGATGTGCATTGGGCGTTCAGGACCATTTGCTCACTTCTTTTTCTCTACAACAGAAAAGAAAATCAGATCACTCCCCAACTACCACTCACTGCAGCAGAATCCAGCCATTGTAATGGAATCACTATGGGACACTCATGATGATGCCACAATCCATGAGCAGAAAGCACTACTTGACCACATTGATCCAGCAACACTCCATTGGCTCTGGGTTCAGCATTCAAAGTGTGCTGTGGATGTTTGTAATTGCACTGTCTTTGGTACAGCACCCTCTATTTCCCATGTCACACTTTAAAAAGCGTCCACTCATCTCCCTCTTCCAGAGTGTCATCGCCCAGTCACTGTCACTGGTGTTCATCACCTTCTGCTCTCCATCATCAACAGCAGTTTCCTCACCACCAAGCCCTTCATTGTCCACTTCCTTCTTGAGGACAAGCAAATGGATAGAACAAATGAGGAAGAGTTCAGTACAAGCTTACACTTCACTGATTGAACTTGAAAGTGAATCTCACAGCATACCTGTTTATTGTTTCAATTTCCAGAGGCTGTGGACTGCAATCACCACGTCATTGTGTGGAACCTTCTGGAGCACTGGAACTGGAACAGCATCTACAAAGTTCCAATGACCATCAACAACATGGAGCTGAGTTGGATCATCCTGGACTGCATATCTGGCTTTGAGAACCACATCAATTCTGCTGGCATGGTCACTGTCAACACTTTCAAAAAAGCCTTCAATCACTACCAGCAAGGGCTGAAGCCACTCTACAGCAAACAGTGGGGATCATGTACAACAACAGATTGGATGATGCTTGCTGAGTATTTGGTATGCCTCCTTCAGTCCTCTTGTCATCTGCCTTTGTTTTTTCATTCCATACTCACCCTCTTCTTTTTTTTGGGCTTCCAGAAAACTCAGGAAGGGCACACTGCTCCAAAGGCAACCACGCTGCAGAAGTACGCAGCAACATTCACTGATCTCCTGGCTGCACCTGGCATCATAGAGTACATTTCACCACACACACACACACACACACACACACACACACACACTGTATGTTTAATCTCCTTTCTCACACCCTTGCAGTCTTATCCACCAGCTGAACCAGATGATGCCAGAGGGTCAGGATTTTGTGTCCCTCAACAACCTCAATTCTAAAGCCTTCCAGAGCATGACACCAGACGACATGAAGGCTGCCCTGCGCCACTACAAGCTCTTCTACAACAAGGCCCCAGCCAAAAGTATGCCTTCATTTCCCTTTGCTGCTTACTGACCACAATACCACATTGTTTCTATGTCCTCCAGAATGTTTCTGGGGTCTTATCACAACACACTGGCATGAGTTGTGACAACAGATGGAAACATTCCATGCATCTGAAAATGCTGTGAAGCTGGCCAAGTGCCACTTGGAGGATGAGCAAGAGCTGCAGAGGATATGGCAGTGCATCTGCCTGGGTGAGTACATCTCGCCTGATGGGGAGCACATCAAGATCCAGCCCCCCAGTATGCTTGCAATAGAAGTCACCAACACATTCAAGAAGCATCCCTACCACTCCAAGTTCATCAATGATCAAGCACTCAAGACCTCTGTGGAAGATCTTCTACAGGAGCTAGCAGCAGTGAAAGCATCATCCAAGGCAGAGGAGCAGGGCATGTGCACCTGTTCTTCATCCACAACAGAGCAGTGCAGACTTCTGGCACTCGCCAAGGTTTCTCAGGTGCACTATATCCCATCCTTTGCCCTGCAATAAGTTCAACATAAGTTCACTTGCTGAACTTTCACCTTCAAAGGTGAAGCACAAAGCCAATGCTGAGCTGCAGAAGAAGTATAGCCCCCAACTTGCTTCAACTCTTCACAAGATGCTTTCCAAGCCTTCACAATTCCATGCTTGGACAGTTTGTACTTCCTCACCATTCCATTGTTCCCTTCTCCCAATATGCATCAGGCGTTTTGGTTGTTGACAAGTTGTTCTCTTAGAATCCCACTACAGCCTCCAGGTCTTCCATCTTCTACACTTCTCCTTCTCTCCTTTGATTCCTGCATACAACAGCACTCTTCCTGTGGCTGACCCCTTCATCAGTGGCTTTGACGTCCTCATCTTCGCCCATCAGCACATTCCCATTTCCACCATGTGGTGTCCAGCCCCTCTCAAAGCCATCCCAGCACCTCAGTGCTACCTCCAACACATCCCAATCCATCCCATGAAGCATGAAATTGTTTGGGCGGCTCCTTCCTTCCTCACTGCCCATGCCTCTTACTGCAATCCACTTCCACAGTCCCTCTACAGCTTCCTTATCCAGAGCCTAGATCTTCCTCTCTGATTCTGACCTCAGCACCCTATGTGCTGACCTCAAAGCACTCCTCTCTCACCCTGGCTTTTCCCCGCTGCCACCCAAGACCAGCACTTCAACATCCTCCTCTTCCTCTTCTACATTGGGAAGAAAGCAGCACAACTCTCTTGGTTAAACCCCAGTGAAACACTCCTCCACAACAATAAAGCTTCTTTTATTGTCCACCTACTCTACCTCAACAAGCACCCCTTTTGTCCAAACACACTGCCTTAAATGACACACTGTACATATCTCACAACTATCACTTACTCTGCATGTACATTAAAACCCTTATTTCTGCACAGCCATTCAGTTGTCACATGTACATTTCACACCAACAAAAAAGTGACACTGTCACTTTTTAATGAGCACTCCGTTTTGTATTGTTGCTGATAGTATTGCTGCTGCTGCTCTCTCCATACTTGTCATCATCTTGATTACACAACACCAGCATGTTGAACCACCTGGACAACAGTAAAATATTACTGCACCACTGGCAACAGCCTGTGGGCTGTGTGCAGTGAACCCCTCTGTGTGGTCACCCCACCACAATCCCACACCATTGTCATCATCACCATCACCATCAGGGGGTTGGTGTGGGGTTGGTGTGCCTTGATGCAGTGGTGGAAGAGGTGGCTCTGACCTGCTGTGCTACCATGCCATTGGGGTGTGCCTCAACTTGGGGGACTTGGCCTACCTGTCCAAGCAGACATGCAAGATGTTTCACAGAGTGGGCAAGCAGGCCAGGCTGGACTACTTTGGGCAGTTCAGCATCATGGCCAGCAATGAGGTGAACGCCCTCCCAAATGGCCCCAGGGTGGCAGCATGCATCTTGCCAGTGAAGTAGTGGAAGCCATCATCATTGCACATCTCAATGTCTGATGTGTTCCTCCTCTTCTTGGAGTCTTATGTGGGGAACATTCCATACAGGACAGTGATCTCCTTCACTTTTTCACCCTGTGTTCACCACATGTACAACACAAGCAATGAGCACAAAACCAATGATTCACCTGTAATGTTGAGATGTCTTGGGCTATGTACTCACTCCTCCTCCTCCTCTTTGAGAATTCTGATGTTGTTCACATAAGTGTCTCATTGACAATCACCTCCCACTTCAGTGCAAGGAGTCTCAACCTGCACCTTGCACCTCATTGGAGTGACGGGTGGTCCGAGACGTTGGGGTAGGCGCAGAAGTAGGTGCCATTGCCCATCAGCGAGCACAGATAGGTCTGGCCCTTGAACTCATTGTACATAAATATCTGTTCACATAGTTCGTTGATCGATCATCTTATCTTCTGGATTGGCCGCACACAGCACACAGACCAGCACACACAGCACACACCGCACGTATGCGCACCTCGAAGGCGTATTTGTGGAAGGAGATGTAGTGAAGCCAGATCCACCACCCAGGCTGCCGTGGGCGAAGATGGAGGGTGAGCTCAAACGCAAAGAAAGAGCCGTAAGCTTGTGGTATGCGGTAACACGTACGATGTTGCTGGCCTTGACGAAGAAGCCGCAGGCCAACATGAACATGCCGTAGAAGCCCGCGCCGACAGCCAGACCGATGATCAGGTGCGGCACCAACGCGCTGAGCAGCACACCAAAGGCCAGTGCTTGCGTGTCAGACGAGGAATCGCAGTTGGACGGTGGCTAGGCGGGGTACCTCACAGTGACCACCATGGCCTCGGCGACCATGAGAGCGAGGCTCAGGTCGAGCAGGAAGTGGCCGAATCCGCTGGACTTGAGGCCCACCAGGAAGTAGGCCGTCCCCGAGAAGATGAGCGCGATCGCGACAATGAACGGGATGCTGATCAGCGTTTGCGCCATCGCGTACGCGCTCACCCTGACGAAGCCCGAGCGCAGGTTAGATATATAATACAATTATTATCATTTATTATTATTAGTATTATTATTATTTTCTAAAATATAACATGTTGGGGTTACCTGTAGGCTCCGTTCATTCGCTCTCGAACGAAGAGGAGCTTGTCCTCGATGAAGGCGGGCACGGCGGCGATGGACATGAAGGTGAGGAAAGCCACGGAGAAGAAGAGCACCGATATCCTGTCCTGGATCGACTGCGGTGCCAAATACACGTTTGCGCCACACAAGGTTAACCTTGCGCACCTGCGCGTGCGTGCGCTGGTGCGTGTGCGTGTGCGTGTGCGGTGGTGCGCGATTGTGCGTGCGTACGTCCTGCTTGTCCGAGATCTGGAAGAACAGGGTGCCCATCATGAGGGCCAGCATAAAGTACCTGAAAGGAGGAGGGTGTCATAAGATTCGGTCAGTCCCGCATTAATGTAGAATAGAGCTTTCGTGTGGGATTGAGCGAGGAAAGAAGGAGCGCTTGATGGGGGAGCACGCACATGGCAATGCGAGCCCAGTATATCGCTGGGTTCTTGAGGAACACGACAAACGTGCGCCGCATCAACACAAGCGTTTGATACCTGAGTTCGAAAAAAAGTGTCAACCATCGGCAGTGCGGGGCGCCTCACGACACACGACTGGACGGCACACGACACGCACACGACACCAACGTACCACGTGCCGTTGGCGTATTTGCCCTTGAGCGACTTGGCGAGCTGTCGGGTACGCTCGATGAACGCTTCTTCGCCGGTGCGATCGATCCTCTTTCGATTGCACTGGGCCGCCTTCGAGTTGGGAAAATTGTCGACCAGCTTCTGCACGTGGTGTGGTATCTCGCCTGAGTGTGTGGTGTGTGTGTGTGCGTGCGTGCGTGTGTGTGTGTGTGCGGTTCGTGTGGTGTGTGTGTGTCACGGGTGAGCTTGTGTGCTGCGCGCGTGATCCACAAAGTCTTGAGAGAACGAACCAGAGCCGGAGAAGTCGTAGTTGATGAGGTCGAGGAAGTGGTCAGCCGGATTGGTGTGCTGCGGTACCTTCATCCCCTGCTTGGAGAAGAACAGGAGCGCTCCCTCCCTCGGCCCGCAGAAGATCAACTTGCCCCGTGAGAGCAGCTGGGTACACCACACGCCATACACACACACACACACACACACACACGACTGTTGAGGTGAATTCAAGCCGGCGGCGTGCGGGTGGCGTATGACGTACCATGAGATCGTCGAACATCTGGAAGATGTGCGAGCTGGGCGAGTGGATGGTGCAGATGATGGTACGGTTGCGATCGCGGGCCAGCTTGAGCAGGATCTCAACGACGCTCGCCGCGCTCTTGCTGTCGAGGCCCGACGTGGGCTCGTCCAGGAGCAGAATGCTGGGGTCGGTGATCAATTCCATTCCTGTGTGTGCGGTGGTGCGGTGGTGCGTGAGCGGCGTGAGTGGTGCTGAGTGACCATTTGGTCTGGATGTGGACACGCACCGATGGACACTCGTCTCCGCTGCCCGCCAGAGATGCCCCTCCTGAGTGGAGTGCCAACAATTGTGTTGGCGCAGTCGGACAAGCCCAGTTCTTCGATCACTTGCTCCACCTGGACAGGCCGGTTATGACGTCGATCACGATCAGACACCACGTTTTGGTAAACTGGTGGGGAGGAGGCTAGACGGGAGTGGTCACCTTTTTCTTCTTCTCCTTGAGAGGCATGGAGCGGGGTAGACGAAGCAGCGCGGAATAGTACAGATTGCTCCTCACCGAGAGGTCTCCGATCAGCGTGTCCTCCTGCATCACGTAGGCTGGAATAGCCTCGCACACACACAGCAACGAGCACGACATGGTGAGAAAGGACGAAGACGAAGGAGCTATATAGAGATCTGGAATACCCATCAGTCGCTTGGTGCGCTTGCTTTTTGGCTGCCCGTTCACAGTGATCTGGCCCTCGACAACGCCAGAGCTCACCCGCCCGGCCAGCAAGTCTGCCCCGTTCCACATCAAGGGTCAGCAAAGATCCACAGCATTCTGTGCTGTCTCACTAAAGAGCCACGTACCAAGAAAGGTGGTCTTGCCGCAACCCGACGGTCCCATGATCGCCAGCAGCCTGCCTGGGACAAGAATTAGATGAATTTTAAATTATATGAAAAATTGGGCTTTGCCAGTGGTGTACCGGCAGCGGCAAAGCCTTCGAGGTTGTCGAGGAGCTTCTTGGCGGTGCCCTTCCGGAAGACGATGAAGGGCGGCTCCTTGGTGAGACGGCGCGCCTGGGCAGTGTAGCTCAGGTCGCGCCATCCGATGTTGTAGCCCTGCTCGGATATGCTCTCCAGCAGCCCATCACACGGCAATAGAACTGCAACAAGGTGGAATGAGTTGACCTTTTAGATTTGCGCAAGAAGGAGAGGCAGCGCACGTTGGTTCTGTGCGTCGTCAGAGAGGTAGTCGTCTCCCTCATCATCGGTGGAGATCTGGTGGGAGATACTCCTCGGCAACCTCTCGTCCTTGCTCTCTTCGTCGGAGCTGAGGCCGCTTGCCACCTCCTGCATCTCCAGGTCTTCCTCCGCTTGGTGCATTGTGTGGTGTGTTTGCTGTGTGGCTTTGAGGAGTTGTTTGTCAGACGGACGGCTGCAAGTGCTCTCTTGAGAGTCTCGCACCCTCCGCGACACCGAGCCGACACCCGAAGCCGTTAGCCCCATAAGGAGCTAGCCCACAACCGAAGCGAGCGTTTTCTCCCCATTTGGTCCAGGCACTCAAAAATTTAAGGTGGCGGCGAACAAGGATTTGCGTCGAAATGGAATGGATTCGAACCTGATTCAATTACGCGCAGATGGAGGTGATTTGGGGTTCGATCTTGGGTCTGGGCCTGCCCGAACGTTGGCTCTTCGCCCTCGGCACGTTCGTGGTTCACGAGGCGGCCTTCGTGCCGTTGAATGCCATCCTCTTCCTTTGCCACCATCGCGGGTGGCTTAATCGATTCAAGATTCAGGTGGGGGGCTCGCCATCCTCGACTTCCAAGGCTTCATCACATTCTCCAGGCCATCCCTTTCCCAAGGCGAGGCTGGTTCGCGAGTGCATCTTCAGTCTCTGCGTCAATCACCTGGTCCTCCAGATTCCCACCCTCTACTTGGTCTATCCGGCCTTCAAGTACTTCGGCATGCGCAGCGATATCGCCAGCCTTCCTGATGCGTGGGAGATGGCCAGGCACATCGCAATCTTCATCCTCATTAACGACACGTACGTCCCCCCTCTTCTCAATTTCCGTGTCTGCGCTCATTCTCCATCGTTATGCCGCAGGGGATTCTATTGGATGCACCGATTGATGCACACGAAGTGGTTCTACCGCAGCATTCATGCACGGCACCATCGCTTCACCGCCCCCATCGGCATCGCGTCTGAATTTGCACATCCCGTACCGCCTATTTTCTCTTTTTGTTTCCTCTTTGCCTTGTTCTCACCGACATTGACATTCATCAGGTCGAGCAAGTGCTGGCTAACCAGCTGCCCACCATCCTCGGCGCGATGCTGATGGGCTCTCACCTGCTCACCTTTTGGGTGTGGCTGTTCCTGCGCATTGTCGAAACGATCGAGGCCCACAGCGGGTACGTACTAGCCCATGGTGTTTGTGCCTCTTGGTGGCTGGCCGCTAGCTCATCGCACGCCGCAGGTACTCACTCCCACTGAGCCCGTTCTCGCTCGTCCCATTTATGAATGGAGCCGACGTACACGACTTCCACCACTCTCACAATGTAGATAATTATGGTACGTATATGTCTCACTATACACCTTAGCGAGGAAGAAGTTCTTGCTTTGTCAACCCACCGTCATCATTTCTCCTAACGATCGAGCGGTTGTGCCGGCAGGCTCCTTCTTCATGTTCTGGGACTGGCTGATGGGCACCAACCGCCAGTACCAGCAATGGCGACGAGATCAAAAAGAAAAGGCGGGCTGAGAGTGCACTCCCCCAGCCTCGCCTCGTTTAATGTACAGCACGGTCCGGTCACCGTGTAGGTGCCGGACCGTCATGCCGCCGGCTGAAGATTGGCTCAGGGCTCCTCCTTCCCTGTGCCCTTTCTCTCGTGGGTTCGTTCTCCACCCGCCCTCACTTCATGTCGCTAGAAGAGGATGCACGCGCGCTTGACCTTGGGGCTGCTCGACCCGCTCTTCTTGATGGTGGACTTGCCCCCGCCGAGCTTACCCTCACCGCTACGGTGCCGTCGCACGGCCCGCACAAGAGCGAAGAAGGCCTCCTCGATGTTGGTGCTGGTGAGTGCACTCGTCTCGAAGAACGGCACGCCGTAGCTCGTCGCCAGGTCGCGACCCTCGCTCACCGCCACCTCTCGCTTTTCCTCGAGGTCGCACTTGTTGCCCACGATCACGATGGGCGCGTCGTCGCCGTCCTTGATCCGCTGGATGTGCTGCCGGTACGACACCACCTCGTTGAAGGTCTGGCGCACGATGATCGAGTACACCACCAGAAAACCCTCTCCGTTCAGCATGTACTGATCACGCATCGCCGAGAACTCTTCCTGTTCGCGTGAGGCGTGACAGAGAACGAAAGAACGAAAAGAACGAAGCGCGATGAGAATTGCGAGAGCACGAAGTGAAGGACTGAAATTTCAGTCTTCGTGAGGGGAGGTGGGGAGGGACGCGGGGCAGTTACCTGGCCAGCGGTGTCGAGTATGTCCAGCAGTGTCACTTGCCCGTCCACCTCGAGTTGTTTTCGGTAAGAGTCCTGAAGAGCGCGAAGGAGTTATAAACTTGAGGCTAAAGGGAAGAGGTGGGGTGGAGCGGCTAGAGGTACCTCAATTGTGGGGTCATAGTCGCTAAGAAAATGGCCTTGAAGAAACTGTAGTGCGATGAAAGTTGAAAAGGAGGGAGCAGATTAAGATGAGAAGAGAGCGACTTTGTTGCTGTCACTGCCTTTGCAAAGGGGAAAGGGAAAGGAGGCGCACCTGCACAGTGAGAGCCGACTTGCCCACACCACCGGCACCCACGATGGCAAGCTTGATAAGGTTGGGCTCCACGACCGACATCTTCCTCCTTCCTCTGCGCGATGCTGATGTTGGACTGGTAGGAGTTGTGCCTGCACCCAACACAAAGGAGCACCCCGAATCTGGCCCTCGCCCATTGGTGGCACATTTAGACCGGAGCATTCCGAAGATAAAATGTCGACACTCCAGGCCAATCAGCGCAGCCCCACAGCGAAACCCCCCGTGGGCCTACCACAACCCACCAAGCAATGGTGACAACTCACGCCCCCAACGTGAAACAGGTGCACCTCTCTCTTGCTCGCGAGACCACTGGTCAAGGAGGAAAACAGAGTCACTGGGCGCCGGCAGCGGCCGCCGGTCGCGTTGTTGACTTTCGGTTGGGCTCGATGTGCTGGAGCAGGGCGATGGACTCGATGTGGTTGGTGTTGGGGAACATGTCGGCGGTGCGCATCTTCTCGGTGGCGTAGCCCTGCGTCTGGAGGAAGGCGAGATCTCTGGCCAGCGTCTCGGGATTGCACGAAACGTAGACGATACGGTCCGGCCGCATACCATGCTCGGCAAACAGACGCTCTAGCACCGCAATGGCGCCCGATCGCGGAGGATCAATGACCATCTTGTTGAACTGTTTCGTTTTGGAATGAACAAAGAAGGAAGAAGAAGAGGTGAGTGCTGGACACTCCTCGGGCCTTCAACTCGAAGAGAGAGCACGTACTTGGACCTTGCCCGGTTTGAGCCACCGGAGGCCCTTGGGGTTCAGCAGATCGTCGGAGTGGAAGGTGACGTTGGTGAGTCCACTGATCAGCGCGTTCGTCCTCGCCTTCTGCACCGTGTACTCTTGCCACTGTAGAAGGCCGCGGTGTCAGAGCAAAGAGAACAAGAACACACACAGCGCATAGGCGGTGAAAGGTGATCGGGTGACGGACCTCGACGCCCATGACCGACTTGGCGTAGCGGGCGACGGGCAGGGTGAAGTTGCCCAGGCCGCAGAAGAGGTCGAGCACACGGTCCTTCTTGGTGAGCTCGAGGAACTCGATCGCCTGGTCCACCAGCTTCCTGTTGACCTCGCTGTTGACCTGGATGAAGTCGGTCGGGTTGAAGTGGATCTTCACGCCGTGGTTGGGCAGGGTGTAGAACAGCGGCGAGAAGGGCTCGGCCGAGACCTCCACGGGCGGAGCCGACGGCTGCAGGTAGTTCGTGTAGCGAGCGAACGGGTTGTGGGGAGCGGACGATGACGACGAGGAGGAGGAGGAGGAAGAAGAATGAGAACGTGAAGGAGGTGATGGTGCCGACTTGGGCACAACGAAGCCCGTGGGCGAGTAGAAAAGCTTGATAGAGTCGATGCCCTCAGCCTGGGTGTAGAGGTGGAAGCCTTGGGCGCGGGCAAACTCGGTGAGCAGTCGCTTGTCCTGGCTGGAGAGTGGACTCAGGTGTCGAAGGAGGAGCGCCTTCTCGGTGTCGCCCATCATAACCTCCACCGTGGGCACCTTGTCGCGCACGGACATACCTGACATTCCAGTGCGGCAGTAGGAGTCAGCGAGGGAGTGTGTCGTGTGTGTGTGTGTGTGTTAATCAAATGCACGTACGGTTGATGACGTCAGCCGCGTCTTGGAAGAAGGAGTTGATGGGCTCGGCCAACACTGCGCAGCGATCCACGGGCTGGGAGCCCATGACCCACTTGTGACGGAATCCGACGAGGACCTTGCCCCCGACCCGGTCTTCGCGATCCTCGAGATGGCGCACGTTGGGCCGTGCCGAGTGGCGATAGCCGTACTGCTGCGCGTGGAGCGGCGGCAGCACTTCCGCGGGCTCCACTCCCTCCTGACGCAGCACGTCGAGCGCCAGCTGCGCAGCACAAGCACGCCCGCGTTGCGGAGTTGTCAGTCGGAGTCTCAGTCACGCACACACACGCACCACCGCACACGCACACGCACCACCGCACACACGGGTGAGCGGGGTAGCGGGGTATTTCGACTTACCTGGTGCTTGACCTCGAGCTGCTTCTCGTGGGTCATGTGCATCAGGGAGCACCCACCGCACCGGCCGTAGACACCGCACCGAGGCAGCGCCCTGTGCTCGGATGCCTTCATGACCTCGACGAGGGTGGCGTTCCTCTTCTTGACGGGCCGCGTGAAGGAGATCTCCTCGCCCGGCAGGGCACCGAAGACCTCGATCTTCACGCCCTCGTGGTGCACGACGCCCTGCGAGGGATCTAGCTCGTCCAATCGATCCACCACGGCCTTAGCAACGAAGACGATCTCTTTATCCTTCTTGCCTCCTTTCTTAATCGGAGCCAATGGAGTGGTGTGTGGGTGCAACGTCGTCACTGGCCCACCATCATCTGAAAATTGGGAGGCATCTCCGGCATTTGCAGAGTAGGCGGCAAATCTGTGTCGCGTAGCATTGGCGAGAAGAGCGAGAGGCGAGGAGGATGGCCTCGTCAAGAACTGTTTCGTGCTCGCCAAGTGTCCGAACCGCTTCATCTACTAACAATCAACTTTTTTCTTTTCAATTTTCCATTTGTTCTTTCGGGCCGACATCTCGTCTTCATCAGAACAGTTGTCTTGTGTTTCGATTCGCGTGGCCCACAACTCGGCCATCTCAAATGGGAAAGGACAGCACGTGAGCAAGACTTGAGTTCCCTACCATCCATGGCATTTACATCCACGCCCCTCCTTTTTTGGAAGCGATGCTCGTTTGGTCGGGGCAACAACGAAAACACACTGGCAACGTGACGGTTCGAGATTGGACTGTGTTGGTCTTCTGGTGTGTAGTGCTGCGGAGTGGAACCCACAGCGGGCAACCTCAGGAAAAGAATATCACAGAGCTCTCTTCGACCTCTACCCGCCACTCGCTACCCCCTTCCTCCATCCAGCCCCCCCACAAATCCCAATCGTCATCAAGAACACTCTGCATCGACCACAAAGCAATCAGAGCATACAACCTTCGCCTGACAGGTTCACCCCCTCGCTTCATCTACCGAGGGGCTATGGCTACTCGTAAGGTGCGACATGTGTCCATTCCGCTGGGGGCGGCCGACCTCACCCTGGCCGCCGAAGCCGTCGCAGCCGTTGCAGAGCTCAACCATAACAACAACGCCGCAGCTGTTACCCCGCCTGAGAGCCCAGACTCGGTAAGTCTACACTGCCCTGCCTTGAGTGCTTCCCGCGTGGCGTGGCTGATGTGTGTGTGTGTGTGTGTGTGTGTGTGTGTGTGTGTGTGTGTGTGCGTGCGTGCGTGGCCACGGCAACGCTGCGCTGCAGGCGACCCTCGCCAAGCGGCGCAAGACAGTGAGCGAAGACATTCCCCTCGGGGACCGCAACTCGGCGCGTCTGGGCTTCCTCTCCTACAACACGATGATGCTCAAGCGACGCAAGTCCAAGAAGCGGATCACAGACTCGGCCGAGTGGCTCTACCCCATTCCCAAGACCGAGGGCCTCGAAGCGGGAGAGAACAACAAAATGCAGACGCGCACCAACTACACCCTCGAAGCGGTAATCTCACCTCCTCGGTTAGCAGTTTGTTTAGCACGCACGCACATGAACGCACACATCTGACGCTCGGAGTGATTGCTGGTGCAGCTGTTGATTGCCAACAACATGGCCGTGCTGTCGGCCATCATCAAAGCCATGAACCCCACCGAGGCCGAAGAGATCTGCGGCGCTCTTCTCGCAGGTACGTACGAGCCAGCCGGCCGGCCCCACCCAAACTTCTGACCAACGTGACGCTGATTGCATTGCGCCGTGCCTCATCATCAACTAATTGACGCTCTTGTTGAACCAACAGTGTTTCATTGCAACGGCAAGGGTCACAACCTGATCCTGTGGACGATGGAAAGGGAGCTGAAGGTGGAGAAGGTGCCCGAGAACCTCTTCCGGGGCGTGTCGCTGGCGGCGTCGCTCATGTCCAAGTACTTCCGCATGAGCGCGTCGGACTACCTGCGCAGCATCCTGCGACCAATCGTGAAGGAGGTCAAGACCAAGGACATGCGGATAGAAGTCGATCCGGCCCGGATCAAGGAGGACGCCGGCGAGTCGCTCCGCGAAAACCAGACCAAGCTCATCCATCTCGCCAAGCTCGTCTTCGACCTCTTGGTAGCCTCGCTCGATCAGGTGCCACCGCCTCCCTCGCAACTCAGCTCAGCCAGCCCGCGGCAAGCTGACCTGTGTGTCGTCGTTGTCATCATTGTGTGTGTGTCGTGTGTGTGTCGTGTCGCTGTGCAGTTCCCGAACGCGGTGAAGAATATATTCCATGCGGCGCAGCAGGCGGTGTCGGAGCGGTTCCCGGAGATGGGGCACCAGTTCGTGGGCGGGTTCTACTTCCTCCGCTTCATCTGCCCGGCGCTGGTGGCCCCGGCGGCCTACGGCCTGGTCAAGTCGGATCTCGCGCCGGAGAACCAGCGCACGCTGATCCTGATCTCGAAAGTGCTCCAGAACCTGTCCAACCACATCCTCTTCGGCGAGAAGGAGCCCTTCATGATGTTCATGAACCCCTTCATCAACAAGAACTCGCGCAAGATGGCCGACTGCCTGCAGACCCTGGTCAAGAAGGCCTCGGAAAGCGCCCCCGCCCAGAACGGTACTGTTGCCACGCACGCACGCACGCGCACTACCGCACACGCACGCACGCACACGGCTGCGCGCTTACGAAGCCACGGCGATGCGAGCAGGCAAGTTCTTCCAGATGTCGGCCGGGAATGAGAAGCTCAAGAACGAGGCCCTGATTTCGGTCACGCGGTGCATATGCGACCACGTCGACGACGTGATTGCCGAGCTCGAGCGTGCCGGTCAGGTACATCTCCAGCCAGCCGGGCAAGCAACTAGTTAGCAAGTTGGTGTTATATGTGGTGCATCGCACAGGCCGCTCACGAAGTGATGTGTGTTGCAGGGCAAGTTGCATAATGTGCTGCTCGATTCGCTGCGCGCTGTTGCGATGCTGGCCAAGACCACGGGAGTCAACATCAACCACGCCGCGCTGGCTGCACGCACGCGCGATTCGTCGTCGCGGTCGCCGTCGCCGCTTCCCTTCAAGGGCGACAACGGCGACGAGTACGACCAGGACGACGACTCTGCCGACTCCGACTCCGACCCCATCTCGACGCACCACGCACAGCTCCAGCGCGGAGCCAGCGACCTCGGCCCGAGCCAGGACGCGGCCGTGGGCGAAGAGGAACCGGTTGGGGCCACCCTCCAGTCCGTGCGGTCGGCCGAGCTGCCGGCGGTCAAGAACAGCGGACGCAACAAAATCAAGCGCGGGCACCGGCTGTCGTCGCCGCTGGCGCTCTCGACCAGCGACACGTCGGTCCTGATGCGCCGCAAGTCGCTCGATCGCGAGTACGCCAGCGACGACCTCGCCAACCTCATCAACCACAACCACCACCACAGCAACAACCCGCTAGCCCACAGCGGCGAGCGGCAGCCGGGCGAGGCGGTGGCGGACACCACTCGAGCGGGCAAGGTGCGGATCAACCTCAGCCTGGACGCGCTCCCGCCTCCGCGAAAGGAAACCGAAAAGGAGAAGATCATCCGCAAACTCGAACACAAACTCGAACGAGTTCATCGTCTCAAGTACGCCGTGTGTGTCGTGTGTGTGTCGTGTGTATCATTTGTGCTGACTGTGCTGTACGGTGACAGTCGAACGCCGAGCCCGCGCGAGTCGGCGGCGGCAGCGCCGCTGAAGGAGAGCACCAATCCGCTCTACAACCCGGTGCAGAGGCCCAAGTCCAAGGAGCCCCTGTCCTCGCCCCGCAAGGACCAGGCCTCCGACGCCAACAGCGAGAAGGAGGCCGGCTCGCGCTTCGTCCGGCTCAAGTCCCTCATCGGCAACAACAGCGACGACGACCTCGGACCCAAGCAGGAGGTGCGCACCACGCAGAACATTCTGCTTAACTACATCAAGGACCGCGAGAAGGCGCCGGCCACCACCGCAGCAGCGGCCACCAGCCCCACCAGCAACCACCACAACAACACACGCGCGGCGGCGGCGGAGGAGACGATGACGTTCACGGTGGTCGGGCGCAGCGAGGGCCCACCGGTGGTGGTGCCGGGTGCGGCTTCGCGCGGCGGCGTGGAGCTGATCGAGTCGGAGAAGCGGCGCAGCCTGTCGGCGAGCGACATCAAGGGCCTGCACGCCGACAGCGTCAACCAGTTGGCCTCGCTTCAGCTGGCCGCCGCCACGTCGAAGGGGTCTACGAAGAAGGACAAGAAGCGCGGCGGCGGCGGCGGAGGCGCTGCGGAGGGCCTGGTGGGCTACCTGAGCGAGACGCCGCTGGTGATGCGTGACGTGATCATCGCCGAGCAGAAGAGGCGGATCGACGCCGAGCGCGAGCTGGTGCGGGTCAAGACCGAGCTCGAGGCCGAGCGGCGCGCGCGGATGGAGGCCGAGCTCAAGCTCGACATCGAGACCAAGCGGGCCGTGCAGGCGGAGAAGGAGCAGCTCAGGGAGCTCGAGGCCGAGCGCCTCAAGCGGATCGAGGCCGAGATGCGGCTCGAGATCGAGCGGGCGCGGTGGACCAAGAGCGGCGACGACGACGGGCGCGAGCTGGAGACCGAGCGGCGGCGGCGCATCGAGGCCGAGCTGGTCCTGCAGATCGAGCACGAGAAGTGGCAGGAGGACTATCGCCTCCTCGAGACCGAGCGACGCAAGCGCATCGAGGCCGAGATGCGGCTCGACATTATCGAGCGCACCTGCGGCTGGGACCGCAACGCAAGCACCACCACCACCGGCGGCGGCGGTGGCTCGAGGGGTGAGCGCGAGCCGGCGCCGGGCTCGCCCGATAGCGCCGAGTGGAGGCGGAGGCCGCGCAGCCGAGGCGGGAGCGCAATCGGCTCGGGTGGTGGCGACGATGTCGAAGGGAGCAGCGGCAGCCCGGACGCGCTGCGGCGGCACCGAGGGCGAGAGAGGGACGAGGAGGGGGACAGGGACAGGGAGCGCGGGCGAGAGTCGCGTAGCCGAGAGCGGAGCAGAGAAAGAGAAAGAGATCCGCGCGACAGCAGCCGAGAGCGGAGCAGGGAACGCGACAGCAGCCGGGAGCGCAGCAGAGAGCGAAGCAGGGAACGCGAAAGAGGACCCTCGCGGGACGGTAGAGATCGCGACTGAGAACGAGGCGAACGCTTCTTGCTACACGTCCAACGTTGTCTTCTTGTCTCATGTAAAAACAATAACACCAATTTATTTGGCTGCGCTGCCGGCCGAGTAGTACTTGCTCTTGGGGATGTACAACGCCTTCATCTTCTCTATGCCCGCAGCATACGACGCGTTCTAGTCGGTGCGCGACGTCAGAAAAACGTAGACAACACGAGACACGGCACCCACGACACACGCAACACACACAGCACCGGTGGGTGGGAGGCGGGGTTAAAAAAATGGAACCTTGAGGGCGGCCTGGTAGATGGGGGCGCAGGCGGGGGAGGTGGTGATGGCGTGGTAGAAGAGGGCCATCTGCTGGAACTTGGCCTGGGCCTCGGTTCGGTCGGCCATGGCGAAGTGGGTGTAGGTGATGTTGACGTGGAGGAACGTCGCCTTCTGTTGGTAGAAGCTGACCAGCTCCTTGACGTCCCGCTCCAGCTGGCCCGACCCGCCGTCCTTACGTATCGGCGGCCGGCCCTGCTCCCGTCTCCGTCGCTCGCTCGCCTCCAGCAGGAAGACCTTGGCGAGATAGTGAAAGCTGTTGGCGATGACCATGTCCGGCATGGACGACATGACGAGCACGAACTCCAACACCTGCACGTAATCATTAAGTGACCATCGCGCGCGCGCGCACACACACGCACACACACACGCACACACACGCACACGCATGCGCACACGCATGCGCACACGCACGCGCACGCGCACACAACGCCAGGGGAGGCGTACGGGTCCGGAGTTGCCGGCGTCGACCCACTGGCCGTCGACCTGTTTGAGGAGCTTGGTGGTGAGGAGCCGCGGAAGGGTGCCCGGCTGGTACTTGACGACCGTGTAGAAGAGCTTCCAGGCCGCTTTGCAGATGTCCCAATCTCCGCCACCCTGACAGCACCGCACCAGGCTGCTCGTCACACGCAACACGCGACACGACACGACACGCGTCACACGACACACAACGACAGCCGTCAAAGGGGGGGGGAAGAATTGCATGGTTTGGTTGGGAGACCGTACGGGGACCAGAAGAATCGGGCCGATTTGATGAGGCGCCACACGCTCGACTTGTCCGTGTGGTGCACGACCACGACATACCGCAGACACCGAAGCACGTCTGCGTGGCGCAAAGGCGGCTTAGTGGGAATGACAGAAGTGAAAAATGAGAGAACTGAGAGAAGCAGCTTCGAACTAGCTCTCGACTTTCGAATCGAACTCGGAAGGAAAGGTGCAACGGGTGTCGTGGCGAGCGCGATCATTTGATGCAGATCTGTTTGAGAGAGAGAGAGAGAGAGAGGGAGTGACCGCCCGCACCAACGTTAGTCTCCGGATAAAAATGTTGTGAGAGAACATGAGAAGAAATGCCTGCCCACCGTTGATACGCAACACGAGTAGTCGCTCTTCGTCTGCCGAGGGCACATCCTACGTGTGCCGTGTGCCGTGTGTGTCGTGCGTGTGTATGTGTGTGGTGTGAGGAACGTGTCAGATAATCTCAACGTGAGAGCGTAAAGGATGCGCGGAGAGTAAGATATTGTGTTCTGACCTCTTCGCACACGATGTCGCCCCGCTCGAGCAGAGTCTTGGCCAGATCGGCCAGCAGTCCCGTTAGCAGCTCCAAAATCTGTCAGCCCAGTGATCACCAATTGAGGGAAACTCGTTCACACACCGAACGCACACGCCTCGTCGCACACGTAAACGCGCACCGCGCACGCGCAAGCAGGCACAACCGCGTACAATCGCATGACGAACCTGGGAATTGGGCACGGATTTGATCGTGGCCCAGAGCTCACGAAAGAGGCGGCCAGTAAGCATGAGCTTGCCCGTCCGGGCCTGCATTGCCCGCGTGCACAGCTCCGCGACCATCTGCGACAGCAACGCGGGCGGGCGGTCGCTCTTCGCCGCATACGACCCGTAGTTCTCCGTCAACTCAGACAGGTCCTACCCAAGACCCAACACGCCACATTAAACCCGATGGCCTACCAACACTGGTGCTAACTAATTCCACTGGAATTCAAGTTATGTTGGTAAGTACCATGATTATGTGGTGCTTGGTGACCGAGTCCGAGTAGTAGGCGTGCAACGCGCCACTCCAGAACTCGCTGTTCATCATCACCTCGAAAATACGGCGCACGGCGTACTGCAGGTGTAGTCCAGATCAGCGCGGGTCAGCCTGGTTGGTGAATCCAGGCATGGTCTAGGGTGGTGGAGATCGAGGTGGAGGTGGTGGACGGACCTGGACGTGGCGCCACCTGCCCACGCCGTCGGTCCCCATGCACCGCAGGTTGGGGATGAGCCGCGCTTGCGGGGCGGCCAACGCAGCCCGCACGGCCTCCGAGTCGTGGCGCAGGAGCTGGACCCACACGAAGAGCCACACCGCGCTGATCCGCGAAGACTGGGATCGGACCCCTACGTAGCCATCGAAATCGTCTTAACTGACCACCTCCCATGAGTGATGGAGAGGAGGAACCCACACACCATTGAACATGTCGGTATGGATGAATGCGTAGTCTCGCCAGGCCAGCCCCTGCTCCAGGAACTCTGTCGTGGTCTGGCGTTTGGGCGTTAGTTTGTGTGTGTGTGTGTGTGTGTGTGTGTGTCATAGATGTGTGTCGAATAAGACCTCTCCGTATTAAAGAATACCTTGACGGCGCGGGCGAGCTCATAGGTGATGGAAAAGTAGAGGAGGTTCTGTTTCTTGGCCGTGGCGTAGGCCGCCTTGAGGTAGTAGTGCCGGAACAGGGCGGTCAGCAGCGGCTCGACGTCGGCCCGCTTGCGGCTCGCCGTATGCTGCGCCGCCGCCGCCGTGCAGAGTGCAGGGTTCAACCATCAGGGGTGCGTCTCAGTCGGTGAGGGAAAGAGGAGAGAGCGGTCCAGACGTACCACAAACACCGACTCCATGGTCGAGGCGCGATAGGGCCACAGATCCACGGGTATCTCATCGAATAGCGTCATCGCGTGCGCAAAATAGTAGAGCCCGGTCGCGTCTGCTCACCACCACCACAATCACAACCCAACACAAACACAAGACTCACGGTGATCAGCTCCACGGACCAAGGCCTGTTGTCGGCAATAGGCGGCCATAGCGCACCTGGGCTAGACACGAGGCCCTCGAGCACTTGCTTGGCGATGCGGGATTGCATCACCTGCCCCACGAAGTAGGCCAGCTAAGGAGGGAAACAGTGGGACCAATCAGTACTGAAAGCGAAAAGCTAGAGGCAGGCAGGCCAACGCCGAACCTTGGCGTGGGTCAGCTCTGAGGCGCTGTCGTCGAACAGCGACAGCACGTCCCTGCTGAACGTGTCGGGGCTGACGCATTGCAGGAGCAGCTGCTCGTAGGTCAGCTTCTCGTCGCCGTACTCCATTTCGCCCTGATTTGGTGCGCGCGCGTGTTGGGTGGAGCGCAGTCAAATGAGGTTCGCAACAATCAGAAATAAAGAAATGAATGAATCAATAAAGGCCCAACGTACGTCGTCGATCGACGTGTGTTGGGATAGGAGCTTGGTGAATTTGTCCAGGTAGATGTGCGTGCTGAGCATCTGGCGGATGAACTGCGCCGGTGGCATGGCCGATGAGCTCCGCCGCTCAGCCAGGCGGGCCAGCTCAGCGACGTGCCGGTCGTGGACCTATTCACCGCCACACACACGCACACACACAGGCCATGATCAGCGTGCGAGGTGAAGGTGTGGTTAAATGTAAAGCCGATTGCATGCCTACCGCGTCCTTGACCTGTGGCCAAAACCAGGACTGCAAGCGGTCGTGCCTGCCCACGGTCTGGAGGGCTCGCAACTGTCTCGCCCACTGCTGCTTGTACTCATTGTCGACGCTCAATCGCTTGACGTTGATCGGACCTTCAGCGGAAGCGAAAATTAGTACTTTCGCCTCCAATCTCTTTCCAATTGCCTCCGCTCAAGGCCTTAGAGGCGAGACGTACCAATGTCATCAACGGGAAGGTAGAACAGCACCGGCTTTCGGCCCACCAGTGCGGGAGAATCGGTTGACGAGGCTGCCTCTTCGCTTGAGAGGTCCGTGCGTCGCACAGCGATGAGCCTGCTCACTCGTACTAATAAGAAGAGTCAGAGAAGTGGCCGCAGCCTGCCGTAGACGTACATGCACCACACACACACACACACACACACACACGACCCGTCCGCGAACCTCGGTCTCGGTTTAGGAAGAGAGATGAGCGGGATGCAGAGAGGCCGCCGGCGAGCTTGTCGGGGTCTGGAAAGACGCCGTGTAGTTTTGGAAGCATGGGCGAGTTGAAATGGCCACACTTGACGCAGTTCGCCTTCCTGGAGAGCACAAAATGTAATATTGTACGGTCCGTCAGCACTTCAGTATTGTGTGTGTGGTGTGTGTGTGTGGTGTGTGTGGTGTGTGTGGTGTGTGTGTGTGTGTGGTGTCCGTGGTCGTGTCTAACCTTTTCTGAACGATGACCTTGATGCGGCGAGTGATCTCGCGTTGCACGTTCACCGGCAGTTGAATCCACTTGTCGCGGGCGACAAACTTATCCGTCTTTCTCTCCCATCCCGTCTTTGTAGCTGGAGGCGGGCGAGGGTTGTAGACGAAGGTGCTGTAGAGCAGTTCCTGGAATCGGCAATGTTGTGATGAAATAGAAAAGTAAGTGTGCGTGTACCCCTCGAATTCTTGTGTTGTGTCGCCATTGGGCGTACCTTGGTGGCATCTTCAGCGTTAAAGATGGGTTTCTTGACCTGCTCGTGGTACTCATCATCGACCTCTGCAGCGTACGATCGGCGGCGAATGGCCATGGCCAGGCTCACAGAATCCTTTACCGGTTTCTGCGTACAGGGGCGAAGAGTGTCAACAACTTGAGCGCGTGAGAGCTCGCAGAGAGCGTCCGGTCATTGGAGCCAAACGGACCTGAACTGAGGCGGCTGGCTTGATCATCTCGATCAGCTGGACAGGGTGTGGCGGGATGATATCCAGCAGGCTGGTCACCACCAGCGCCCAGCGCTTGAGGGCGTGTTCATACTCTACTCGCGTGCACATACCAACACACACATCAGTCTGCATACCACATAACACCAACGCAACTTATTGAGACAGCAGTCACCACCTTCGAACGATCCGTAGAGGTCGGGAATCGGCTGGCGGGGAAAGAGCTGATGGTCCCAGGTGTCCTCTTGCCGGACCGGGTCTTCCGCAGCCAGCTCCATCTGTGCAACGTTAGCACGACGTCAAATGACCGTCAGTGCCATCGTCATCAGCTTAGCCAGAACGGAGTGCGCAGGGCCGCAGGCGGCAGGTGCAGCACCGTGTCCTCGGGTCGCTCCCTTGGGAGGGTCGGGGATGTCGGACGGCTTTGTGACGGCGGCAGTGAGTCGTGCCCAATGGGCTCTGGCGCGCATACGTCATCGGGGAAGATGCACCCGCCATGGGTGCCGTCGTTGTCGTCGTCGGCGTCGCTGCGGTTGTCCTCCTCCTCGGCCTCGTCGGCGCTCAGCTTGGGCACGCGCGGGCGCGGGTAGGCCCGGCCCATCAGCTGCGGCAGCTGCAGATTAGCGAGGGACTCCTCGGTGCGCTGCCGCCAGGCCAGCACCGCGGCCTGGTACTCGGAGAAGGTGGCGTAGTCGAGGTGCGACGGGAAGGCGCCCGGCTGCTCCAGCCGGCTGGACATGAGCCGCTTCGAGTCCTGCTCGGTGAAGGGCCGGTAGAAGGCGTCGTAGAGCCGGCCCTGTCCGTCCACATAGACAGGCTTGTTGTCCGTCGGTCGCTTGGTGTCGCTGACGACATTGATCGGCGGCAGCTTGGGTCCAAGGTATTTTTTCGCTGTGACCCTACCCGCCTCGGCTATGGGTAGAATAATCAATAAATAAGAGGTTAAAAACAATAATAATTACAATAAAATAAAAACAAGAAGATCAACAAAAAACAAGTAAAGGGGTGTTATGAGGAAAGCTGAGGTGATACCTTTCCTCAGAACTTCATAGACACGGGGCTCTGTTGGCTGATCTAAGTTGGCCTGCACCAGATCGAGAGGTGGCAGACCCCTCACCGCCGTCCGCTTCGCCTTCGTCGGAAGGTTGAGCGTGAACTTGGGCGTCTCCATCTTCTTGTGTTGGCGCCCCCCAAAGGGCCAGAGGTATCGAATAAACTCGCAGCTCGTCCTGCCTGTGAAGAGTGGAAAAAGAGCGTTGCACCTCAACCCTCCGTGTGGTGTCGACAACAATTGGGCCGTGGGGTGAAGCTGGCGAAGCTTCATTCATGGTCTCTTGACCCACCATCCGCTGGAGGCACCGTCGCTATCATCTTCCTCCTCCTCCTCTTCGTCATCGTCTTTCTCGTTGCTTGTCGCGTTGGCCTTCGCTCCGTCGTCGTCTCGCACGTGGAGCCCGGCCAAGGAGGCGAAGGCCCCTTCGTCGTCGTCCATCTCCGGTGGGCCAGGCGCGATCCGAGGGAAGTCAAACACCCGCTGCGCATTCTCCAGCGTAATCCGGGCGGCCTGCTCGACGCTCCAGCCTCGCGCCTTGGCCACGATCTCACACATCTCCTGCAGAAAAAGAAATTGAGTGAGAACGAATCAAGCACTTGTAGGGCTGTGGGCGCGCGACGCGGCGGTGGCGCCCAGCGCGCACCATGATGTCGTCTTCGATTGATGTGGGCGTGTTCTGGTCGGTTTCGATGAGCAGTCGGTCCTGCGGGATGTGCTTGATGACCTCCACGGTCTTGGGCGAGCGCATGTTGATGACGGGCGAGAAGGAGAAGTAGAACCGGCTCCCGATCCCCTGCTTCATCGTGGTAAGCGAGTCCATCATGCCGGCCGTGCCTCCATACGAGTGCATGATGATGCTGGGCGGCAGCGCCATCTTTCCGTCTGCCGTCAACGAGAGCTCAAGTAAGTTGACACTCGAGGCCCTCGCAAGAGCGTCATCAAAGAGAGCATCACACCTTCTTTCAAGATCTGTTGAACGGCTTCGAAAAACTGACCAAAGGCACGAACACAGTGGATCGACACCGGGCGCTGCAGTCGCCCGGCCAAGCGAAACTGCTTCTCGAAGACCTGTGCACGCAGGCGTCAGCACAATGTGGAGAGGCGCGCACGCACGCACTCACGCACGCACGCACCTCGAGCTGGTGCTGGTGCTCACAGCGACCAGTGTCGGGAGTCGTGGCGGCACGGTCGAGCCCTATCTCGCCCACGATGGCGGCGGGATTGCGTCGCAGAAGGGCCTCGAGCTCCTCCAGCCAATCCGAACCGCGCCGGTGCGCGTACCACGGGTGGACGGCGAAGGCGGCCCGCACCTTGTCCCCGTAACGGCTGTGTAGCTCCTCCACCACTGGCCTGCGCCAAAGAAATAAACGAATAAAATTTAAAATATTTTTTAAATTATAAAAAGAAAGCGAAGCAGGGGAGGGGGCACCAGTCGATGTCGCGTACGCCAATGAGGCAGAGGCCAGCGACGGGCAGTTGCGGAATGAGGTCCACGTTACACGTGTCGTCTTGTGGGTGGCAGTGCGTGTCGAAGAGCAGCCGCATCAGCGGATGAATCTTCTTCTTCTTCTTTTCTGCCACTTTCTTCTTCGCCTGCTGCATGGGCGCTTTTGTGTTGTTTGCTGCTTTTTATTATTTTCATTTACATTTATATTTATATTTGTATGTATTAGGGAAATGAAGATATAAATTGAAGGGCCATGTTTTTCTTTTCTTTGTCCACATGGACGGAGCACCAGAAGGAGGGCCTGTTGCGCGGTGGGCGTTGGCACTGCATGGCGGAGCAGGCACCATCTCTCGCTCAGTGCCCCTCGACCGCCGTGAGGAATACCTCAAGGGCCTGCGCACCGCACTTGACACTGGCGTCAGCATTCTCGCCCAAGGAGGTACCCCCCTTCTTTTTATTTCTTATAATAAATACAAAATAATAATAATAATATAATAATAATATAATGACCAATTGTAGGGACGGCACTGGACGCGGTTGAGGCGGTGGTGCGGACGCTGGAGGACGATCCACTGTTCAACGCTGGGCGGGGTGCGGTATTCACACATGACGAGACTGTGGAGCTTGACGCCTCCATCATGGATGGGCGCACCTTAGCCTGCGGCGCTGTGTGCGGCGTCAAGTAAGTTAAGCCCACGCACGCACGACCGCACGCACGCACGCACCCTCTGACGACACTGAGTGCAGAACGGTCAAGAATCCGATCTCGCTGGCTCGGCTGGTGATGGAGAAGACGTCTCACGTCCTGCTGTCGGGTGCTGGTGCCGAGCAATTCGCTGCCGTGGTGGGCGTCGAGCGCTGCGAGAACTCCTACTTCTACACCGAACACAGGTTCGCCACACCTCCTCAACCAACACCAACACTAACGACGACACGCTCTCGCTCGACGTAGGCATCGAGCGCTGCAGCAGGCCAAGGCCACGGACCAGGTGCAGTTGGACCACTCGGGTCTGACCACCGTCGATTCCAAGATCTCGCCTGCGCAGCTGGCGGGCACCAGCGCAGGCGGCGTGTCGCCCACCGCCGACTCCGCCGGCGCCGGCGCTGGCAGCGACGAGGCGGCGCACGTCAAGGGCACCGTGGGGTGTGTCGCTCTCGATGCGCAGGGCAACCTGGCCGTGGCAACCTCGACCGGCGGCATGACCAACAAGCGGTGGGGCCGGGTGGGCGACTCGCCCATCATCGGAGCCGGGTCCTACGCCAACAACAAGTCGTGCGCCGTGTCATCTACCGGGGCCGGAGAGGAGTTCATTCGGCACGTGGTGGCCCACGACATCGCGGCACTCATGGAGTACGGTGGCCACAGCGTCGCGCAGGCTGCCGACCTGGTCGTACACACCAAGCTGGCCAAGGTGCGCGTTACGCCTCCACACTTAGCTCGCTCGTCTGTAGCGTGATTCGTAGGAATCTGGGCTCACCGCGGGCCAAATGACAGGGCGATGGGGGCGTGATCGCGGTGAGCAAGGACGGAGAGGTGGCGATGCCCTACAACAGTGTGGGCATGTTCAGGGCTGCGGCGGACAGCAACGGTCCGTCTTTTCATCTTTTTACCACGCACGCACGCACGCACACATAACTGACCAGTCTCATGGACAGGGCTGCACACGGTAAAGATATGGGAGTGAAGGCATAAACCAACCAGTCACCACAGCAATGTTTGAACATTAACAGTGGACCTTTCAGAATGCACATTGGCCAAATCACAATGACTTAATCATTTTAGTTTAATTACAACAAAGGCCACCACCTGCAGATAGGCAACAATGCCCAAGAGTACAATAAGCAGGGTCACACTATCACCCCCTTTAGATGGTGTTGGTGTGCCCAGGTCCCACAAAATGAAGTGGTGCCAGAAGAGGGCTGTGAGCAATGCAGTTGCATGCCACAAGCTGTGGGCATCAAAAACCTGCATAAGTGGAGAAGTAAGAAGAAAATGTGCATGTGGATGAGGGGTTGCATACCTCAAAGAGAGGAGGGAAGTCATAGATCTCAAGCAGCACACATAGAGCAGACCAAATCAGTGCATACATGATATACTTGGCATGTCTTTGTGTTGAAGAGGAGGTGAGTCAGCATTACTGAAAAGAGCTGGAGACGTAGGGATTCATACATTTCTTTGTGTTTGTGGTAGGCAACCACAACCCACAATACACTTCCCACAACTGCTGTGCCTGCACAGAAAGACATGTGGAAGCTGCACAAGCACAGTTAGACTGAATTTGGTATGCTAAGGCCAAGAATGGATTGTACCCATAGTCAAAGTGGTGTAGCATTGTGGTGAGGTAGTGAAGGTATGCCACCAATCCAGGCAGCAGCATCACAAGCACTATAAGTGGTTGAGAGTGGTGCAGCCTTGTAGCACTATGGAAGAAAGATATGCAAAGTCAGCACCATCAGGCTGTGTTTAACTAAGAGAGACATACCAGATGAGGCCAATGGATGTGTGGTAGACAAGGGCAAGAGCAATCCCAAAGTAGTCTGCCTTCTCCAAGATGGGGCTGTCCATCTATCAGAAGATGTGAGATGCAAGATTAGCTGTGAAACTGGGGCAGGACTGAGAACACACTAGGTGAAACATAGCTGCAGAAAAGTAGGCGAGGCCCCATATGGCATAGTAGACTCGCCAACACCCCAGCGAGTGTAAGGATGGAGCGTTCCTCACCTTTTGTGCCTCAACTTCATAAGATATCATAAATCGCCTGCCGATTTTGACGTTAAATCATTGATCAACTTTACTGAGCAAGTATGTGGCATACCATGTTTGCAGTACGCTGACACAACTGAAGAACGCCGAGGCCAACTCTGTTGATTTGAGGCCAGCGAGGTTCTCCATTTTCTGAAGATTCTGTGCTTGGGCATTTTCGCGCCTCGCCCACAAACGCGTTGCAGTTGCAGTTGCACGCCAACAAGGTGAGTCCGCGTGCATTTATTGTTCACCGTCTTCACGGCGTTGCCTCTACAGTGATCAGTAGTGCACAGTTGTTTGCGTGGAGGGGTTCGGGCAGCCCTTGCCCGTGATCACGCTGCTCGCGAGGCAACTGCGCCCAGAGAAAGAAGTCGGCGGTAGGCAGCGCAGTGGGTCTTAGCCGGTGCAGTTGCGGCGGCAGCTGTTCTGTTCTTTGGCCTGGTAGAGGAACCCTTTTGACTGCTCGCTGAGGTCCTCCGATCGGGCGATGACGTCGTCCAACTTCTGTCCTCGATCAAGCAGCGACTCGATGTTCTGATGCATGATATCCTTCACCTCCTCTGTAATCCAAGGAAGTGTGTCAATACACGGACGCACACGCACGGCTCACACTCAACACGCGAGGCGAAAGGGGCATTGGGGAAAGCGTACCGATCTCTTTCTGTATTTTGTTCATCTTGTCGGCTTCGTCGGGCTGCTGGTACTTGATCAGCAGCTTCTCCACCGCCGGCGTCTTGTACTGCACGTCCGCCGTCTCTTGTCGCCACTTCTCGCTGTGCACGGTAACAAACTCTGGTTTATTTTAGCATCAATCGCTAAGATAAATCGAAAAGAAGTATCAAGAATGGCGGCGTACCCATGAGGACGAGGCTCGAGAGGGAGAAGGCCACACGTGCCGGGTAGTCCTTGTCGGTCACGACGGCGCAGGCCAACCCATCCAGGTTTACCGAGGCGTGGCATCGGTAATCGCCCTCCTCCACAATGTTTTTGGAGCCCCCTTCGGTGCGTTGGACGACCACCCGAATGAGGAACGTAATCATCTCCCTCGCCTTGCCGCGAAGAAAGAAATTAAATTCGGACAGCTCGAACTCCTGTTCGAGGAAGACAGAGTCTGCTGGACCTTCGTCATCCGAGCCACGATTGTTGGTATTCTTGAGTACCGCTATCGCGTACACGTGCGGCATCTTTTTCAAATGAAAAGATCAAAAAGGGATGCCTTTTGTTATTCAATCTTTTCTTCTGGGGTGAACAACCTTTATTTTTGAGGCTCTTTTTTTATTTTGCACAGCCAACCAACAATCAGAAAAGCGCAAGCAGGCTGGGGCGTGGCAAGGTAACGGCCAGATGCCAGGGCGACTGTTGGCTTGTTGCCCCTTGCTGCGGTGCCGTTTTAACCTCTGCCTACAGGGTCATGACAAGTTGCTGGGTGGTGGGAGAGATTTACTTCTCCCAACTTTCTTTCAACCCACCTGAGGACTTGCACGAACTTGAAGTTCTAGACAGCATCCTTGTCCCAAGTACCAACCAGCTGCTGTACCAGATGCACCACATTCTTACAAATACCACCACAGTGTTTTCCTTCACACATCACAGTGAGGAGCAGGAAAGTGCAAGTGTCCCCACTCTTCCCAACACAAGCGTCCAGCAAGCTATGACCACTACAACTGCGGCCAGCTCCTCAACAACTGCCCCACAACAGGTTCACACAGCTCAGTTCACAAAGAGTTGGAAGTAGCATGCATTTAACACTCTTTCCCTTCTAGATTGTTTGTCCGTTTTGTTTTGTCGGAGGTTTTAAGACCACCCAAGCCCGGGGAGGCCACATCCCCACATGTAAATCCAACCCCAACCCCAAGGTACCTCACCTAACACCACAATACCGTGCTGATGCTTACCACGATGTCATGCACCACTCCCTCCCTTTGACCCTTCGCTGATGAAGACCACCCTAATCTTTCATCTTAGCCCGCCACTCTGCATATCCACATTTCCTGCGTGGAGGGTCCAACCGTACTGGTGGAGTGCGAGCGCCATTGGCAGTGGACGGCGTCGATCGCCGACGACAGGCTCCAGTTCTACACAAAGCATCACACGTGCGCGCGCAGTGGTAGCGACGCACGTAAGCTCGCGACCAGACTCTGCAAGCAGGACGCGCGCAGGGCTTTCCCAGGGCGGCTGATTGAATTCGAGCGCACTGAGAAGCCGCGAGACGAAGAGCCTTCCCCGTGGCGTCCGCTTGAGGCTGCCGCGCAGAATTTCCTCCGGGACGCGATCATGGCGGAGACCTTCAAGGCCCTGCACTCGCGCCGAGGCTATAGTGCACTTCACGTTTACGTCAGGTCCCTCGGTCCTCGGTGCGAGTGCCAGTCAATGCAAGGCCTTGAAGGCAAGTTTCAGAAACAATTTTCACCCACTACAGTCGGCGACATTGGTGATCTGGGGCTGGGAACTGAAGATCTTGAAGCGATCGTTGAGGTCCTAGGTGCCGAGGTGGAAGGCGATGGAGGATCAGCGGTACCTGCACCTAATAGCGCTTTTCAGTACGGATGTCGGGGCCACCACTTGGGTGGTTGACACTGCGAAATCTCGCGCGTGGTCTTTTCTTTTGTCCTTTCCGGTGGTGGAGAGTTTCTGATTGGCTGGATTAATGTGTACACCACGGTATTGGGCCAAAAAACATAAAATTCCCAACCTCGTTTTATTTTATTTAGCTGTCGCCTCAAGAGGAATAGAGTGCGCCGGTCAGAGAGGGTTCGGGGCGGCCCGCTTCGTCGACGTAACAACGAGAGATGAAGAAGAAAAGCAGCAGCAGCAGAAGGGGCAAGGCAAAAGATGGAGACGAAATAATGGAGTCGCTCAGAGAAGACGGATCCTTTCGGTCAGATGACGAGGGGGAGGTAGATCGGTTCGCTTCTCTGCTCAACCCCTCCGACTACTCTGCAGACGGGGTGCGTCCCTCCACCTTCAATTCCCCTCCCCCCGTCCCTTGTCTCCGTTCTTTTGTTCAGCTGGGCCTGTTTTTATTATTATTTTTCTTTCTAGAAATTAATATATTTCATAATAATAATATTTTTGTGCTACGGGCCTGGCAGATCGATGAAAGCCAAGGCCTGCTGTCGGGCGAGAAGGTGCTCAAGACGGCCGAGGGCGAAGTGGTGGTGCGTCAAGAGGGCGGAGGCGATCTGCCGCGCAAGGGCACCCTCCACTTCACCAACTATCGACTGTTTCTGAGCCAAGAGGTGCGCTGCCCCTCCTATTATTATTATTTTTTTGCCAATTATTTTCAGTATTAATTCTCCTTTTTGTGATGGTGGTTGCGACGGTGCGTGGAGCAGGCGGCAGACAGAAAGTACTGGATCCCCTATAACCTCATCCTGCGATGGAAAGCGTCACTTGACAAAGATCTGGGAGCGCACATCGTCGTGGACTGCAAGGACTTCAGGTGGCTCCTAGGCACACAGCACCTTTACACAAACTGCTTTCTATTCACACGCGACACACGCACACACGACACACGGCACACACGGCACTATTCGTAGGTCGGTGGCACTGCATTTCTCGCGGGGCGATGATCAGCAGCTGGCCCTCAAGGCCCTCAAGGCGCACTTTGCGTGCACCTCGGTCCGCGAGTTCTACGCATTTCAAAACAACGAGCGGTACCCCATCGCCTCCGAGCTGGCTGGGTGGCCCATCTACACGCTCGAGCGCGAGCTGGAGCGGCAGGGCGTCGGCTTCGGCGAGAAGAACGAGTGGAAGCTGATTGAGAACTCCCAGCACAAGAAGAGTCCCACCTACCCCGGCAAGCTCCTCATTCCGCGATCCATGAACAAAGCCAAGCTGTACAAATCAGGTGCGCCGTCCGCTTCTACAAATGCACGACACACACACACACACCACACACACACCACACACACACCACACACACACACACACACAACACACACACACACACACACACAAAGAGAGAGAGAGACTCACAATATGTATGTGTAGATATATTCTACGCCAAGCGAATGATCGCCTTCAGTTGGAAGAACCCGGGCGGGGAGGGAATGATCTTTCGCTACACGGCCAATGTGGGCTCCCACATGTGCCGCGACACGCACGGAGGCCTCACGGGCCACAAGCCCGACCGGCACACCGAGGGCGAGCTCAAGGAGCCCATCCTCAAGCACATCCTCAAACTCTACCCCAAAACCACAGTGCGTGCCGCTTCTTCTGTTCCCTTCATCATTGCCTACTTATGTGATGCCACTCATCATCATCATCATCATCATCCATCATCCATCATCCATCATCCATCATCATCATCATCATCATCATCATCATCAGAATTTGCACATATTGGCCGTGTGTCCGTTGGCGGGTCTCACGCGGCAGAGCGGCGACGTGTTCGAGCCGAGAGAGCGGATAAAGGTGCACGTAGCCAGCATGATGAACCGAATGGAGGTCAACAACAGCCTCCTGCGCCTGATCGAATACATCAAGCAGTTCTACCCCAAGTGGAAGCGCTACGCCTCTCCCGGTACGTGTGCGATTGGCTAGGTGTGCTGTGCGTGTCAGTTTTGATGACGTTAACTGTAATGACAGGCGCCTCGCTGGATACTATGACGATCGAGATGGCTGAGGACCTGAAGGAGACGAAATGGCTTACCTGCGTGAAGCAGCTCCTGCGAGTCACCAAGGTACGTGTCGTCTTGTCCATTAACCAGAGTACACTCGCACAGCAGAGCATGAGACTAAGCACCTACGTTATGTATGAATGTATGACGCAGATTGCCACATCGGTGCTGCTCACCGACGAGCCTTTGGTCGTTCGAGGTGTGGCGAAGAACATCTGTGAACAACAGATCACCTCCCTCGCGCAGCTTTGTCTCGGTTCGTATATCCCACGCACTCGATCGTCATGACGCAGCACGTGTGTGTCCACAATGATGGAACATGTTGGCATTGTCTCACACATGCGCAGATCCCTACTATCGCACCATGAAGGGGTTCAGCGTCCTCGTAGAAAAAGAGTGGCTCAGTTTTGGTACGCTGGGTAGCGTCCAAGTCCTTCGCGTTTTTTCTCACACGCACACGCATGGTTTTTCATACATGTAGGACACAAGTTCTGGCAGCGACCCACGAAGAAGAAGGTGTCGGCCTCCCGCAATGCCAAGCAGTTGTGCGGGACGTTCCTGTTGTGGCTCGATGCGGTGTACCAACTGTGGGACCTCCGACCGCAGGCTTTCGTACTCACTCTCCCGCGCGCCCACGCACTCCCCAGCGCAGCAGCGTTCAACTCTCAGCTCACCGCGCCGTGCGCTCAATTGTTGCAGGAGTTTACCGCCGACTATCTTAGCGTCTTGATGGATGCCGTGTACAGGTATAGACCACTCCTTCAACACGGCCCATGGCCTGGCCATTCTAATCATTCCAATGCTTGTCCGCAGCTCGCGATTCGGCACATTCTTAGCCAACTCTGAAAAGCAGAAGAACGACGAAAACTTCTACACTGGCTCTGTACGTACCGAGTTCATATTTCTTCTTGCCTCGCAGAGTCCAGTGTCGAGCTACTAACATTTGGGTGCACAGGTCTCGGTGTGGAGCTTTCTCGATGTGTACAAACAAGGCTACATTAACCCCGTGTACGACGATTCAGCGTTCCCGCTCGGTAAATCGCTGGTACCGCCGCCTGTTGCCCTCAAGAGGAGTTGAAAGCCGACACTCACCGGCGTGCGTGTACGGCGTAACACACACACACACACACACTGACAGCCGATCAAGCCCAAGTTCGCAAAGCTGTGGACGAGCTACTACCTGCGGTGGGAGGGCCAGAAGGCGGAGATGCGCTCCGGCGCTAAGATCTTTGATTTCTGCGCGCGCGAAGTCTTCCGACCCGACGACATGAAGGACGAAGAGCTCGACCTCAACATGTCCAACTCCGAGCTGCACGCCCTGCCGGTCGCGCTGATGCGTCAGGTCGCGCTCGCGCCGAGCGCCAGCGGCGGCGGCCACAATCGGCTCATGAAGAGCACCCGCGGCGAGCTGCAGCCGGAGCAGTGGGGTCCCAGCGGCGGCATCGATCGGCACCTGTGGCGGCTGAAGGACCTGCGCGCGCTGCGGCTCGACCACAACTTCATCTCGTCGCTCGGGCTGCTCGACTGCGAGCGCATCAAGCGCCTGCAGGTGCTCGACCTGTCGCACAACCAGCTCAAGGCCTTCTCGGCCAAGCATCCGATCGTTCGGTCGCTCTTCACCCTCACCAACCTGCGCGAGCTCAACCTGCGGGGCAACCGCATCGATCGGCTGCCGCAGGAGGTCTCCCAGCTGACCAACCTCACCCTGCTCGACCTCAGCGACAACCGCTTCGAGGAGATCCCCTCGTCGCTGATCAGCCTGTCCGGGTCGCTGCGCCACCTCTTCCTCGCGCACAACCGCACGCTCGAGAACTTTGACTTCCCGTCGTCGATCAACTACCTCACCAACCTGCGCCGGCTCGACGTGCAGGGCAACAACTTCCACTCGCTGCCCATGTCCCTCTTCGAGAAGCTCGTGCACCTCGAGGAGCTCAGCCTCAGCGAAAACTTCTTCGCCGCCCTTCCGCCGTGCGCCCCGCACGGGCTGAGCGCCCTCCACAAGCTCGACCTCAGCCGCCTGCGGCTCAACGACTTCTCGTTTCCGCAGCAAGTCATCGTACGCTCTACATCCTTCACCTTCGCCCTTTGCCTACATTTCCTGCTGACACGACACACACGACACACACGACACAGATGACGACTCTGCGCGAGCTTCGAGCGGTGGATTTGGCGTTGACAACGCTGCCGTCGACGTTCTCCACTCTGCAGGCGCTCGAGTACCTGGACCTGTCGGACAACCTGCTGCTGTCGGTCCCCGGCTCGCTCATGCAGCTGGCGTCGCTCAAGTTCCTCTACCTCCGCAACAACAAGCTCACGGCGCTGCCCCCGCACATCTCGCAACTCAAGTCGCTCGTGACGCTCGACATCGGCCTCAACCAGATCGCCGCGCTGCCCATCCAGGTGGGCTCGCTCAAGAGCCTCACCAGCCTCGACTTCTCCTACAACGCCGTCCGCGAGCTGCCGCCCCAGCTGGCCATTCTCCCGCTGCTGACCCACCTCAACTACGAGGGCAACGAAATCGTCTACCCGCAGCCCCCCATTCTCGTCATGGGTCCGTTGCCTCACCCCCTTACACCTTCATCCGCTCGCATTGTTGACACTCTTCTTTGCTGTTGCTGCTACCACTCCCCCAACTACAGGCCAAGACGCGGTGCTGCGGTTCATGCGCCAGTTGCTCGATGGACAGGAGCAGTGCAGCCGCATGAAGCTCATGCTGGTGCGTCCCTATACAAAATCGATCAACAATTCACTCACAATCTTCATCAAAAGCGGTTGGGGGAGCTCGTGATCAAACTAACTTTTATTTATTTATTTGGTTGGTGGCACAGGTGGGCCAGGAGAATGTGGGCAAGTCGACCCTGCTGCGGGCCCTGCGCCATCACTCGTCGCCCAAGGTCGGCAAGGCGCCGCGCAAGATGATGTCCGAATCGCTCGACAAGGGCCAACAGGGGTACTGTCTCCCCCTTCTTGCAGCCCTTACATGGATGAATCATCTATCGACTCACCGCCCCTGGCCATTTCGACTCCAGAAGCAACATATCGACCGACGGCATCGACATCTCGCAGTGGGTGCTTCCGGTGCGGGTGCCTGCAGACGACGGCGCCCCCGCCGAGGTCAAGGAGGTCACCCTCTCCGCGTGGGACTTTGCGGGTAAGACACACTCACACTTGACCGCATCGCCAGCATGAGGTGGGTGCAGTGTTAGTGACCACCTAATGATTATCAATTGACCCATGTGGATGCAGGCCAGGAGATCTACTACTCGACGCACCAGTTCTTCCTCTCTGAGCGTTCGCTGTACCTGTTCGTGTTCGACGTCTCCCAGCCCAATATGGAACAGTCCTCCCGCATCGAGTTCTGGTGCGCCGCCCTCGCTCCGCTCTTCCTTCGCTCTTTCTTCGTTCTTTCGCCCACGCGGGAGACGTCGCACGCGCTAATAATAAGAGTTCGCACTTTTTCCTTCAAATCCCTGGACAGGTTGCGTTCGATTCGAGCACGCGCCAAGAATGCGTCGGTGATCGTGGTGGGCACGCACATCGACGAGAAGATCTGCACCAACAACTACCTCGAGCTGCGCCGCCACTACGTCGAAGAGTTCTGCGCCTCGCGCTACCCCAACATCAGGGTACACCCGACGTCCATTTCCCCCCATTTCGCTTTCTTGTCGGCCGTTCCCTGAAAAATTTGTGTGGCGCTGGCTGGTGCACCACAGGGCATCACATTCGTGAGTTGTACGACGGGCAAGGGGCTGGACGTGCTGCAGGCCATGATCGAGGAGACCATCGTGGCGCAGGGCCACATCGGCGATGTGCTGCCCAAGTCCTACCTCCACCTCGAGAGCCTCATTCTCAACCACAAGACCAAGGGCAAGCGCACGTCGAGCATCGCCCACCAGCCGGCCCTGCTGCCCCCGCTGCCGCACCAGCCCCACCATCAGCCGCAGGCCCCGGGCTCTGGCGGTCCGCACGACAAGTCGTCTCCGAACGGGGTGCAGGTCCCCATCATCTCCTACGAGGAATACAAGTCCATCGCTCGTACGTGTGTTGTGTGTGTGTGTGTGTGTGTCGTATCGTGTCGTGTGCGTGCGTGCGTGGTGATGTGTTTCATGCGTGCGTGTGAGCTGATGGACAATGGCTCTTTGATGTTATAGAGCTGTGTCTGATCGAGAATAAGGAGCTGGAGATCGCCACGACGCTTCTGCACAATCTCGGCAGCATCATCTACTTCGGCGACGATGAAAAGCTGGCCGACGTGGTCATCCTTGACCCACAGTGGCTCACCAACGTGATGAGCTCCATCGTCACCACCAAGCACAGCTACGTCTCCAGGCGAGAGGTACGCAGTATCATCTGTGGCGCGCGCGTTTGGGGTGTGCTGTAGGTGTGTTTGTTGGTGTGTGCGCTGACGTCGTCATGATCGTCAGGGCATTCTGCACCACTCCACGCTGCCTCTGCTGTGGCGCGAGCCGGACTTCCCCGCGTCGCTTCACGCCTTCATCCTGGCGCTGCTCAACCGGTTCGAGATTGCCTTCACCATGGACAACGTACACACTCGAGGGGCTGGTTCCGACAGCAACGACAAGGCCCTGGCCCGCAAGTCTCGCGACGAGACGAAGCCGAACGACGACGACGCCGACGATGCGGCCGAGTCCCAGATCACCGCCGGCGCCAGGATCGACTACAACGGCGTCAGTCTCATACCGTGCCTCCTCGCCGAAGAGCGGCCCAAGGACATGGACACCCTGTGGCCCAAGCGCAGGTATCTCTCGCCTCCGCTTTCGTTCTTTTTCTTTCTCTCCCCCCCCCCCTCAACCGACTCGCTCACCCCCGGATGGCCGCAGGCGCGGTGATGGCATTTCGGAGTTCGGGCGGGTGTACCGTTTCAATTTCGTGCCTGCGGGATTCTTCGGGCGCGTGATGGTGCGGCTCCTCAACTTTAAGCTCGAGAAGGCCAAGAAATACTGGCGCAACGGGTACATACCCCCTCAGCTCCTCTCGGCCCAGTCGTGTGTCGTGTGTCGTGTGTCTTGTGTCTTGTGCCGTGTGCCGTGTGCCGTGTGCCGTGTGCCGTGTTCGCTCACACCCGAATCCGTCTCCACTAAGGTTGCTTCTGCACAACCACCCGGAGAAGGTGTTGGTCGAGTTTCTGCCGTCGTCCAATCAGCTCAACATCACCATCCGCACGGTGAGCGATGACGAGCAGGCCTCGTCGGACAGCGAAGAGGAGAACCCCGCGGAGCGGGCACGGAACGCACGCGATCGACTGAGCCGACGCTTCGAGCTCCATAAGCAACGCAAGGGTATATAGGGTCACACTGGCACTACGCCGCCGAGTCATGATGACGAGTCGAGTAACGTGAGGTGTTTGGTGTGACGTGTGAGCAGAGAGCTTTCAAACGCTTTCGCTGCTGGTCTTCGCGGCGGTGGATGCGCTGATCAACGACTGGTACAGTCTGGATGTGCGCGTCCTCGTTCCGTGTGCGCACTGCGTCGACAACGAGATCTATCCGCCCTACTACTTCCCGTTCCAGGTACACACACACACAGCACACGCACGCGCGTGGCGTCACGTACTCACGCCTCACCCACGATCGTACAGGACTGTCAGAGCGCGCTGTTCAAGAGCAGCAGTGCCTACGCCACCTGCCTGCGGGACGCGCCGGCGCCGGTGCTGGGTACACGCCGGCCCCGTAACACTCACGCTGACAACCACCTCGACTGACTCCCACTCTTCCTGTGAATCAATGATACAGAGGCCGCTCCCGACACGCCAAGGCGTAACGTGAACTACGTGCGGCTGGACAAGCTCGTTCCGGACGTGGCGATGGTTCATCTGCAGGCGTCGCGCATCAAATTCACCGAGCTTCAGTTGGCCAACCTGGTCGGCAAAGGCAGCTTTGCCGAGGTAAACCACGTGACACACACGACACGACACACGCCACACATGGACTCATCAATACGGAAACGCGTCTCGTTGCGGTGCAGGTATATCGAGCGATCTGGCGAAAGCCGAAGAAAAAGAAGCGAAAGGAGAAGAACGAAGACGACGCGGAGGACAGCGAACTAGACGACTTCAGCGAGATGGAGGAGTCGGACACCGAAACGGAGACCGACACCGAGACCGACACCGAGACCGACACCGAGGACGAGTCCGCGCAGCTTAAGGGCAAGCCGGAGGACTACGACGAGGAGACGGTCGCCGTGAAGAAGCTGATGTTCACCGAAGAGGAGGATCTCCCGCCGGAGGACACCGTCAGGGCCATCGAAGAGTTCAGGAATGAAGTGTGGATCATGAGGTACGAGCTGTGCCCCTTCGCCTGCGTGTGCGGTGGTGCGTGTGCGATTGGTGTATCGTGTCGCTCGTTCTCTGCGTGTGCGGTGGCGCGTGTGTTCTGATTTCGCGTTCTGTTGTACACAGTGGTGTGGTGCACCCCAACATTGTGCCCCTCAAAGGGTTCACCATGGAGCCCTGCTGCTGTATCGTGACGGAGTTCATGGAGGGCGGCAATCTATGGGACTTCATCAAGAGCGAAGCAAGCGGTATCTTTCACACGAACACACACGACACACGACACAACACGCTTCGCACGGCACACGAAGATACGATGTCTCATCGACTTCGTCTCCGTGCAGAGACTGCGTTGACCTGGCCCTTGCGCCTGAAGATCGCCAAAGACGTGGCGAAGGGCATGACCTTCCTGCACTCCATGAACCCGCCCATCATGCACCGCGACTTGAAGACGCCCAACATTATGGTATGGCTCGCCTTTCTCTTTTTCTGACAACACACACACATACACATACACGACACGACACGACACGACACGACACGACACGACACGACACGACATCCCTCGGCTTAACCGGTTTGTCAACTATGTGCAGTTGGCGGACATCTCTCCCCAGTCGAAGGTGGTCGCGAAGGTGATCGACTTCGGCGTGTCCTCCTCAGCCCTCTCGGCCGTGGGCCGCAAGGTCGACTGTCCCGGTACGTCCTCGCCCCTCTCTTTCCACGCCATTTCACCTTTTCACTTCGTGCCATACGTTGGTGTGTCGGCCGTGTGACGTGTGTGCCCTGTGTGTCGTGGTTGGTGATAGTGTGGCTGGCCCCGGAGATCATTCGTGGCAAGGACTACTCGGTGAAGAGCGGTACGCACGTACACTGGTCTCAGCCTCGGTCATCGCACCTTATTTCGCTTACGGCAATGTGTGGCGTGCGCGCGTAGACGTGTATTCGTTCGGAGTGATTCTCTACGAGCTGCTGGTGCGGCACCGCTATTTCGCCGAGGACCTTTGGATGAGCAAGCTCGAGACCAAGATCATCGGCGGCGTCCGCCCCGCTCTCCCCGATGAGTGCTTGCCCGAGTACCGGTACCAATCCCCAGCCCTCCCACGACGACACACAAGACACACACGACACACGCATGTCGACATGCGACCCCAATCGACTGATCACACGCCGGCCCAACTCGCCGCAGGGAGCTGATCGTCGAGTGCTGGCAGCCGGACGCCAGAAAGCGCCCCTCGTTCAAGCAGGTGCTGGCCAAGCTGCAGGCCGCTCTCGCGCGCCACTACCCCCACGACGCCGCCTACGATGCTGTCGAGGTCGAAGTCGAGGTCGAGGCGGTCCCCGACGACCAGAAGCAGAAAGAGACGCCTACCGAGCCGGAGCCGCCATCAATCGACCCACCCGCGCCGACCGAGCCTTTGGCGGTCGTGTCTGCGCCCGAGCCTTTGGTGGTCGTGTCTGCGCCCGAGCCGGAGCCGCCATCAATCGACCCGCCCGCACCGCAGGACGGCGTAGTCGCCGACGTCGCCCCGGCCGAACAGTCGGCCGCCACGCAGAACGGGGAGCCAGTGCCGGGTGTGGACTCGGTGGCAACGGACGCGTCGAGCCTGCGCCATGAGGCGCTGCTCTCGGCGGCCGTCGAACAGCAAAGCGCCCACGAGCGGGCAGGCAAGCGGCGTTCGCAGCACGAGGCGCGGGCGTCTTGCCAGATCAAGCGGCGGTCGGCGCGGTACTCGTGCAGTGTGCAGCGCCGCAAGGCCGCCAAGAAGGAGGACGAGGCCGAGCGCTACCACCAGAACATCCGCCTGGACAACCTCGCCGCCAAGTTCACCCAGTGGCAGAGCAAGGTGCGCGCCTGCAAGCGGACCGCCGTCGAGCTCAGCCACTCGCCCAAGCCCGAAGCCGGAGGAGCCCAGCCCCAGCCCCAGCTAAAGCCCAAGGCCCAGCCTCAGTCGCCAGTCGCCGCCACCGCCGCCTCTGCGTCGAGAGCACAGCGACAAGGTGCGGACGAGAACGGTGGTGAAGATGGTGATCAGCTGCAGCCCGCGCTGGGACGACTGTCGTCGGAGGCGCCTCGCCGCTTGACGATGGGCGAGAAGGGGAACGGCGGCGCGGAAGACCAGTTGCCGCGGCCGCAAGTCCCATCGCCGGCGTCGCCGCGGGCAAAAAAGAGCGAAGCGACGACGACGACGACGACGACGGCCGCCTCCCTCGAAGAGGCAGAAGAGCGAAGCCTCGACGAGGCAAGTGGCGAGCCCGCGGAGATGGAGATGAAGGTCGTCGTGAAGGCCGAGGTGGTGGTGAAGGAGAGGCGCAAGGACATGGAGTGGAAGGAGGGCAACATCGCCCGGAAGCCCAGCCGCGAGATGCCGGCGATCGTGGTGGTGGGCGACGAGACGACGCCGCCTGCCACCTCCGGAGCGGAGCAGCCGCAGCCGTCGCTCGAGCAGGCCGCGGACCAGTCGGCCGAGCGGGGCAGCATCAGCGAGACGAGCGACTCGCGCACGAGCATCAGCTACGGGGACTACGACGACGAGGGCTCCTCGCTGCGCACCGAGGAGAGCGAAGACGACGACAGCGACATCTTCGAAATGGAGGAGGTCGAAAGCCCGCGCACCGAACTCGTGTCCCCCAGATCCGCGTCCTGCGCAGCTCTTTCATCGTCGTCGTCGTCGTGGCTGTCGCCTTCGGTGCCGTTGTCATTGTCGACGTCGTCGGCCAGCGCTGCCGCCGAGGACGACGAGCGGCTGCGGCGGAAGCTCAGGGAGATCGAGGAGCGGCGGCAGCGGGTGCACGAACTGGTCAAGAAGCGGGAGAAGGCGGCCAGCACCGAGCGGCTGGGCGTGGCCGCCGGTGGTGCAAGCCCGGCGCGCCAGGGCAAGCGTATCAAGCGACGGAGTCAGTCGGCCGAGGACCTGGCGCAGCGGCGGGAGCGGGAGCAGACGGAAAAGGAGCAGCGCGCCCTGCGTCGGGCGGAGGAGCGGGCCAGGGAGATGCTCGAACGGCAGCGGCTGCTCCAACAGCTGGCCGGCCAGACGAAGAGCGCCACTCACCACGACAACGACGACGGCGAGAACGAAAACGAAAACGAAAACGACGAGAACGATCACGGCAGCGAAGACGAAAGCGAGAACAACGTCAAGAAGACGAACAAGAAGGGAGAGAAGACCAAGACCACGCCGCAGGAGGAGGAGAAGGACGAGGACGAGGAGGCCGTGCCGCAGCGGCGATTCGGGCACAGGAAGCAGCTCTCGTTCGGCATTGGGTTTGGGCCGAGCTCGCTGGAGCGCGTGCACTCGTGGACGGTACGCTGCCCATCGCATTGCCCACAATCACACACGAGAGCTCATACACACGCCCCGCGGTTATTGTTTGGGGCGGACAAACAAACAGAAGGCGAGCCCGGTTGGGTCGCACCGAGGGAGCCTGCCCAGCACGCCCGAGCCGGAGCTCTGCCCCGCCCAACGACGCAGCGTGCCCGAGTCATGACATGCCCCAGCCCACCGTCGGTCCCAAAAGCGCAAGGCCGCGTCAAAAAACAGCACAGGCCATTTCCATTTTAGGGTCTTTGGGGCACAAAAGGTAAGCCAAACTCTGTGCGCCAACAGCACAAACACAACGACACTCGATCGAGTGCGTCAAGCAAAGAAGAAATCGAAGCGAGAGGAAGAAAGATGGAGCGTCCGACAAGGAGGGGGTCGCGGGCGCATTCGGATGCGAAGCCCAACTACGAGGAGGTGATCGGCGAGTTCACCCCCGCCCCCTTGTCCGTGTCGCTGGGGGCGTCGACCACGGCGCTGATACACTCGCGGGTCGGTCTGCGCAGATCGTCAGGCGGTGTTCCGCCGATCAGCAGGAGCGACGAGGGCCGAGTACTGCGGGAGGAGGAGGGGGGCACGACACGGGACGAGGGGGTGGACGTGGTCGAGAAGCTCACCATCGCCCTCATGGGCGGGGGCGCCACGGGCAAATCGTCCCTCATCGTCCGCATGCTACACGATCGATTCGAGGAGGTGGAGGACAACGACCCCACCCTCCTCGACGAATACGAGCTCCCCTACCACTTCGAAAACCGCACATGTACCCCCCCTCACCATCATATCTTTTAAAAAAATAAGTAAAAAGAAGAAGAATAAGAATAATAAGAAGACTAACCTGAAGTGAATTTTCGAACACCACTCCCTACAGACAGCTTGACCCTCCTCGATACGGGTACTTTTACTCCTTGCAATGGTCAATTCTTGCTCTTCAGGTCCAACAGTGTACCGTATCTTTCTGTTCGCAGCGGGACAAGAACAGTTTAGTGAACAGAGACTGGACGCTGTGAAAGCCGCCAAGGGATTCCTTCTCGTGTACGACGTGACGCAACGGTACCATCGCCTCATCTTACCTGTCCGAAGTAACCGCGTTGGTGTTCTGATGGAGAGCTGGAATCCGTCACCAACCAGGCTGTCGTTTGAGGAGGTGGAGGTGTTCATGAACGATCTGTGTCGGGCGCGGCTAAAGGACACGCGCGACATGCCCATCGTCATCGTGGGCAACAAGGGCGACGTGCCCGACGAACTGCGACAGGTCCCCAAGACCCAGGCCGTCAAATTCGCCGAGGACAATGGCTGTCCGCTCATTGGTACCCCACCACACTACACTACAAGTGTTAGCGAAGGTGCACCAACCACATCAATGTCCATCCATCACAGAAACGAGCGCCAAGTCGGGGCGGAATGTACATAAGGTGCTGGAGAAGCTGCTGCAGGAGATCACCTACTATCATACCAAAGCCCTGCGGGGCATCATGTACAAGATGAAGGGCGTCTACACCACGCCCTCGATTAGAATCAAAGGTCTCCCCGCATCCCAACACATCGAGAGATGATGTGAAAAGAGTTAGTTTCTGATGATTATTATTAACATTATTAATGTTTGGCTGGTCTGCAATGTGTGATGGTGCAGGGAAGCCGGGGTGGACCAAGTACCACGTGTTGCTGGACCGGGAGAACTTCTCGTGGTTCCCCAGCAAGAACAAGCACAAGCCACGAGGCTTCATACCACTCTCCACCATCGTCGGCGCACGGTACACTCTCACACGACACACGCACACACGACACACAACACACACGCACGCACACACACACCCCACTGAAGCACACGGCACAACGTTGATTAGGGAAGCGGAGAAGGAGACGCAGCGGAACAACTCGCTGCTGATCAAGTCGCTGCACACATACTTCTTTTACACTGAAACGGGTACTGTACCGGTCCTGATCCGCGAACGCGGCGAAAGGCGCGCAAACTGCTGACCAGGCATGTGGTGCGCGCTCTCTTTGGCTGTGTGCAGAAGAGGCACGGGACATGTGGGTCAATGAGATTCGAATCCACGCCTCCAAGGCGCAGTCCGACCGAGAGATTGGTGAGTGACGCACCACCAACAGCTGCTGTGCCGGGTGTGTTGTGTGCAGACAGAATCTGAGTGGTGGTGTTGCGCAACGTACCAGGGAGCGGAGACGAGATCGTGCGAACGATGGACGGCGTGCTGGTGGAGGAGGAGATCAACTTCGACCACGACGCGCTCAAGGAACTCGGACACGAGCTCCGGCAAGTCAGGTAAGAGGGCTACACCTCCCAGCATCAGCCATCTGACATTTTTGTGACTTTGGCGGCGTGGTCGGTGTCTCTCCCTGCAGGGCCGTGCGGACCTACAAGAGCAGAGTGGGGAGCGAGCTGAGCTTCAACAAGGGGAACGTGATCACGGTGCTGAAGGTGGAGGGCGACCGGTACAAGGGCGTGCTGGGCCGACGGAAGGGCTGGTTCCCGCGGAGCCACGTGCAGGACGAGGGGTCAGGGAGTGGGAGCCTGACTTCCTCCGCCGCCGGCGGCGGCGGCAGCGGCGACAGCGGCGACACGGGGGAGGGCCAGCCGGTAGCCGAACTGCTCAACGGCAGCGGCAACGGCATCCAGCTGTCCTTTGGGGCGACCGGGTGCAAGTCGTCAACGACCGAGAACGAGTGGTCGCTCTCGGCCTCGACTGAGGAGCCCGGCTCGGAAGACGGAGGCGACGGTAGCGGCGGCGGAGTGCTGAGCGGCAGCGGCAGCAGCAGCGGCTCACAGGCGGTGATCGAGCCGATGAGCACACCGGTCGTGAGCTTGCCGCTGACGGTGCGGAAGGGGAGCGGCATTCGCGGCCTGCTTCTGTTGGTGGACGACACGTCGGGCGGGTCGAAGACGGGCTCGGGCGAGGAGCGGACGCTGCGGAAGAAGGGCAGCCGGCTGCGGGACAAGCTGCTGGGCGGCAGCAGCAGTGCTGTCTCGCCGCTCGAGAACGGATCTGATAAGAAGGCCAGGACGAGCGAGAAGGAGAAGGAGAAAGAGAAGGAGAAGGAGAGCAGCAGCAAGAAGACAAAGGAATGAGAAGGAGGAAGACATCAGACGAGCTGATGGTATGTTCTGCACATTGGCCTGAATAGAGTTGTTAGTAGTTGCAAAGCCAGGGTAGAGCGAGATATGGTTATCCATCGAGTGTGAACGGGTTTTTACTTCCACCTTGGTGCGGTGAAGAGGCGCGCCAACGCGAACAAAGAGAGTCATTACAAGAGAGAGATTCCATTGATGTGGGATGATGGAATCAAGAAGCAAAATTCGTATAGCGCGGTGCGTAGAGGGAGGTTGCAGGGAGAAAGGAAATGGAGAAAGAGGACTAGCTACCACTGGCGCAGCCACGGCAGCCACAGTGCAGGCATTCGACGATCTTGCCCTCTTCGAGCTTGTCCGCGGGAACGCGACAGATGCACGTGCTGCCGAAGTTGTGATCGCGCGTTTGGATGCATCGCAGGCAGCACAATCGCTCGTATCCCGCCTTCTTCCATTTGGCGATGAGGGCGGCATCGGCGTACTTCTCCTTGAGGCACCAATCGTAGAGCTCGCGCGAGATCTTCTTCTTCCTGTAGTGCATGTCGAAGATGTATCGACTGCGCTGGTGATGCAGACGGAAGATGGGCCACACCGATTCAGCCTTTCGCTTGCCCTCATGGGGATCGTTCTCGGCGTCCTTCATCTTCTGAGCCAGCTCATTCAGCGTGGGCTCGATAAGCTCCCATCCCTCCGGCGGTTGCTTCTTCGACGTTCGCACCTTCGGCATCCTTTGTGTTCTCTTCTTTGTGATCAATGCGATTTGTTTCCAATCGTTCTCGCGACCAATTCGCAACTTTTCTCGCTTTGCCCCAAAAAACATAGAAATAAAAATAAAAAACTACACGCGCAGCAGCGGCGAGCGCAACGTGTCCGGGACGTTGGAAGCGACACATGTGCAAGCACTCTTGGCCAAGAGTCGGACGTCACTGCGAAGGTGCGCAGAGCAGAGAGGGTCGCTCGAAGTTGCCAGTGAGTTGGTAGCAGAGGACGGGGCTCTGCACTTTGGCGCCACTTCCCGACTCCGAATGTCCGCAGATATTGAGGCAACAGCGGCGAGTTCATCGTTGCTTCAATTGATCGAATTGCATTGAAGGAGCGAAGATGGCGACTATCATCGTGCGGCGACCCCGGCGGGAACGCATGGAACAGCAGGTGCCAGAGGAAGTGGTTATGTCGCGCGATGAAATGCCCAAGCTGGGAGCATTCGATCCGACGTTCCCTTCCGAACTCGAGGGCCTCATCCCGCCCGAGGAGTGGGCACAAATCATCGATCGATTGGATGAGTACTGGATTCCCTTCTTCAAGCGCGAGCAGGAGATCGAAAGCTGTTCGATGTGCCTCTGTTGCTGCTGCTGCTGTACCCTCGGCCTCTCCCTGTTCGCCATGTGCTGCTATTCCTCGTGCGCCGGCCGAAAGCTAGACAAGAGGAAGATCAATGGGCGGCGTCAGATGAAGGCCTACTTCGAGGAGGAGCTGAACCCGAAGTACTCCGCCCAGGGTGTGCGATTCGCCGTCGCCCCCACCATCAAGACCTTCTACGTCGAGATTCGAATCGATAAGCCGGGCACTGCAGGCAACGACAATCGACCTCGGGCTGAGTCCACCACAGATGAGGAAAAGGAGGGCGAGCCCCTGCTTCGGCGAGCGAAGGAGGATTCCGCCAGCCACAACGGTGGTGCGTCATCTGCGGCCCAGTCCTCGACCCCCGCCCCCGTGTACGGAACACAACCAGCCGATATCGACATCGACTCCGCAGCCGACGGTCTCGACGGCCTCGACTAAGCGAACGAGGTCGCGCAGACGAAGAAGAGGAGCCAACGAGGGAGAGGAAGTTATTTATTATATTCGTTCGAACGTTACAGCCGCAGCGCGAGGCTTCACTCTACGGGTGGGTGGTGGCAGCAAGCCACCAATATAACGCAAGTGTTGCAACATCAATTGAGAGTGTACGGTCAGGTTCGTTTCGGTCGAACGTTCTTTACAGAACCAAAAAGGCAACGTTGCCTTTTATTCGCCTCAATAATGAGGGCTGCTTGCTCACTGGTGCTGCTGCGGTCGGGGCAACTCGCCATAGCGGACACGATACCTGCGCGGGTTGATGAGGGGTTCA